GACGACCAGGGGCGGGTTGTTCAAAATGTGGAAAGAGAGAGCAAGTGAGCCGCGCCGAATTCATTTTCCTCCAATGCTCAGACAAAAATTTTCCCCCTCATTTCATATTCATGAGGGCAAAATTTGGAAAGAAAAAGTGCTGCGGATCATTAGCAACGAGACTTGCGGAAACTAATCTTTCTTCTCGAACTATCTTCGTCTCTGGACGGGATTTTACAGCTTTTTTTTCTCCTGAAAAGTTTTGGTGAAAAGGACGCAATGTTAAATCTGCACTTGAGAATTATTCAAATTTCAGCCGCCTAGCTTCATTTGAAATTCTAATCACACTTTATCATCAAAGTTGGTCTCCGTTTTTTTTTTTTATTAAATCATTAAAAAAACTAATCAGTGAAATTCTCGTAGTGAAAACTAAAATAGTTTCACGAGATGTATAAATTGTGTGATGGAATTATCATTGTATGACGTGTCTTGTCATTTTATCTGCAAAAGTTAGAGAAACGGATAATCTTATCTCTTTCTCATATTCCGTCATCACAAAAGGCACTCGTTCGCGAAACGCTGCATTAACAGCTGCGCAGCTCGCTTTTCTCCTCCGAACGTTGCAAAGAGAACTTTCATCCCGTCGCTGTGGAATCCATTTAAAAAGGGTGAGTTTGGCAGAGGCAAAAAAGCGGCAGAGATGCTGCTTATTTTAAGCCCTCACCCTGCTTTTTGCGGTCACGTGCAGTGGTGTGTCTGTTCTGCTGCAAATCGATAATCGCACTCGCTTCAAATTCCACCCGGACAAGAAGAAATTCGAGAGCGCCACTTGCGCGGTCACTCATTTAATTGCTTTGTTTTTGGCAAAGCGCGGCAAAGCACTAAAAAAAATTCACGAGAGGCTCTAAAATTATTTGCCAAAATTTCATTAATTAAATTTAAGATTAATTTTGAATTGAAATTTTACAAAAATTTTATAATATTCATAAATTCAATATTTTTATCAACATTTTTAATTTACTTTTCTCTCTCATTGAAGGATTTCGTTCTCATTAGTATCTTCAGAGGAAAAAAGCGTCGCAAAGTAAAGTGTAAAACTCTTTCTTTTTGAATAAAAACGCACACGTTTTTTGCTCAAAGAAATGTCCAATATAACGAGCGTCTCGGCTTTCAGAGAGGGTATAAAAGATTCAGCATTGAAAGAGGCGTGTAATCTCTGCAGCGACGCGGCGGAAAGGCTATTTCGGTCCCATCTCGAAATTTCCCAGAGCAAATATTATGTACGACTTAAATGGAGCTGCAAAATTATCCGTCACGAGATAACAAATGGGGCTCGCAAAACACAAAATAGCAGCAATTAACCGTGCGCGCCATTGTTACCCACCGGCGGGCTTGAGATTAAAAATGCACGCGTCTCGCAGAAGAACAAATGGCCACTTGTCGGGACGCACCGCCATGCAAAGTCAGCCCAAAGGTCATTCGCCCACGCACATCAAACATTTATATTCACCGCGGTTAAAACCCGCCCTGCAGCCATATTATGATAAATTTAGTTAAATCCTGGATAAACTTTTTATAAAAAGAAATGTTCAGTTAAATTAAATTTGATTTATAGTTTAAAACAGGACAAAATCAGACACAAAACAACCAAATAAAATCTGGAAATAACCTTGATTTTTAATATAAGATATTATATTATATGGCATTTGATTGGAGAATAAATTAAATTTGTCAATATTGATATTAGAATTTTAGTCCATGAAATTTATACTTTCGCGCTTAAAGCTTATTAATTTTACTTATTTTTCACTCATAACTTTCCAACAAATTTGTCGTTGTTTTAGAATGACTTAAATACCCACTCAAATGATTTTTATTGATCTTTATTCAGAATTCCAAACCATTTCATCGCTATAAAAAACGTGATTCGATTAATTCACGTGAAAATATTGAGTTGCAGTTTTTCTTTAATTGGAAAAGATGTCAAGTTTCATAAGTCAATATTTTTATTGACCTATAATAAAAATGTTTTACCTTTCGTTCGGTTTAAAAGAAGGAAGAGTTTTTATTGATCACTTTTTTAATCTCTTTTGCCACCCACGTATCATCTTCGTCGCCAACTCCACAGCAAATATAATGGCTCTCTCCGTTTCAAAATCGAGGTCGTTCATGCAGCTCTGATAAAACTCTCTCCGTTCGCCTCAAGCCTCACGCTGCGAAAGGTCATTACAAAATCGAGCGACTTCCATGCACGACCGAGGGATTTGGATTCAATTTTTTTTCAAACCGCCCGAGGCTGAATCTCGCTCGCACCCCCGCTAATCAAAAAGGTTATTCGAATCGATCTCACCACGCGCGAGCGTGACGAGGTGTTGACGCTTCTAATTAAATTGTCGAAGCCATTAGACGTGCAATCAATTATCTGCCGCTCAGCAACTCGTTACTCCGGAGCTGCTTAATTAACTGTGGCAGAGAGGGTGGGAGATGCGAAAAGGAACACGCCGCCGAAATCAGGTCGGCGAAATGAGAGCTAATTTTGGAAGTGCTTTTCAATCACCTTGAGATATTTCCAGAGCAGAGATCGACCCATTTTCCGCACACAAACTTTATTTTAGAAGTTTTTGTGAAAAAACTCGATTTTCATACTTTAAAGGGGCAAACAACTGAAAATAACCTTCCAAATTTTCAATTTTGAGGCTAATAGAAAGATAACCACAACCCAATAGGTCTATCGAGATGGTCAATGTTCACCTAAAATCGCCCCTTTCATCTCAATAATTATACAAATTATAACCATGAATTTGCCTGCATTAACTAGATTTAAAAATAAATCCAAGATGGCTTCCGCCTGGGCATTGCTCTTTTGCTAATAACTCGCAGTTTGAGTGACAAAAAGTTATAATTTGGGCATTTTCTTGAAGTTTACTAAAAATTTCATCTAAAACATCCAAAAATAATAACTCATTTCGCGAAAACCTTCAACCCCCTTAAGAGCTTAACTTTTCTGGTAGCAGATTTTTACTAAAAGTTTTAGAAAAAAATCCTTGCTTGGATACTGTAATCTTTGGAAGGCTGTAATTACCTAAATTGCTGGCTTTTTGTTTGCCAAAATGCTCGGGCTTAACTTAATTAAGGAGTTTCTTTGGCAGCGAGTTCAACACAAATCCATAGTGTGCGCCAGCGGGCCAACTTTTCCTTAATGAGTTAGGTGCTCATTCTAAGTACATTATGTATAAAATGCGTCGACGGAAAAGTATGAAGAAGTGAGCTCGGGGCGGCCTGGTGCGCGCCACATCCACTCCGGCGGCGGCACCACTCGATCCCGCAGACAATGTTCTGTAATGACGACTTGGCGCGTCTTACTTTTGCTCGCCTGGCACGCTCTCTCCGCCATGCCGCGCGTCTGCTCGTCTTGTAATTAACCTTTCAAGACGCCCCGAGGTGGGCTCGGGACGCGCATTGATTTCCTTGCACAGCACCAACAAAAATATAAATCCATCTCCGCCCCAGGAGATTTAAGGCTTGCGAAAATAAGTTTCGAGCGGCAACTTTCGTGGAATGGCACACTCAGAAGAAAACTGCTTTTGGTGCGCAAAGAAAAATGCGAAAAAACGGTCTGCTCTGATAGGTTTTTTTAGAAAAGTAGCGAGTACCGGTTTATACCTTCCAAATAAATTTAAAATAAAAGGAAAGTGTTCAAATGGAGTTTATTTTACCTTTTAAGAGAGAAATTAAAAAAATCAAAGTTGAATATTAAAATATAAAACAGAACAATAAGCATGAATTTATTTATTTGAATTAGATTTTCATTTTTCTAGTGAGGGTGCAATTTAGCCACGGCAGCAGTAATCGGAGCACTACAATTTTAAATTCAAATTATTCCTGAAAACGAGCTGCGTCCTCTGGGACAGATTTACCGGCACTGGTTGCAAACCCATGAATAAATAAATAAACGACCCCCATTACCGGCAACAGTAATGATTCCATTGAATTGCATTTCACCGAACGAACGGCCAATAAAACGCCATAGATATTTCAAAAGTGCCAAAGTAACGGCCACTTTTATAAACAAAAAAAAATTGCGCCCATTTCTAGGCGCCATAACAAACTGTCCTTATCGCAATGCAAAAAAATATGTATCTTGTGCAGTAACGAGCAGAGAATTTCGTTGCTTTTGACTTGAGGCGTTCAAAGGACGGCCCTTTGTTGCCTCTTCTCTTTTTGTGCCTCACAGGGGCAGGCAACCTGTTTGTCCGAGAGGCAACGCGGGTTGCCTGCTTGTCAATTCAGCAGGCGCTCTCCGCAGTAAAAACTTATTCGGGCCATCGCGGATTTACGGCTCGAATTCTATCAGGCTGGAGATTCTCAGCGGCACTAAATTTTATGTGGGTCGAATATTTAGTGAGGGAAAATTTTTATTTCGCACCCGGATGATAATGACGTGCGCGCACTGCTGGGTCCAATTTCCGATTTTATTTTACATCGGACGCTGCATTGAGCCGACCTTTCTTTGCGACGATAAGTGCCTGGGGAGTTCGAACATTCGGTTTTTAGCACTGCAAAACGTGAGAAACAAAACAGTCCGCTATGAAGAGGGGTTTTTATGACTCTATTTTGCTTTTATTGTGCGGAAAAGCGCTGCTTTTTTCATTGGTGACGTTTTCTACCAAGTCATTTCCCACATCTGTGCCACGTTAGTTTGTAATTTTAACGCAAATTACAACACACACTTTACGATGAGCATCATTCAGGTGCTTTTATGAAGCAATTTTATAAACCTGGCCCATGCGTACAATCATTTTTTGTTTTTTAATTGTGAACACCAAATTCTAGTTCACTTTAATTTTATTTATTCATTAAACTTGTAGCAAACCAATAAATATTTAAATCTCTCAGTTTAATTATAAAAAATAAATGCATCAGAAAGAACAAATCCATCATCTTTAATTATTTTTATCAATTTAAGCATAATTTGAAACTTTTATAAATTTCTATTTCAATTTTAAATATTTTTTTTCCAGAATCCGAGTCGAGTGGAGAGGCGCAGGACGAGGACGGCTGTCAGAGCCCAATTTGTGAGCAGTGCTCGGCGTGTTCGGCGTGTGCATCTCAACATCAGCAGCAGCAGCGTTACATCGTCGAGACCATCACCCTGACGACGGTGACCGAACGACGCATCGTGCGCGAGGCCGGCGACCAGGAGCAGCCGCAGCTCAGCGGCATCCTCAAGGGCGGCAAGTTGTGGAAAAACTGCAGTGACTCGAGCAGCGTGGACACGGCCAGTTCTCCGGCCAGCGACGACGGCGAGTCTTCGGCTTTGGTGCGAAGGTCGGTGAGGTTTTCTGAGGAAGACGAGGAGAAAGACTCAGACCGGCCGGTGACCATTGAGGAGGTTCAACATCTGGAAGACCCGCCAACGCCGCCTGCGGAACTCAACTTGACGCTGCGGCTCGGATCCGTTCTCCTCAACACAGACAAGTTGCCGCCAAACTCGGCTGTGCGGCAACTCTTCCCGGACACAAAGCAACAGAAGCGTCTGCTGAGCATTTCGGACGACACGTTCAGCCTGGATGGAAAGGAACTGAGATCGCCGAGCACTGGAGGAAGCAACAGCGACGACGAACTTTCCAGAGGTTCCTCCTCCAGCATCAAACGCACCATTGAGCGAAACGCCCTGCGGAGGAGTTTGCTGAGGTACTCTGACCCTGTTGGTTCTTCCAGACGACGCTCTGTTCCTAACAAAGACGAGAACTCGCTGGTCGAGCGCATCAAACAGCTGACTTGTGACTTTGATGAGGAGCCCTTCCGCTCCGAGTCTCCGAATCAGCAGTACCGGCAAAGGGCGATTGTGGGGCGAGAACGTTGCCACTCCGAGTCAGGCAAGGACTTCCACCAACCCCTGCAGTTGATGCAAGACAACTCTTGCTGTTGGTTGATGGTGGACCCTCCGAGGGGTGGAATAAAAATGGCGGCGGCAGCTCGGAAACAGGTGCATCTTGGAGAACGGGAAACTCCGCCAGACGGAAGTGCTTCGGCTTCTGTCAACACTGCAATGGCGCCTGACGGGACGATTTACAGTCTGGATGACATTGACGAAGTCCTGGCCAACGAGTGCGTATGTCCACCTCCTGAGCACCAACAACCGCCGGACATTCTGGCCACCGTGCAGCAGCAGCAACAGCAGCAAGACGAGCTGGCCATGTTTGTTCAACGTGATCTGGGGCGCATCGAGCGGCTGAAAAAGCGGTACAGCCTGACTGAGGAGGACGACCAGGACGACTACGGCTTCAGTCGCCGTCCTTCTGTCAGAGGGATCAAACCCCGCTTCGGCTCAACCACCGAGATCATCCAGCAGATTCAACTGCAGCTCCAACCCCCTCCCCTAGCCAACCCTGGAAGAACCGGAAGTCATGTGACGTGGCCGTATCCGCCGGACAACGGCTCCTCGAGTACGTCATCGCCGGTGCTGTCTCCCACAGAGCAGCATCCCCGTCGGCGCACGCAACCACCCATTCCCATCAGGGGGAGCAATTTACCCCTCCTCTCCGAAGATCCCTACTACGCGACGGTGCCTGCCCAAGACTACCGCTACGTGGAGTACACGAACGGCGCCGCCTACGTCTACGCGTCAAGCTATCCGTCTCGCAGCGACGTCGTCCCCTACTCCGAGTCTCCACCTACGCGGTACCTCCCCTCCACGGCCCCCCTCCCACCACCGCAGCGGCGCGCACCGGTCGTCTACGCCCCGTACGCGGCGCAACAGCAGGTTCAGCAACGCTTGCCCTACCGCAGCGAGTCCCCTCAAAGGTACTACTACCCCTCCCCTCAACAGCAGCAGCAGAGGTTTTACCAGCCGGCCCCCTACCCCGGCAAGTACCCTGCCGCCCTCCCCCCTCCGCAGCAGAACGACCTGCCGAGTCCTTCGGCGGCCCTGGTGCGCGCCCTGAGCCCGGTGCCGGCCGATTCGCCGACGAGGAATGCAATCAAGTTCGAGCGCGGCGCCCCCGAAGGCGCGAGCGCCTCGCCGGGTTTCCCGCAACAAGACTTCTACGCGGCGAACAGGGCAGGGGTGGTCTCCGCCGACGGGGACCAGCAGCCCCCAACCTCGCAGCAGCAACACCTGCAGCAGCAGAACTCGTCGGTTTACTACGCGATGAACGTTTGACAGAGCTGTTCGTACTTTGAACACGAGGTGTGAAAATAATGCAGGCAAAACGAATAAACAAACTCTTGCACTTTTTGGTTCTTGGAACATTTTTGCGCGTGTGGTGCACAACAACAGTCTTCGTACAAGCTGAAACGTGTTAGTTTGAAGTCATTTGTGAAGTTATAGTCGTAAATTATTGAACTTATTATTATTTAATTAAACTAAATCTGTTGCCAGTGAGGGAACAAACAAAATTTGTGTCTTTTTAATAATAATTTTAAAATTGAATTTGGAATCACACGTGTACCTGGCAAGGATTATTTTATGTTAAATTGTTTAAAAAGGTTTGTGAAATTATTGTTAAGTGTAAAAACTTTAATTGTCTTCTATCATTTTCTGAGTTTTGGAAAATTATTTAAAAAAAAAACACTCCTCACAAAATGCATCGAAAGTATCAAACTGAAATGCATTTCCAATTTAGTGCTAAGGTTCTTCGCTATGACTGTTACTGTTTAGAGCAGGAAAATAATCCCTGACGAATTTCATTCACTCAGTATTCGGATGCCAAAGTTACTACAAGTTAGGGCGCGGTGTGTGCAGATATATCACTCCTTTAAACGTGATTAAAGCAGAGTGATAAGAATTATTTTCCAGACGCTGTGTACACACATCACACGTGTATCAAATAAGTCAAACGCGACGAGATCTTCCTCCCTGAAAACTTGTATAAAAAACGTCTGACTCGTAGTTGAAAATGCAGAGAGTATTTTGTGCTAACTAAAAAAATGGGTGGTTGCTTGTGAAAACAATTTTGTGAATTGAGGGCCTATAGAGAAACTTTTTGCAAGCGAACATTTTTGATTTTCTTTGACAGTAGTTACAAGATAATAATATGTGATCCTTGTTGAAAATGTACTTTAAAAAGAGTAAGAATTTAAGAAAAACCCACTTTTTAATCAGTGTTGTATATTTAAAAAAAAAGGTAGTGAAAGATCACAAGCTGTAGTGCCAAATGCGCCAGGTGCGTTAGTTTTAGTTGAGTCTCGACGAGGTTCATCCGCGAAAAAGAGAAAGACAATTGAAGAGGGTGCGCAAAACGGATCGACTGTTGGCATTTTCGGATGCAATTCAAATTCGCTGCGGCAGCCAAAAGAAAAATATACTCGTACAGATCTCAACTCAGAAAGACGAAACACTTTTCTTGTTATATTCGTAGTCTTATTGTTAGTGTCGATTTGCAGACGAGGCGTGTAGAGAATGTATCGAAGCAAAAAAGCAGATATTTTGTGGCGCGTTAATTTTAGATCGACTTATTTGGTGACCACCTTGCCAAAGCGGACATAATCAACTTTTAACTAGTGAAATTGTTTCAAATAAACCAAGTCGATGCTGCGCCTCGATTGGTCATAGAATATATTGCCTTTGAAAATCCACAAATTTGGCATTGTGGTTGCTGTATTTAAGGTAAATGTTTCAACACGCAAAAAAGAAAGGTACATAATTAATTACTGCCAAAAATTTACATCTAGCTATAATGTTGTAGCCTCGTAAGTTTGAATTTTTGATGAGAAAATATTAAGAAAAGATCAAGAATGGTTGAAGTCGCTGTCAGACCAAAAATTATGAGTACGCGCATTTTGTGTTTAATTAGTCTGTAGCTATCAAGCCATGGTGAATAAATTAATTTAATTTCACTCACAATTTTTTTGCGTCAAAAATAATAATTAAATAAATATAATTTTCGGCACTTGTGCGAATCTTGTAAAAATGACGAAAAAGAGTGAATTTTGTCACATAATTGAACAATTGTGTGGCTGAAGTGGAATTGGCAAGATTTTTTTCAATTGAATTGTTTTGTTACCATCGTTTTAAACATCAACTCAGTTACAGAGATTTGGAATATTGAAGCGAGAGAATTAAGTTTATATTAAATTAAATTACTCCATGCGGTTGAATTCGCGCCACATATGAGGAAAAACGTGTAGCTAATTACTTGATATCATTGTTGAATTAAATAAATTTTATTATACTGCAAAATGATATTTTTTAATTATTCAGAACCCTTATTATTTACCAAAAAAATTTTATATTATCCTATTATTTTGCATGCAATGATAAAAATGTGTGTGTGTGTGTGCTTTTTTTAAATTATTTAAAAAATTTTAAGCCATTGGAATTTCATTATTTTATTTTAAAATAATTATGACGTGTTTAAGTTGAAGCTATAATTATCATAATTACTACTATAATACGGTAATACCATGTCTTGAATTAAACCATCCCAGTAGCGTAACCGCAAGTCAATTATCATCATAATTTGCTTTAGCACAGATAATTATGATTTAAAACATCAAAATTAAAATTCCGCAATGATAATTAATCGGGGTGAATTTCGCGCCATCTTTTTAAATATGATTGGTTCATTGGTTGCTCGAAGCGGTCTCCACCAATCGCAATCCACGCCCTCAACGGATTCAACGAATCATCGATCATCATTCACTCGTGGTTGTGCCAAAGAAAACAAGGGCTGAAATTTCGACTGAAATTTTCTCAATTAACGACACAATAGGGCGCCAAAGGGCTGCGTAATGGACGAGGACAATGCCGAGGAAGGTGGCGGTCTGCAGGACGAAGACTATTACGTCTTCCTCAACGTCGAGCGAACGGTGAGCGTGCGAAAAGCAACCTTGGCACACTGTTTTCCAGATTATTGAGTTCACGACCCCCGAATATTGCATAATACTTTTATGTGACATTGTAGAGTTCATCAAATTTTTATATCGCAGGCCACACCAGAGGAGATTTCGGCGGCGTACAAGAAACTGAGCAAACTGTATCATCCTGATAGGAACCTGGACCCGAATGACCCTCAGAAGAAATTAGATTCGGAAACGTTGTTCCACAGAACCAAACAGGCATATGATGGTATTTTAATTATTAATTAATTTAATACAAGTAACTGAAATTTTTTATTAGTGTTAATTGATCCTCATCGAAGAGCAATTTATGACTCTCTTGGAGTCGAAGGACTGAAGACGGAAGGCTGGGAGTTGGTGCAAAGGTCAAGAACTCCTAACGAGATTCGAGAAGAATATGAAAGAATAGCAAGGTCAGTGCAATTTATTAATAGAAAATATTTATTTATTTGAATCGTAGGAAAAATGAGGAAAGGAGGCTGCAGCAGAAGACAAACCCCAAGGGTCAGCTGACGGTCCATTTGAACTGCACTGACTGGTTTGACAGTTACGAGTATGACGATCCCGACTACATCGAGTAAGATTTAATTTAGTTTTAGCTAAAATATTTTGTAACTTTTTCTCCAGGGAATTCCGATTGCCAGAAGTCAGTGGCATCAGCATCCAACAGTCGGTGGAGGCGCACCCAACCCTCAGAGACTGCACAACCCTCTCAGGTCAGGCCAACACCTCCAATGGTGTCGGCAGCGGCAATTTTGCAGTCACGTGGAGAAAACTTCTTGGGCCGAGAGGTTGGGTTGAGTCTGAATTCGGAGCTGGCAATGGGCCTGTGTTATCTCTTCGAGCCTTCAGGACAATGTCGAAAAATATTTTCGGCAACGCTGGTGTCACGTTTCAGGCCACGGACAGAGGCATTGCCCCCTCCCTTCAGTCAAGTAATGCCATTTTAATTTGTTTTTTATTTGTCGAAAAAATTTAAAAAAAAAAATGTCAAATTAAATGCAATTATTTTAATATCATCACCTCCGTGAAATTTTGCAAATTCAATTAAATTGAATTTGTCATTTTTTTTCTCCTTTTTTTTTCAATTATGCTTCCAAAATAGAACAAATTTTTATAAAGCGGCTAATAAATTAAAATTTCAGCGCTTGCTATGCAGATGAGTAAGACCACCATGGGCTCTCTAGCCTGGAGAGCGGGCATGGCGAGCAGCATGACAGTGTCCATCACCAGAGACACGCCCAGTATGCATTTTGTATCCATGTTGCAGTTTGGAATTCCACACTCTTTTGCATTTGTTGCGTATTCGCACAAACTTAAGGAAGGAAAAATCAGAGTTGGTGTTCGGTAAATATTAAATTTATCTAAAAACAAAGTGCAAATATTTCTCCGTCACATTTGCAGAGGCGGAACTTTTGGTTTCCAAGTTGAGTACGGTGCTGAGAAAAAAGTTTCAAAGTACAGCACTGTTTCTGCCACAATGTCAGTTGGTGTCCCAACTGGAGTTTCTCTTAAAATGAGGTAGATTTACGAAAATTTTTAGTTTTTTATTAGAGTTAATTGAATTTTTTAAAGGTTTGTCCGAGCAAGTTACACGTTTTCCTTTCCCATTCGGCTAAGCGAAGAAGTGGTTCCTGCGGCTGTGTTCTACGGCACGGTAGTCCCTGTGTTAAGCTGGTTGCTGATCAAGGGTCTTGTAATTGATCCTTATCTGGCCAGGGAAAAGGCTGTGGAGAAAGAAAAGCAACGACAGGTCAATCAAACGAGGTTCGGCTCAACTGTGATTGTTTTGTATTATTTTAATACTTAAATTGATTGATTTTTGCTCAGGATTGCACAAAAGAAGCGCGAAGCGATGGCCTCGATCAGTCTGATGCAGCAAACCTTTGCTCGCATCAGCTCGGAGGAGGACAAGAAAAACGGACTAGTTATTGTAGTGGCCATTTATGGTGCAGCATCCAATATTGAGACAATGAATCCTGCGAACAGTGGTAGTTCCTCCTCTTCAGGCAATGCCTCTCCAGTGTCCCTGCAACCCAGTCCCAGCAGGGACATCCCTGAGGACTGCATTGACGTAACCGTGCCTTTGCAGTGTGTGGTCCAAAACTCAAAACTGTATCTCGTTGAGGGATCGAAGGTGCGGCTATTTTTAATAAACGTTACAAAAATAATCAATTCAATTGCAGTGCGAGCAGCCTGGTTTTTACGACCCTTGCATAGGTGAAGACAAGAAGCTGTTAATTAGATACAAATTCCGAGGAAAGCTGCACGAAATAACAGTTGATGACGCGGAATCAGTAACTATTCCTAGACCGGGTGAGAATTTGCATCTCTTTTGATTGGTTTCATTTGACTGAAAAATGTTTTGTGCATTCAGGTCACAGATTGTAGAAGATCGAGAGTTGTCAGACTGCAATTTAGCTTTTATACAAAATAAAAAAGGAAATTTTGCTTGTGTCGCTGTGCGAGCAAAGAAAAAAAAACAGCAGCTACTGCTATTAAACAGTTTTTTTGCAGCTTGTTATAATTGGATTGGAAAAAAATCAAAAATTGCTCGTTGGTTGTTAAAGAAAATCAGGAAACTAAATAGAAAAAAAAATAGTGAAAAGTATTAAAAATTGTCGGTTGCCGTAGAGCAGCTTAGAAAAATTATCATCATGCAATTCATTATTTTATGTGCCTACTTTATTTTCCTAGTTCACTTTTATGAAGCAGAAAAAATGTATTTCTTAAGTTTGGGAACCAAAGAAATGTCGACAAATAAAAATGAAAGTAATAAATTATATTTCTCCCTGGTAATTTTAATGATAGTCCTACCTACATTGTTAGTAAGACTCTTAAAAAGAAGGCGTGGCCTATTGAAGCAAAAATCGACAAAGGTATGCCAGTGTTGTTGAATTATTTAATTTTTAAATTAAGCTTTTAGCAGGATTTCCTATACATGGAGCACTATCAAGGAGCAAGAGTAGCAATTTTTAAGGCTGAAACAGACAAGTTTCCAGATCCTTATGTAGAGGAGCTTGAAAAAGTTGGATTCCTTCCAAAACTGGTGCCTGTTATTACATTCGACTTTTTCAATTTGGATCTTCTGAAGGAAAAGCTATCGAATCACGACAAGTTTTCAGGTGATAATATTTTAATGGATGAATTTATATTTAAATCCATTTGTTCTTCAGGTCTTATCCTCAGCAGTGAGAGATGTGCCTTAGCAGTTCACAAGTCCATCGAAGGCTCCGAGTCAATTTTGTTGCCCTGGAAAAGCAAGATAGTCGTGTGTGCTGGCGAGGCCACTGCCGAGAAGACAAAGAATTTGACAGGACTGAGTCCGATTTTTGGTGAAAAACAAAGAGCAGAAGGCATCATAGACCTGCTGGAATCTAGTATAGCATCTAATTATTTTAAACAATTTCCAAAATTTATTATTCTTATTTTTTCAGCAAATCCGACACCAAGATTAATGCTCAATCCTTGCGGAGAGTTGGCCGCTAGCAGAGATTCTTTAGCAACAGGACTCTCTTTGAAAGGAATTAATTGTGAATGCTTGGCTGTGTACAAAACCATCCCAAATCCCTGTTTAAAGTCTGAACTTGAAAATATATTTGTAAAGGAAGTGAGTGTACATAATTATTTATTTATTATAAAATTTTTAATTTCAAACAATGATTTAAATTATTAGGAAACCGAGTGGCCCAAACTTTTAATTTTCTTCAGTCCTTCGGGATTAAAAGCAGTCATGGAAAATTTAGTCAACTGTGAAATCATCAACTTTTGCAAGGTACTAAATTTTTCAAAATTTTGTAACTTTTAATTATGGTTATATTTAAGCTTGTTTCAATTGGACCATCAACGTCTACAGCTATAAGAGAAAATGGGTTTACTGTTTGGGCCGAGGCGGAAAACCCAAATCCGAAAAGTTTAAGGGAAGCTATAGAGAAATCAGCTTATCACTGTACCTGATACAAATAAAATTAAATTGTTAGGTTCTCTATAAAGAATAAAATTTGTTGTTTTCACATATTTTTTTATTATTTCCCATCGATAAATTGGCACTCTGAACATAAGGTGGCACACAAAATTAAAAATAAACCATTGACATATATATTGAACATAAAATTGCAACTCCATAATTTAAAATTTTGCTTGTACAAAAACTCGACTTAATAAAGGAACATGGGGAAGAAACTTTAGTCAGACTAACAAACACTTGATTTGATAAGAGCACCTCTAAGGTGGGCATTCTTGTGCTGGACTTTAAAAATAAAACCAGTTTTCTTTGGCATTACCAAAAACAATAAAGAATCTCACTCGACTGAATTCAGGACAATTTCCAGGAGAAATTTTGATACATTTTCAAAGAATACGTACATTACGTTTATGTTATTGGGGTACACAAACAATAATAAATATTCTTGAATGCATTAGTAATTAGGTAACATATAAATTACTCTCTCCTACGAGTGATCATAATTGACTTACTTGCTAGTTATAATAATGTAATATACATCTAATCATTAATTTGTATAGTAGTATAATGTACTGAATTAAATGACTAAGCACAAAAATCGATGGCACAACACAAAATTCTTGTTGCAACTCTCAAATAACTGGGCAGAGGTTAATAATTGATTTTCATAAGCTTTTTCTTCGTAAGACTGGTCGAAAATGGCGTTTCTAAAAATATTGTCCAAAATCCTCCTGCCTAGTTAAAAAAGAGAGTCACAAAATATTGATAACAACTCCATAACACAATCAACAATAATTGATGCTTCACACACAATGTAGGAAAACATGTGAAAAAATCTCTGATAAGGAAGCAAATAGGGCAAGAAGATTTTTCATTTGAAATAAATGACTTGGTAACAAAAGGAAACAAACACTTTGGTACGTCTAGTCCGTTTGACTACAACAGACAATTAAAATTTTTTTACATGATTTTCTTTTCTTTAAATAAAATTATTCGGAGACCTGTTTAACAAATAATTCAGCAAGGGTGCCAAAAGTCTGCCAAATAATTCACGAAGCCAATCCCTCAAGTATGTTCTCGGTGGTGCAACCTTCACTTCGAAGTTGAGTGAGGTGCTCTTTCGGGATGGTCCACTCGAGTAGAATTTCCAAATTCTTTCTCAGCCTGTCGATGCCAGGAATGTCCTCCTTGCAAGGAGTCCTTCCTGATTTCGAAATGGACTCCTCAAGAACGTCATCAACAAGCCTCTTTCCGAATCCCAGAGCCTGCAGCCTCTTTGGTTCGGAAATCTTTTTGAACAACTCGCCGATGAGGAAACGAAGCCGATCTGCAGACATCGGCTCTGGTTGAACTGAAAAGACGATTTTGCTCTCGTCCTCCTCATCAGCTTTCTGCTTTGGTTTCGACCGCAGTGAGCGCGTCGGAACCACAGTTTTCGGAGCCGGCTTTTTCCCCACCCCTTTAGACACCCCCTTGACAGACTTTTTGCCCTTGATCGGTGCTTTGGCAACAGGTTTCCGTTTCGCAGGACTAGTTTTGGTATCTGATTTTGATTTGGTTGTTTTTACCTCACTCTCAGTCTGGCATTCGGCTTCGTTGGCTGGAGACATCTCCTTGTCGGAAAAACTTTTCTGGAAATTTGTATCCGGCAGGGAGCTCGCGTCCGAGTCCGGTGTCTCCAAGGCCAACTGAAGGAAAATTTTATCAAAATTTGCAACGATAAAAAATTATTTTATATACCTCGAATTCCTCCTCAGTCTGAGTGGACATGTTGCACTTGCCGGGCGGGAGGGTCTCGTTGATTTTGCACACTTCCACGTGCGAGTCGAGCTCAGCCTTTTTCTTGAAGAAGTTGCGGCACCGAAGACACATATACGGATTTTCCGTTTTGTGGATGCACCTCATATGCTTTTTCAAATGTGGCAACTGATGCAAATTTGTAAATTTCAGGTTCAGTAAAAAATGAAATAAATAAATATTTTACCTGCACAAATGCAGTCGATGGGCAGAGAGGGCAAATGAAAGGCTTTTCTCCAGTGTGCCGACGCATGTGCAGTTTCAGGGCAGTCGAGTGTGCAAATCTCCGACCACATTCAGTGCAAGGATATGGCTTTTCACCTGAGGAAAAAAGTTTTATAATATAACATTATATCAATTAAAAGGTTTTAATTACCAGTGTGAATGCGCTGGTGGACGACGAGCTGCGACCTCTGCACAAAGCACATGTCGCAGTCGTCACACTTGTGCGGTTTCTCCTGGAGATGTGTGCGCAGGTGTTGCATCAGGTGGCCCTTGTAGCGTTTGCCACAAATGTTGCACTCGAACGGTTTTTCGCCGCCGTGGAAGCAGGAGAGGTGCTTCTGCAGACCATCCCTTCGGGTGAACGCCTTTCCGCACACCTCACAACTGAACTCCTTGAGGCCGAGGTGCCGTTTCAGGTGGACCTTCAGGTTGCCAGACGAGCTGAAGGCAACGTCGCACAATTTGCATCGGTACGGCTTCTCTCCCCTGAAATTTCACAAATTTTATTTAAATTGTTAATATTTTTTTTTTAATTTGGACCTGTGGCTCTTGAGGTGTTGCTGGAGTTGGTATCCCCTGGCGAACGTGCGCGGGCACTCGGTGCACCTGAGAGGCTGTGTGTGCATCAGGATGTGGTCCTTGAGCTGGAACTTCTTGGAGAAGCACTTGCCGCACTGGTGGCACTCGTAGTTGACCTGCGAGTCCACCTGGTGCTGCCTCAGGTGCGCCTTGAACTCGCGACGTTTGCCCTGAAAGGTCATCTTGCACTCGGAGCATTGGTAATTGGTGGTATCTGTTTTTGGCATTTTGCTGGACTGCTGACTAGTACAGTTGGTTTGGCGTTAAAGCAAAATTTGCGGGACTAAGACGTGTCTTCGTTACATTTTTCAATCCTAAAATAACAGCAGAACATTAATTATGATTGTAATAAAAAATACATTTAAAAAATTTAGCACATTGAAAAAATTAAATTATACAAAATGTATTGTATATGTAATATTTTTCTTACAAACTATTTTTCAAATAAATTTTATAAATGTTCCTTCCGCCTGCCATTAATGTGTGCGTGGTGTTAAGTAGAAATATATGTAAATTATGCACACACGGAACACGGAAGGCATTTTATTGATTTTTTAACTTTGTCATTAATGCTACTTTTGAAAGCCTCAATCAAATCCATTGTGTTGAGCCTGTCGATGCCGCAAAGTGTTCAGAAGACAAGCGCGATTTTGCAACAGAATTAAAATCTCCAATATTCGCGGATGGCGATTATCATTTAAAGGGACTGCAGTCACCCATGTCCCTTTAAATCCTCTGGGCGGAGAACTTTGGGAACTTTAACTAGCGAAATTTCTTAAGGAAAACGCCGGCATCCGCCGAAAAAAATGAGCAAAAAGCGTCTTCACTAGTTAGACAAACTAATTGACGGCAAAAATTCGCCTCCTAAACTCACTTTTCTGTGAAAATTCGGTCGAAATACCAAAATCTTTGCTCCGGTGCTTGAGGCCTTTACAGGGCGGCCATATTGTTTATCTTGATCCCCTGTCGGAGTGCGTGACGTCACGAATTCAAGGAGGTCTGCGTGCCCGAAGGGAGGAGAAATGGCGAATTTGCAAATTGAAAATTGAAAGGGGGTAGCCGTCGTGGCTTTTAACATTGCTTTTAACCGTCATCTCTCCCCTCCCCTCAGATCTTTCATCTCAGCAGGCACACCGCACCGCAAACCACAAACACACCAGGCCTTAAAAGGAAAATATTAAGGTATGAATTTTCCAAAAATTAATGTTGTGCATAGATTAATTAGGCCTCATCATTGTAAATCTTAAATCTCTTATCCCTTTGCAGAGACTTCAAACATGGGACTCACGGTCACAGACGGCGAACTCGACCTGAGCATGTCTCAACTCGAAGAAATTCCCACGAAGGAAATTGTCAGTAAAATATGACACATTACAAGGATTCCATGTCAGCAATTCAATTAAAATTCCAGATCGCAGTCAAGAACAAAGTGCGCAAGTTGGATCTTTCCAACAACCAACTGCAAGTCCTGCCAATGGAGTTTGCCCCCAACTTGACCCTGCTCGTGGAACTCGACCTGAGTAAAAATCAGCTCTCGATGATCCCTGACAATTTTGGTCTTCTGGTGAATCTGCAGCTTCTGGACCTGTACAGCAATAATGTAAACTCTCCTATCACGCTTTAAATAAATTTATAACCTAAGTTTTTATTTGCCGACTAGATCGAGAGACTTCCACTCAGCTTCAAGGATTTGAAAAAGCTTCGTTGGCTAGACTTGAAGGATAACCCATTGACGCCTCAACTTGCTAAAATTGCTGGATCGTGCGTCGACAAAGATGAATGCAGGAAGTGTGCCAGAGACATTGTGCTCATTATGCAGGAAATTTACAAAAATCTAGGAGATGTTAAAGGCGTCGCCAAGTCTACTAAATCTGAAGGTACATAATTTTGTTGTAATGTGGTCGTAATTCAACTCTTGTGCTTGTAGAACCACCATCATCTGTAGCGTCTAAAGACAAGAAGAAGAAAAAGAAGGCCGTCAAAAGTGCGGACTCAAACAAAAACAAGAAAGAATCTCCCCAACCTTCAAAAACTCCTCTCAAGGAACTTGAGCCTGAAGACAAGGCTGAAGAAAATTTACCTGCCTTCCAAAAGCATGGTGCATCAATTTCTAAACGTACGAAAAATTCATCTAAATTTGAAAACTTATTGATTTTTAAATCTTTCAGGACATGGTCTTTGCTACACATTCCTGAGAGGATTCCTGTGGTCCATTGTTCTTGTGGCAATTTTCATAAGCAGCCTCATCCTGTCAAAGCATCCTCAGGTCCAGCCTTACGCACACACACTGAACCAGAAAATTGAACTTGCTAAAATCGAGCTAGGCAATTACTACGAGGTTTATGGAGAAAGGCTCTGGGTGCATTTAGGTGGGCTGAAGGAAACCTGGGCTTCGAGCATGACCAAACTGAATGGCTTTGTCGACGGGACGTTGATGGTTTTCCTGATCGACTTCAAGGAGAGGATGTTGGATGGCTTGGCAAGCATGAGAGTTCAAGTGAACGAATATTTAACAAAAAAAGACTGACAACAGCCACAAGATGGTTGAATTTTTGATTGCTTATATGTGCTAATTAATGCATTCCCAAAACTTGTAATTTTTTTATTTGCATTCCCGCCATTATGTTATGCGATGCAACCTTTGAATAAATCGAAAAAAATAATTGTGTAGAAAACAAACATCTTTTTGTTTCGAATTTATTGGTTAATTAGACAAAAACAGTACACGGAGGCACATACAACATCATTATGTGTAATAAAATGCAGTTGTAAAACAAATTCACGTTGGAGAGAGTGAATAAAAATTGGTGTGCACCAGAAACATAAGGATTCGTCAAAAGTTAACTTTAAACAAGACTAGCAATCAATAAATGCTTTGGTGCAGGGAATGACTATATAACATATATTTTTCAATGTAAGGAAGATTCAATTGCAAAAGAGATCTTAATCATTTTAGCGAATATATCACCAGTTATACCGACATAGATTTTGTGATAATTACACAGATAGTTCAGCAGTCGTCTCCGCTAACCCTACTGGAATTCATGCTATCAGGATTAGCCAATGGATCCAGCTCAGAAAAAACGTTCAGCCAGGCAGACATGTCGTTGCTACTCATTTTGCTCTTCTTAGGCAAGCGAGATTTGTCCTGATGACAAATTAATTAATTGTTAAGACTACCAATAAAAATTTTATTTACCTTGCTTGTCTCGGAACTTGGGGTTTCTGGACAGAGAGGAGCCAATTCCTCCGGAGTCCCATCTTTGGGCCAGTTTTCCAGCATTTTGGACGGCAAGTAGTTGTCAAAATTTAAACCAGTGAGCAGGGAAGACTCCTGGCTCACATCCGGTTGGTTTCCGAAAGCAGCTTGCCATTCGGCACTGAAGCCTGATGCGGTTGCGGACTCGTCTGGAGCAAACAAGTCCTTCAAAAGTGCCTCCGTTGTTGGGCTTTGGTCGGCACCTTTAATAAATAAAAACAGATTAAATTAGGAGAAGGTTTTGTTAAGAGAATACTACAAGTTGAAGAAGCTCCAATGTCAAGCAGCGCTTCGTCGTCATCAATTGGTTTAGCACGCTGGAATTCTTTGAAATCATCTCCGAATAAGAACATCCTAAATTCATACCATTTAAATACCTGAATCAATGAAATAATTTTCCCTTACTCATTCTCGGTTTTGTCAAGAGCCTCTTGAGCTTCTTCTCCTACTTCTTCCAATCCACCTTCTGTTTCTTCAGCTAATTTTAATGACTCATCTCGCAGCTCCTTCACAACGTTGAACTCGTAAGGCTGGTAATCTGTTAAAAATTAATACAGAAGTGAGAAATGGATTTGAATAACTTATAATTTATTTAATTATATTGCCTTTAATGGTCTTGGCCACATTGGAAAAAGCCTTGCAAGCCATTTCTGCAAACTTCAGCAGCGACGACTGGTACAAAATGAGTGCGTGGGAGAACATGTTGCACCTGGCTGCGGCCAAGAGATCGACTTTTTGCAGGCACACAATCTTCTGCTTGTCGAAGCCCTGCTTGCTGGTCCGCACCTGGATCTGCACCTTGCGGAATTTCTCCATCTGCCTATTGGTGTCAGGGTCGAGCTGCTGCGACACCTCCTTCATCCAGTTCAGGGAAGCTCGATACTCTGTGCGAGACCTTTCCATGGCCATGATATTCTGGTTCGTGTCATCAATAGCCCTGCGACGAAAAGTGTCAACCTCTTGATGCAGACGCAGCAGTGGCATGCGCATGGACAGTCGCTGCTGTCCGGTGTAGCTCATTGCCTTTCCCACGAGGATCATCATTTTGCCCGCCTGGCTCTTGTCCACCTTGCCAGCCTCCTTCAAAAAGCGGCCCATCGCGTTTTCCTCTTGCGATAAAGCTATAACCATCGACATATAAGTAAGATTTATTTTTTACATAATTTATTTAGACATTACTGCAAGTTTTTTCCTGATAGCGCTCTATGATCCTTTGCAAATCGTAACAGCTTTGCTGGATGGACCGATAGAGTTCCAACTTAGCGTCAAGGTCGGAATCAGAAGCAACAACGCATTCGTCTTCCTTTTTGCCAAGTTTCTTGAAAACCGTCTGCTTCGTCACCCAAAATTGTTTCTGCATCTTCGAGATGGTCGAATTTGATAACAGAGGGTGGTCGAATCCCCCATGCTGACCGTAATCTTGCTGCATTCTTCTGTTTCTGCAAAATTAAAAGTGGGATATGATGAAGGGTTTTTTATTAAACCTTCAGCAATGAAAAAAATTATGAACTGGAAAATCCAGAAGTCAGGATCAAGGTTGATTCGTGATTTTGGCATTATTATTATGTATTTAAACTTACACTTGACTATTCATCGTAATAGTCTAGAGTTTGGGTACCTAGCAGGGCAAAATCAACATGTTTACGTAAAAATCTGGCGCAGCGATGAAAATTATCCGCAAATTATTATTTTTTCATGTTCTACCAACGATAACAATAATTTTTTCACATACGTACAACGGGGGCGTGGCATTTATCTCCCTTCCCTCTCCCCACTCCCACTTCTAATTTTTTGCAAATTAGTATAGGAGGAAGGAGGATTGACAAATAATCCATTTTTTAAAGCGCGAAATTTGAATTGATGATGGTTTTCATTTAAAAATATGGCGTATATTTGAAGCTTTCGTAAGAGATACGATCTGAATTCGCAAAAACTTGAAAAAGCTCCTAGCACACCGTAGTTGGCGCTCTAGCGGACAAATCATGTGGTCCTTTCGAGATCCATAAATGGGCCGCGTTGCAGCAGTCTGACGATAGATCTGACAATTTTCCAAATTTTCCGACGTCAGATTTATTCAACGCCACCGAGCAACCCAAATCTTAATTGCTAATCGATTGCGTATCGAATATTCCGAATTTCCAGTTCCTAGAGGTAAGAATTCTGCTTGGAAATTCAAAAATGTCTGACGTGTTGGCTGACCGCGTTTTTCCTCCACACGAGGTCACGCACGCTTGATCGACGGACCCGCTATAAATTGCAACGCCACGACTGATCGACCATTTTTCCGTAGACTCTGAAACGCGGCCTTGATCTCTTGAAATCCGCTACAAAGCCTAGCCAGCAAAATGCCGAGTGACGCCAAGAAGAAGAGGGACCAGAAGAAAAAGGAAGCCTTGAAGGCTCGCCAGAACGGCGGCGGAAGTGGAGCAGGCGTCAAGAAACCAACCCAAAACGGCACGTCCGAGACCAACGGTGACGGCAAAGACAGTCCCGTTGAACTCAGTGCTGAAGGTGCGAAGAATTTTTTACTTTTTAAATCAATCTAATCGTTTATTTTCGTGGAATTTTCAGAGGCACTTTGCGCTAAGCTTGAAGCCGATGCGAGACTGAATGCTGAGGCACGTGCTTGCACCGGTTCCCTGGCGGTGCATCCCAGGAGTAGGGATGTCAAGATCAGTAACTTTTCCATCACTTTCCACGGCTGTGAAATGCTGCAGGACACAATGCTCGAGCTCAACTGCGGCCGAAGATACGGCCTCCTGGGTGCAAACGGATGTGGTACTTGAATTAAAATATAAATTTTCTTTTTAATTAAATTTCAATGATTTAAAAAATTACCGTCTGAATTTGTATGATCTTAACAATGGCTGTATTACTATGAGATTATTTCTGGCCACTAAATTGGTTTTTATAAATTGTGTCATGTTAATTGATGTATCTTTTGTTTCAGGAAAGAGTACTTTGCTCTCAGTATTGGGTAAACGTGAAGTGCCCATTCCGGAACACATTGATATTTTTCACTTGACCCGTGAAATGCCTGCCTCCGAGAAAAGTGCCCTTCAGTGTGTCATGGAGGTGGACGAGGAGCGGGTGCGACTTGAAAAGCTTGCCGAGGAGCTTATTGCTTGCGAGGATGAAGGTTTGTCACTAATTTTCCTTGTAAATTTTAAATTGATCTAAATTTCAATTTCAATGATTAAAAAAATTACCGTCTGAAACATTTGATCTTACCAATGGCTGTTTTTTCATGAGAGTTGAATGAATATTTTTTTTTTCAATTATTTTAATATGATTTATAATTGATTGGTTTTGGTTTTTTAGAGGCACAAGAGCAGCTAATGGATATTTATGAACGTTTGGACGACATGAGCGCAGACACGGCCGAGGCTCGTGCAGCCAACATTCTGCACGGTCTTGGTTTTACAAAAGATATGCAGATCAAGAAATGCAAAGACTTTTCCGGTGGTTGGAGGATGAGAATCGCCCTGGCCAGAGCCTTGTACGTAAAACCGCACTTGCTTCTTTTGGACGAACCGACCAACCACTTGGATCTTGATGCTTGTGTGTGGCTGGAGGAAGAACTGAAAACGTAAACATTTCTTAAAAAGTTTTATCAAATTAGTTTAATTATTTTCCCTACAGTTACAAACGCATTTTGGTGATTATTTCTCACTCTCAAGATTTCTTGAATGGTGTCTGTACCAACATCATCCACATGAACAAGAAGAGGCTCAAATATTACACGGTAAATATTTGTGTGGTTCTTATTTTCTTGTAAATTATTTCAAAATTTCAGGGTAATTATGACGCATTCATGAGAACTCGTATGGAGTTGCTGGAGAACCAGATGAAGCAATACAACTGGGAGCAGGACCAGATTGCCCACATGAAGAACTACATTGCCCGCTTTGGTCACGGAAGTGCTAAACTCGCTCGTCAGGCTCAAAGCAAGGAGAAAACCCTTGCGAAAATGGTCGCACAGGGACTGACTGAAAAAGTAACCAATGACAAAAACGTGTCATTCTATTTCCCGTCTTGTGGCACTATCCCACCTCCTGTTATCATGGTGCAGAACGTCAGCTTCAAGTGAGAAATTGACTCATTTTTACCAACTTGTCATAATAATATTTTTGCTAATTTAGGTATTCAGATGGCACACCGCACATCTACAAGAATCTGGAGTTTGGTATTGATCTGGATACTCGTCTTGCATTGGTCGGGCCCAACGGAGCTGGAAAAAGTACTTTGCTGAAGCTGCTCTATGGAGAAGTAAGATGAATTTTAAATTACTGAAGCCTAATTATTTTGTAATGATGATTGCTCATATGCACTGACACCTCTTGACAGATTTTTCTTGGTGATTTTTGTTTTTACTGATTTTTATGTATTGTTTAGAAGAACTCCGTCTTTTTATTTGGAGAACTGACAGCTTTTCTCATTTTAGTTGATTCCAACGGAAGGCATGATTCGCAAGAATTCCCATTTGCGGATCGCACGATACCACCAGCACTTGCACGAGTTGCTCGACCTGGACATCTCTCCTCTCGAGTACATGTTGAAATCCTTCCCCGACATCAAGGAGAAAGAAGAAATGCGTAAAATCATTGGTCGCTATGGCTTGACTGGAAGGCAGCAGGTAATTTGCCAAATCATTTCTTTCAAAAAGGAGGTTCTTATTTATTTTTATAAAGGTTTGCCCTATCCGTCAACTGAGCGATGGTCAGAGATGCCGAGTTGTGTTTGCCTATTTGGCCTGGCAGGCACCTCATTTGCTCCTACTTGACGAGCCGACCAACCACTTGGACATGGAAACAATTGACGCCCTTGCCGATGCGATCAGTGAGTTTGAGGGAGGCATGGTGCTGGTCAGCCACGACTTCAGGCTCATTAATCAGGTAATATTTCAATTTCTATTTGCATTCTAGTGTGGAACAAACTGTGATGAAAAAAATTACCGTCTGATTTTGATTGATTAAATTAATGGCTGTATTTAACTGAGAACCTTATTTCGTGCTTTAGTGTATGATTTTGGTTTGATTTTTGTGGTTCTAACAAAATGTTTTTCAATTTAGGTGGCTGAGGAAATTTGGATTTGCGAAAACGGTACGGTCACTAAGTGGCAGGGCGACATTCTCACTTACAAGAGCCATCTGAAGGAGAAAATCATGAAAGCTGAAGTGAAGTGAGTGTTCTTCCTGCACGTTATACCACTAAATAATTAATAGACCTTAACCGTCTTGCCTGACTAACGTTTGTGTTTTTTTGTTCTCCTATCAGGTCTCAGAAGCGGAGCTGATTCACTCGATCGTCACCGACAAATAATTAATATCTTTGCTTGACACTCAGTAATTTATTTATTTGATTGCAAGACTTAAGTATAGGATAATCACAAAACCCCGAAGCGGAAAACGGCCAGCGCACCCATTTTACCAGCTCTAGTTAATTCAGTTTAGTTTCCTTTGATCACCTTAACCTGCTTGATCGTCTTTACTAATTTTTCCAACCTGTTTGATCATTAAAATAATAAGGAAAGAGTCATTGTGATCATTAATGTTAATGGTAATTGTAATGTCGGTTATATTTAATAAAGAGCAATCATGATTTTGCGCATTGAACTTATGTTATGTAATTTGAACAATTATCCTTATTTGAAAAAAAAAAATAATAAACTTAAACTCTTACTATTAATTAACTATTTTATTCAAAATCCATATGAAATGACATTTTTACAGTGGAATTCACATTCTCTCAAAGAACAAAGAAATGCAGAGGCATTGAGCCGAACTGTGCACGAAATTAATTTTCAAGAAGCACCACCTGATATTATTATTATTTATCATATCTCCAAAACTCAATTAAGCTCATTGAAATAATTTAATTAAAATAATATAACTTAACAATATAAAAATGCACTTTCTCTAACTGAACTTTTTGACTTCATTATTATAAATATGATACATATCGATGATTTCAATGGCCAGCTATTTATGCCTGAGAATATTCTGCCTTGTAAACGGCGTGATAAGCATTTCTAATGAGTGCATATGGGAAGCACGACTCCAGCAAATCCATCGTAAGGAAGGGAGACTCTTGGACAATCTAAGATACATTATGATTAAAATTAACTTTGGTTTCCAACTTATATCTTACCAAATCAAGAAGCAAATACACAGATTCTCTGTTCTTTGTCAATTCTCTGTCAGCTTCTTGGCCGAGCCTCAACAAACTTGACGAAGCGAGCTAATAAAAAGAATTAAATTTGATTTTTCAAATGAAAATCTAATCCTTACAGCCAAAAACTCCTTCATGCGATCCTCAATGTCGCCTTGGCCGCAAATTGTGAATAATGCGCCAAACACGTTATTCACTGCAGTTGCTATGCAGTGGATGTTGTTAGCATGGCCCTCGTAGGAAGCACGGTAGAAGGAGTTTTCACTTCTCGACAGTTTTGGTATGGAGACGGCGACGAAGACCATCAGTAAGCAAGCAAGTAGTTGCTCATCTTCGTCAGGCTCACCTTTCTGGTTTCGTAAGGTATTGACCAAAGTTGGATCAACTTTGCACAGAAGACCAGCAGCAGTTGCCATCTCATTAACAATCTAAATGAAATTATTAGACTCACACAAAGTTCATTCTCAAATTTCGTTCATACCTGGTGCTTAACAGGCTCAATCTGGAAAAAATTAAATAATTCAGATATATTTCTTGAAACTATTGCAATATATATACCATTGGAGGGTCACTTTGCGATAGATTGTGCTTGAAGTCCAAAACAGAGCTCAGCAGGAAAGGAATTCTTTCCTCGAGAACGTCAACAAGTGCCGACTGGGCTAGTCGTCTGAAGCTCAGAATAACTCCAACGATGGTCATTCTTGTCAAAACGTTGTCCACATCTACCATTTACAAAAAGTGAGTTGGTATTTTTATAAAAGAAGGTTAAATATATTTGAAGACACTCACATTTAAAATAAGAGTCTAAGAAAAGAAATCATGCAAAGGACAACACCAAATCTATATTATTTTCTATATAGATTCAGCCGTGCATGCTTTTAAATGTAAAATATGGTTCGTTTAAAAAATCATAGTCTTACGGTGGCTTTTGGATCCTGAATGCAAAATAAACACACCAAGAGGTTATCCAGCATGCTTTGGCTAAAAAAATTTAAGCACCACTTACTTTGCAGTCGTTTGAACTGCTCCTTCATGATTTCAGGTTTGTCAAAGTTGGTCCTCAGTGCAATGAGCACCTCTTTGTTTGCAGCAACCAGTTTCTGAAGCAAAAATAATTAAACTCTAACAAATCGAAACAATGCAAATCTTTACCTTCAGTTCATGAACCTGACTGGCAATGTGCCACATGAGAGTTTCGTTGAGGTGCTTCATTCCATACGGACCAACCAATTCTGCTAAAGCTCGCAGTTCGTTGATATCGGAAAATTCTTCAGCGTTGAATGGAATTGTTCCTTCTGCGGTCAAACTCACAAAGGATCTTTGGTTGTTTGAGAAGCATATATTGCCAGCGCTTACTCTTCTCAACAGCACTTCCGAATACCTTAGAATATATTTTGGTAAGTACAAAGAACAAAAACTTTTAAATGAATGCTAAATTACCACTGAGTGTACAAAGCAGCGATGGTCTTTTCTCCATGACTGTCAACCTGCTGAGTTTGTTGCAGGAGGCAGTTGTTGAATACCCTTGTGATGTCGATGTGAACTACAGTAAACAGTTGAAATAATAAAACACCACTTAAACAACAGTTCATATCTTACCATAGTTCTCAACAGTTTGGAGCACATTCATGTATGCCCTGACACTGACTAGGAGCTCGGAGGGCTTGGCGATTTCACTTGTGTCTGGATTGTACATGACCATTCCGACAAGGGCACGGGCAAACCTATTTTCCAAATGTTGGTGCAAATACTCTCGTGGAGCAAACGAATACTCCCAGACATGGATCGTAGAGCAGTAGTTTATTGCAAAGCACAATTCAGTCAGGGCCATGTGCAGTTTGTCCATCCTAAAATCAAATCTTAGTGACTTAAAACAATAAATTTTTTTAAAGTCGTACGTGGTCAGGTCTTCGCGATTTTTACGGAAGCTTTCGTTGCCTGGTTTGTAAATTTCTGGAAGTGCTTTCTTGTTCTTGTCTTTTTTCTTGCGGTTCGCAGCCTGAGCAATTATAAGAGCGCAATGCTTTGGCAGCAACTTGTCGCTCATTGTGCACTGCTCGTCACAAATGGTTGTGATTATGTTCTTTGCCTCTTTGGCCATCTCGTCCAAAAACATGTTGACAACCGACAGACTTCTCTCCCTCAGATGGTGTCTCTGTTAGTTTTGAATTAAATAAGCCATTACTGAATTATCCTTTTAATTTCACCTCTTCAGGACACAGCTCGTGAGTGCAGCTCTGGAAGTGGCCACAGATGAGAGGAAAAGCCACTATAAATCGATTTTGAGCCGGGAATTCCAAACACATGTGGAATTGGTCTTCAAATATTTTGCTGTAGAAGCTGGAAATTTTTTTTTAATTATTAAATTATACCAAATTATTCAAAAGTACCAAAATATGGATAGGTCAGACGTTTCTACCATCATTTCATCTAGATAGTCGACCATCTTTGTGTGGAATGAAATTGTATCCAAAGATATGGCCAGTTCTCTGTGCTCGGCAAGCACAAGTGGGGATTTTGCAACAGATGTGTAAGCCTGAAGACGCATCCAATCCATTCTGAGCGCTCGGAAGTCGAACAATTCTCCTTCCTCCACTATTTTCACCAAATTAAGCAAAATTGGAAATTAAATTTTAAACAAACCTTGTTTCACAGATAACTGCGCAATTGAGCTCTGGATAGAGGCAAGGATGACACTCTCATCCTCCGACATGGTGACCAGCATGCTGATCATTTGATTCAGGGCTACGGCATCGTAACCTGACAAATACTGGACATAGTAACGCTGCATCACCTGGTTGTACTTGCGGACCAGCACTAAATTTTAATTTTAAATAAATTAAGAGGATTAAGAATGAAAGTGATATTCAACCTCTGAGCTCTTCCATGTGGAAAAGCAGCTCCGGCAATTGTCGGTCAACCAAGTCCTCTGCTGATTTTCCTTTGGCTTTGTGTTGAGGCGGGTTGTCGTTGTGTCGCAGCAGCCACATTACCTCATCGCGGGAGCAGCACAGACCCATGAATACAAGAAGAGACTGAAAAATTCACATTTAAAGATGAAAGACTAATGCTAACTTCTCATTACCTTTGGGCCCAAAAGTCCTGGTTGGTCTGTCAGAATGAGGGCCAGTTCTTTCAAGGCTGTGCGTAAAAACTTGCGACGCTCTCGATGGCGCAGAGCACTGAATTCAAATTCTATTATTCTCCCATTGCAACAGAAATTATTGTTAGCTTACGCTTTCTGCACTGTTTGAGTGTAGCATTCCTTGATCTCTGATATTCTCTTGCCGTATCCCTTGATACCATCAAAGAAGCTTTGCACATAAGAGTGAATGTGCAGAACTTCGTCTCTGAAGAGAGAAATGACCCATCCCGATTCAAGAGCACCAATCCACATTTTGCTCGGCTGCTCTTGATTCAAAGCTTGGTGGCACAAAGAGTATCCATCTAAATAAAGATGGTTAAATTACTGTAAATAAATTTAGTTTTAATGTTACAAATAATCCAGCGCTCCATGACTTCCAGAGACAAATACTCGCATGACATCGTCTCAGTCTGAGTCGGTTTCAGAAGCTGGCCAGGGTTGCTGACGAGACTGAGTTTCTGGTCAGCCCTCCATTTTTCTGCAGACAAGTTCCTGCTTACGAAAGGAGTCCACAGCGAGCCAAGAGCAGTGGCCAGCGTTTTGGAATGAGGAATGAACTCTTCCGACAGTTTCCTCAGGGGAGGATCGTAGTCCATAATCATTTGACCCAAACGTGGAAAGTCTCGGTCGCTAAGTACAGAGTGAAAGTTTATTAAGCAAGTGAGTTGATGTTTTTGTACCTGGCCGAGTGGACCATTTCGTGAGCTGCATTGAAAAGACCAAGAACAGCCTTTCGATCTTCGACTCGAGAAAGCAAAATCATCAAGGATACGTATGTGACGACAATGTCTAGGTACGCCTTGGTCAGATCAGGGTTGAGGGTCTGGAAAAGTCGCGTTACATTTTAAACTGATTTGATAATAGGGTGACTCACAATGTCGAGATGGACTTGACAGATGTCAATGGTCGTGAGCAAATCGCAGACATTGTCCTTGAAGTCCAGCAGGTCGACAAAAGTGTAGTAATATAGAGACAAGGACTTGATTATGTCATTTTTAATTCCGTGAATGCCCTGGAGCTGGAAATCACAGTACAATAAATTTTTGAATATTTAATCCTTTGAGTGTGGGGTTGCATCTTACCCCTTTGATGTCAATGTTCGGGAATCGCCTGACGATATGTTTAATCGAAGACTCGAGTTGCTTGTCGGACAGAAAAGCAGGTTTCGATTTTGCATCGCCGCAGGCCTGAAATTTGAGAAAAATTGAGCCGTTTTTGCAGTTTGCCGACGGTAAACACACCCACCTTCTTGATGTTGTAGATGCGGGTGAGCATTCCCTGCCCTCGGTCGTTGATAATGCATAGCTTTTCGGCCAACTTTTGTTGGCTAGGAACTGGAGGACGCGCCATAGAAAATCTGAAATGGTCTAACCTCGCCCCTAGCCGAAAATATCAATTGACAACTTGGTTTTCCTAATCATTCACTTCCGATCGTAACAAATGCCGGCCATGTTTTGTTTCTTTTCCTTTCGGTTTCACCTCCCCTCCTCTCGTTTTGCTCTTGACCCCACCCACGGTGAAGGAGAAAATGATTTCTTAGCTACCAAGCAAATAAAAAGCAACTTCTCAGATTCTTTATTGATTAAGCATTAAGAATAAAAGACTTCTCCCTAACATTTAATTATTTAATGAAATATAGTATAGAAAATTGAAAAAAATTTGAAATCATTAACATTTAAGCATATAATTTAGTAATCGATTTTAAAAATAAAAACCTTTTAGTGCTGTTACGTTGGCAGCTTTTTACTCGTTAAACAACAATGATGGCTGACGAAATGCTCTAGAGGCAACGTGGATTTGAAATATTTATGTTTTGACAAAGAAAAACGTTCTCTTGCACCGTCATGGCTTAGACAGTTTTCAAAAATATTAAGTCATCCAAGAAATTCAAAAGGTACGCCTATAAACCCGAAATTGACCTTACTAACCTTGCTTACATACTTCGCAACCGGACGGTGAGCCATGTGACTGCGCATTAGCCTTGTGGTTTTAAATTATAAAATTACTCACCAAGCTCTTGACATTTGAATGAATTTTAACTAACAACATTTTCTGACAGAATCCAGGAAAAATGGATCGGGTGATGCTGCAGAATCTGGCGCAGCTGGTCAATTCGACGTCGTCCGAAGGCCAGAGGGAAGCGCTCATCTACTTTGAGCAGCTGCGCACTTCTGAAGGAGCATGGAAACAATGCATCGAGTTGTTGCTCACAGACCTGACCCTGGATGAGACGGTCAAGTACCTTTGTCTGCAAATCATTGAACACTTTATCAGGGACCGCTACGGCACTGCAAGCGTTGAACAGCAAAACATTCTCAAGCAGTTTCTGCAGCAATGGATTCAACTCCAGGTTTGTTAACAAGATAATTGCCACAAAAACATGAAAATTATATCAATTTGGCCCACAGTGCAACAGCAACCTGAACCAGAAGGATTACATCAGGAATAAGATGGCTCAAATTTTCTGCCTAGTTTTCCTCCAGGATTATCCCGCTCGCTGGTCGACTTTCTTCACAGACTTGGTGCAAACTCTGCCCATGGGTGAACAGGCTGTAGACAACTACCTGAGAGTTTTGCAAACAATTGACACTGACGTAAAAGAACCAAAACATTATATTGAATGGTCTTATTAACCTTTTTAATCAGGTGACCTCTCGAGAAGCTGTTGACACACCTCAGGAGGCAATGAGGAATACTCTTATAAAGGACACCATGAGGGAGACCTCTGTGCCCAAAATGGTTGAGTCGTGGTTTCACATTCTGGTAATTCGTCTTTTTTTTCTAAAATTATGAATTCTCATCAATTTATTTTAGGATACGTATCAAAATAGTCAACCAGCTCTGGCTGGCAGGTGCCTTCAAGTGATTGGGGCATATATATCATGGATTGATATCAACTTGGTGGTCAACGACCAGTTTTTCCCACTTCTTGTGCAGCAGCTGTCCAAAAATGATCTGAGGGAAGATGCTGCTGACGGTCTCTTAAGCATCATCAACAAGGGTATGGAGCCAACGCAGAAAATCAAACTCGTCGACTCTCTCATCAACATTCTGGAAGCAACAAACATCCTTAATCCGCAGAATGTAATAAAAGATTTTATTTTAATGAGTTGGAAAGTTACTTTTTTAAATTTTAACTTGCAGCCTAATTACACTGATGACGAAACAGAATTTACAACAAAAATTTCCAAGTTGGTGAATGGTATGGGAATGATGCTCCTCGATTGCCATAGCAAGTAAGTTAATTGGGTGGGCAGAATGGAGTGCAGTAAATTTTTTCTTGTAAAACTGCAAATTATTCCAAATAACTAACTATTCCAAGCATCAAGTGACAGACGGGATATGAGACGTAAATTTAAATGTTTGATTAAAAGACAAGGGACAAGTAGGGAAGTCAAAATTATTTGCCGATGGAATAAAGCTCGCACAAATCTAATTGACCCACTTCCAAAACTGCTTTTCACTTGATATTTGGAATAATTTTAGCCAATATTCCCTGGAATAGTTCACTGTGAAGCAATTTGCTGACATTTTGGCTGAAGATTTTGTTGATTAATTCAATTTTCAATCAGGTTCCTCAAGGCTGGTGATGAATCTAAGGCACTATCTGCCTTTGCACTTGTTGAAAGAATGCTGCCTGTTACTGTTGGTTTCCTGGCAAATGACTATGATGACGTGTCAGCTGCAATTATTGAGTTTTGTAAATTGTACATATATGTAAGTGGGTTTATGATTGATTTGAACTTAACTTTGAACCAAATTTTCCTTGAACAGACAGTTAAGAGTAGAACAATTAGGACTGAAAGTCAGGAGCAGATTATGTGCAGTCTTCTTAGCACAGTGATTAAAAAGCTAAAATACGACGAGTCGTACAACTTTGAATCTGAGGGTGAAGACGAAGCAGAATTTTTTGAATTTAGGTATTTTTGGAAATTTTTCACTGAAACGCTGTAATTAAAATTGATGATTTTTAGGAAACAAGTGAAGGTGATTTTGGACAACTTGGTTGGCCTCAACAAGGAGTTCGTCTTAAATTTCTCAGAAAAGTTTGTGATCAATACAATTCCACAATGGCGTTTCATCAGCTTTGCAGATGTTGAAGTTGCCATTGCCATAGTATACTACATAGGTGAAGCGCTGCCCAACTCCGGGGGGAATCACTTCACTGGTGGAGAGGTAATTTCAAAATAATTATTGATTATATTCAATTTTTTAATATCTCAACACAGCCAAATGCTCTGAGAAACATGGTGAGAGCGTTGGTTTTGAACGATTTGAGCTCGCACAACCATAGTGCAGTGAAACTCATGTACTTTGAAACCATTGTGCGGTATGAAAAATTCTTCCTCGTCGAGCCAATGCACCTGGAAAATGTCCTCGCCTCCTTTGTTGATCATCGGGGCATTAGGAACCAAAACGTCAAAGTACAGAGCCGATGTGCTTATCTTTTTTCTCGATTCCTTAAGAGCGTCAAGTATATTATTTGTCATTAAGTCTGAATTTCTTATTTAAAAGTAAAATCCCACAGGCCTCACATTCAAGCTTTTGCTCCGAATCTGCTTCTGGCATTGAAAGATCTACTCGAGCTCAACACTCCTACTCAACCTGCATCTGTAATGTTGCAAACTAAATTCGCCCTCTCTGACGGAGACCAGCTTTACATTTACGAAGCCTGCAGCACGCTCATCCTGGCCAGTCGACTTGATAATGACGTAAAATTTAATCATTTCCTGTAAAAATGTATTTAACAAGGATGCAATACTTTTAGTCTAAAAGTGCTCTATTCCGAGAACTGGTCAATCCTTTATTGCAAAGGATTAGGCCCTTGCTGGACGAAATGCTTTCGGAAGGAAATCCTGTGCGGAAAGAAGCTTTGGCAGATTGCGTGTGCCATGCTATGGCCCTCACCAGCCGCTCAAGCAAGGCATTCAGCAGTCAGCTAAGCATGAAGATTATTGGATGCCACAAATTGTACCTCGAAGCGTTGGAAACCTTTTTCCTTCTTTGTCTCCAAGTATGACAAATCTCACTCTTTGGCGAATGAATATTAACTTTTACTCTTAAGGTGCCGGAGCACCAGCAGAAACTTCAGGGCGCTCTCCGGCAGTATTTGCACAGAATGATAGTGTGCTTGGACGTTGACATTCTACCCATAATGCCGACAATTTCCAATATGCTTCTGAATGCAAGCAATGCTCACAGTTTTCAAGAATACCTCCCCATTCTCATCCAGTTGATCACAAAATTTAAAGTGAGTTGCATGCTTGTAATATTATCTGTTTTATAAAATTAAATATATTTCTTTCAGAAGGATGTGATTCCCTTCCTCAGCGCCTCTTTCATTCCCATAATAAATACGATGGTTCGTGTTCTGGAGCAGCCTGTTGATGAAAACGACGAGGAATCAGTCAGGGATAGACAGAGTCTGCAGCGAAACTACTTCCTCTTCATCTCAACCATTGTGGGGAGCAACGAGATTATAATTGTACTGGACTGTGTGCCGGTGCAAGGGTTGGAACAGCTGCTTGGCACTGTGGTCCAAGGCGCCGTAGAGCTGACGGATCCCGTTGTAAGTGGAATCATAGCTTTTACTTCAGTTCAGAATTTCAGATTGACATTGTATTATTTACAGGCCCAGAAAACTTGCTTTACAATATTGAAAAGACTGGTCGAATCGTGGGGCAGGAGGGCAGACAAGCCAGGTTTCCATCAGTATGTGCTGGAAAACATAGTTCCCGCTTGTTTCATGGCCCCCATGAAATCGACTTTTGACCTGCGAGACGCGCAGTACTCGACTGTCTTGACTGAAATCGCCTCCTGTTTGAAAGCAGTGGTTAGTGCCAGGGTAGGTTCAAATTCTGCTCAATAGTTTCTTGGCTAATTTTATCATTTCCAGTGCCCTAACTTTGATAAATTCTTGTGCGACCGAATTTTCCCACTGCATAACATTCATGATGGGATGGCAAATGAATTTGTACAGGCACTCTACCAGGCTGATATGAAGACTTTTAAGAACTATATTAAAGTGAGTTTTAATTACAATTTCTTATTACTTTTTGATAATCCAATGAGATACATTATTTTATATTTGTTCCTGTTGCTAATATTTCCATTTTCTAGCAATTCTTCATGCAGCTGAGACCATGACAAGAAAGGCAGGGCCTGCAGAGGTCTGCCTCGACAACAGGTCCTTCAACCTACCCCCTGTACCATCTCATCACCTCGTGACTCATCTGTGTGTTGTCTAGTGGACCCATTAATCAATTGCCTCTAATCCCCCAGCACTGACTGTAACTAAACAAAGTAATCCTTAGTGGCAGCCATACATGAATGTAAAAATTGTTTGATTGTGCAAAATGAACGTTGCTTATATTACCTTTGCACTAAGGGCAACAAGCTGATTGTCTACAGTTTTTTGTTTGTATTGTACATTTTGCTTGTGGCATATTAATGTGGAGCCAACGTTTAATGAGAATTTACTCGTAGCATTGAAAACCCAGGTTTATGAAGTCTGTGATTGGCATGCAATATAATTTTAACGTAGTTAACAGCCACTGTTAATACTTGTATTTATCAGTTACAGGCTTATCATTCCAAAATATAATTATTTTGATATAAAAGGAAAATGTTTTGTAATAATTTTGTGTTGGTTACTCATGGAGGTCAATTTATGTCATTATCCCTGAAAGAAGTAATTAATTATTAGAGTTTGTAATGAATTTAACAGAAACTTTCAATAACAATTGTACTGTGCATTTGAAGTTGCATAAATCATGTGTACGGAATTTTGTAATCCGAAATCATAAAAATTCGTCTTTACGATATAATATGATACAACAGAAATTGAATTTTTATCACAGCAGCTTATCCTCTTATAAAAATATTCTGCTATACTTCAAGCAAATCTTCACATGAAATGTAAGGCAAAAAATTATTTTTTCAAGTTTTGTCGCTGAATTGTAACATTGTACATAGATATATAAAAAAATTAAACCAATTTTTATCAAACAATTTGGACATCTTTGTTTTTCCCGCCAAACACAAGTATTAAGTTAATTGGCTATACTAAAATTTCCTCGAATCCAATTGGTTCAAAGATACGCCCACCACATCGACCATGCCCAGTTCCCTCAAGATGCAGATCATTTGTGTTTTTTGACACTTGCAAGAACCTAGCTGTCAATTGTGTCGATTTGGTCTACAATTCTTCTTGATTTTTATATTTTTATGTAACATTTTATTGATATGTGGTCATTATGAAATTGAGATGGTTAAATACTGTAGAAATCTCCATTTAAGGTACTGAATCTTCAGGAAAAATCTACTTACTCCGCATATATACATAGACGAAAGCAATTTTTGCAAAACGTTTCTTTAATTTTTACAGGAAAACTGACTATTATTTCGATTGAAAATATCTTTTACGATGAGCATCAAGTCATTTGATTGCATTCCTGTCTTGGAAACTTCCCAGCTGCTCGCAGATCTGAGACCTCAAACTAAAATTCAGGTATAACTTAAAGGTGCCATAACAACTAAATATTTTGGTTGAAACTTCTTTTGTTTTTTTTTGCAGATTGAGAGCATAGAGTCATGTGGAAGTGAGCTCTTCTTAGGAACCTACGATGGTCTGATCCTGGTTTACAACATACAGGAAAGTCTGGAAACGGGTGGGAAGACAAAATGCTTTGCCACAAAAAACAGAGAGCGCTATTTAAGCACCGTAAATTCACTAGAAAGGGCGTTTTCAAATTTAAAGTAATGAATTTTTTCAGAGAAAGCCTATCAAGAGCATCAAAGCAGCCTCAGCTAGTGAACGACTGCTCATTATGAGCAACAACACAATTTTCTTACTGTCAATGTCGTCCCTCGAGCCTGTCGGATCGCAACTGCAAGGAGTCACAACAATTTGCGTCAATGAAAATCCATCAGACATTGATGATCCTTTTGCCACTCAAGTAATGATTACAAAATAATTATTTTTTATTTATTAATTCAATTGGGTTTAAACAGATTTGCGTGGCGACTAAAAAGAAAATTGAGGTTCACAATGCAAATGAGTCAAAGTTCTCTCTAATCACGGATGTTGCCACTTCGGAGCCTGTTGTGCACTTGGGAATAGATGGATCCTTCATATGCGTGGCTCTTATGACCAAGTACAAGATCTTCAACTTTAAAACTAAGGTTGTCCAAGAACTGTTTGATTTTCCTCCAGCTAATTTCTTTCCCATCGTAAGAAGAATACAGCAGGTTATTAACTTTTGCCGTATGAGAAAAGCATATTTTAATGTCGAATATTTTAGGGTGAATTTTTACTGACAGCTTCCGAAGGCCTTGGAATGTTTGTTACAACGGAAGGATTGTCAAATCGAGCACCAATCCAGTGGATGGTCCATACAAATTTTGACTCTGGATCGTAAGGGCTTTTTAAAGATGGATTAAATCTATGCATTTTAATTTATCAAATACTTTCAGTTCTGGCGTCATTGCAACAGCTTATTTTCATCCTTACATTTTAGCACTGTGTGGAAATTTCATCGTAGTTCACAGGTATTTAAATTTTTTTAATAATATTTGATTTAATTATCTTTGCTCCTGATTTTAGTATATTAGACCAGCAGCAAAAGCAGTCTGAGCCCTTCAGCGGAGGCGTTGCATTAGGAAATTTTGATGGTCGATTGTACGTTTGTACCTCAAAATCAGTTTACCGACTCTGTCCAGTCGCTTGGGAAAAGCAAGTCCAGGTAATTTTCTTTTAAAATTGATTTAAAAAAAAATATTTATGATCTTTTCTAGGCTCTCCTTTGTGACAAGAAAGTTGATGAGGCTCTCGATCTGATCCAAAACGCCAATTATACAGGATATTCAAGGGAGCAATTTGAAAAAATGAGCCAAAGAATAAAGCAGCAAGCGTCTTTCATTTATTTTTCTTTGAAGGACTTTGACAGAGCAAGAGAAATGTTCATTGAAAGCAACGTTGACGTCAGAGAGGTGATTTTATTAATAACAAATTTGCACAAAATTTTCTTAAAAAACTCCTCTAGGTTATTTCGCTCTTTCCAAATCTACTTCCACAATCATCTTCGTTTGTGAGAGCAATTCCACCCCTTCATGAAATTGCAGACGTTGACCAGCTATTCCAGAAAGACTCGGATGCCATTTCAGAAGCACAAGTCTGCCTTCGACAACTACTTGAAGATTTAAGAGATCCATCAGCTCCAGTTGTCTTACACCAATTTGTAATTAATTTGTTATGAGTTAATATAAAAAATTCACAATTTCTGGTACAGGAACTAGACACAGCTCTTGTCAAGTTATACGCCGAATCCAACAAAGACAGCCTTGCAGCTTTTATTTTGGCCGGAGATGTCCAGTGTGACACCAAAGACTGTTTGCAGTGGCTGGAGGAACTAGGCTGCTTCAACTCTGTTGCCCTTCTGCACAAACAATCCAAAAATAATGAGTTGGCTCTTGAGTACTGGGCTCGATTGGCATCTGGCGAAATTCAGGATGATAGTTTTCAAGGCATGGATTTCTTTGCCGAGTGTCTAGCAAAGTAATTTTTGAAATTTAATCATTCGGCAACAACTAAATATTTTCTTGTCTCTGTCAAAATCAGTACCAAAGATATGGATCTAGTTTGGAGACATGCAGCTTTTGTTTTAGACAAGGATGAAGAGTCGGGAGCCAAAATATTCACTTGCCGGAGCACGGACCAAAATCACATTCCTCTAGACGTAGATAAAATTGCAGAGTACTTGCAGAAGTATCCTAGAGCACTAGTCAATTATTTGGAGTATATTGTGTTGGAGGAGAAAAACCAAGTATAACTTCTTCCAAATTTGGCATTACAAGATATTTCTATACAATTTTTATTTTATAGGATGAAAAATTTCACTCTCGTCTGGCAGTTATTTATTTGGATTCGTTATCAAAGATGCAAAAAAACGGAGCCTCCCAAGACGAGATCCTGCGCATTCGAAAAAAATTCCAACGATTCCTCCAAGAATCAAATCTGTATCGGGTGCAAACAGTGCTTGCTAAAATCAAGGGCATGGGGTTGGACCGTGAAACAGCAACCCTGCATGGCAAGGTATTTTTAATATAACATTTATTTACTGACTGTTCATTAATTTTGTGCTTCAGCTCGGTGAGCACGACAAAGCGCTGACAATTTTGGTGCACAGACTGAAAGATTACACGGCTGCTGAAGAGTACTGCGAGGCTAACTCGGTGGGAAAAGACAAAAAGTCCAGTGAGGATCTCTTTCACAGCTTGCTCAACTGCTACTTGGACCAGCAATTTGAGTAAAAAAATTAATCTACTTGTCAAAATTATTGTATTTTATTATTTAGCAGTCAAGATGATAAAAATGAATTAGTCAAGCCAGCACTGGATTTGATCAATCGGAAGGCAAAAATGTTCAATGTGGCCAAAGTTCTGGAGCGCCTGCCTCAAGGGATTGCTGTGCCTGTTGTCGACTCTTTCCTTTGTGGTGCCCTGAGGTCGTCAATGCACAAGGTATAGATTAAGGGAAAAAACTTATTGATCCAAACTTATTTTTTAAATGCCCATTTAGTTTCGTATGAAAAAAGTGGAGGCATCTTTGGCCAAAGGCGAGAACATTCAACGGAGGCACGTCCTTTACGAGCTCCACAACAGTACTGTATTCCTGCAAGATAATAAGTATAAAATCATAAAAATAATTTGAATCAACAATCTAAAAAGAAAATCTTTTTAGTTATTGCTTTGTGTGCAAAAAACCATTCCAGGATGGCTCGTTTGCGCGATACCCCAACAATGTGATCACACACATCGCCTGTGCCAAACAAAATGATGTGTGCCCTGTCACGGGGAGGATTTTCCGCTCTCCTGATAAGCCCGATCGCTCATTTCCATCAAGCTGAATCATTCAATATAAAATGCTAAGCCTATGTTTTTACGCCCATATTATGTAAAAGCCGTATGTTGTAAACCCATAAAAAACAGAGAAGTCACATCAGATAATATAAATCTTGTTGAATTGGATTTCTTGAAATAAATATATTTCAATTCATTATTATTTTACGCCTGAGCTTATGCCTAAAAAATTAATCTCAAATTCACCTGATCTACATTTAAAAATATGTCAGTTAATTATGGAAAGACATTTTTATTTTATTTATTTTACATTTGAAAATTAATTCATTTAATACGTTTTTGAAAATAATAAGAATTGTGAAATAATGATGATAAAAAAATTTATACTGATTGAATTATTTTTCAGACATAAATAATTAAATACTAAATACTTCAAAAAATTTAAAGCCTCGGCTAACTTCCCATCTCTCTTGTAGGTTGTCTTTTTTTTCCTTTTTTTATAATATCAAGGCTAGGAAGAGCCACCTACAATTAACCACAGAACTAAAGGTGCTCATTTTTTTGCCCAGCCTCCAGCCAGACGCTTTATCTTTTACCGACCAAGGAGGCTTGGTTAAAGAAACATCAAAGACCCGACAAACTGCTTCATTTGTACATTTAAAAATATTTAAATTGATAGAAATTAATCTTGCACGCATATTCTTGCAAAATACAGCAAGTGGGCAGAAATTATCACAATATTTCCTCTTAAAACCAGGAAAATCAACTTTTGTTATGAAAGGGCAGTCCTCCTCTTTCTACCCTCCGTGTAAAGCGGCTCATCCTTTGATGTTATCCAAATAGCCCAGCACCGAGACGGACGCCGTTTGGGCCGTCTTTTTCCCCTTTTCTGGCCGCCTCGGCCTAATTTGCACATTTGTCTAGACATGTAAGTGTCCGACACACGCATTCGTACAAAATCAAGTCGCACCAGCCAAGGATGTAGGAGAACTGGAAGGCCTCTGCTGGACCACTTTTCTTCTTCTTTCGGCGGCAGCATCCCTCGTAGGGCGAGACATGTGGGTCTGTGGCTTGTTTGTGGGCCTGCTGCTGATGGCCCCGGCCCACTCGTTCGGCAACAGCAGCATCAAGCTCATCAGGGCTGAAATGAAGCGGCCGTGGAACAACGAGGTGGTCGTCGAGCCCATCAGGGGTGTTTATCTTGAGGACCTGGCTGGGAAAATCGGCTCAAATCTTCGGCAGATCAGCAATCAGGAAATGGGAGTGACGGTCATGCAGGTTAATTATTTTTTTAAATTAAATAAGAAAGACAAAGAATTAATTTTTTATATCATATTTTTAGGAAATTTATGATGCCCTGCAATTCGGACCAACCTCTCGGGATGATACGAATAAAGTTGTGGAGGTAAAAAGAATTAAAAAAGTATTAAAACTTTGAAAATATTAATTTGTAAATATTCACAGATGGCTGAAAGGCTGCAGATGAAAGTGAGGAGGTACATGGCCGTCCTGAATCGCAGCAAGGCCACCATAGAGGAGATGTTTTGGCGTCACACTTCCAAGCTGTCCTCGACTTCCTTCCCGTGCTGCACTCCGGAGCCAGACGCAGGTGCAGGCCAAGGTTCAAGAAGCTTTAGCTGCCTCATTGGTGGTTCCGCAGATCAACTCGGTCTTGTCGACCATGGTTCGAACCTCACTGATGGTATTCTGAAGTTTTATATTAAAAAAATCAAATAACTGAAACTTTTATTCAGTTTTCTCTGCCAACATCAAGTCTCACCCAACCATCAAGAGTCAGTTTTTTGTGTCCAGCGCAGACCTTAAAGGCAGGTCATTCACTCGAGTCCTCGACCAAAGCGCACCGTGCGTCCAAGACACAAGGCATAGGTACTTTGTAATTGAAATTTAAACTAAATTTTAATTAAACCATTATTCTTAGGGACGTATTTTTTGACACTATTGAGGCGCACAGCAAGAAAGTCCTTATATTGATCGACCACGGCAACTCTTTGAGCCAGAACCAGCTGAGTTTGGCCAAAATTTTGAGTAAGAATTGAATTTACTCCTTATCCTTTAATTAGCATTCTCATTTCCTCAGGCAAGAGAATAATTAGCACTCTGGCGCCTACAGACCAGGTCGGCGTAATGGCTCTTGCAGATGGCATCACCCTGCCGAGCAACCTTAAATGTCTGTCTTCGTCTCTGCCGCTGGCCATCCAGCACGTCAAAACCCTTTTTTCACGATTCGTGGACAGCTTGGAGAAAAGCAAGACGTCCACAAACCACTCCCTAGGCTTCCAGTCTGCTCTGCAGACCATACGGAAGGTGGCCAATGTGGAGGACACGGTTCTGCTGGTCTACATCAGCAGAGGCTTATTATCCTCTCTTGAAGAGGCCAAAGTTGTTTTCGAAACTATTGCCAACAACGCACAAATTATGCCTTCGAAAGTTGTTCTCAGCACTGCCGCTCTAGTCGATGGTACAGTATTAAAATTCAAAATAATAATTGAGATTTATCAAAACAAATTTACCAGATGGGAAGCCTCTGATGATTGAAAAGCAATTCATGCAAGACTTGGCAGCTCAAAACTATCACAACTACAACCTCACCGCTCCTCGAAGGGTTATTCCTGGATTACTGCAAATTGTAAATTCAAGCACAAGCATATCACTAGCCGTATCGCAACTGTTCAACTCTATGAAGGACTCTGTCAAACACGAACCTTCTTTTTCCTTGCCTACTTGGGACGGCCAAGGTAAATGACATTTTCAATAATTAATTGATCAAAATGTAACTAAATTTTTATTTTGTTTTACTTATTGTTAGGTTTGGTTGTGAGCATCACTCAGCCTTGTCTCCACTTGAACGAAGTGGTCGGTGTGGTTGGTCTCGACCTCCAGCTTTCAGATCTAGTGGAGGACGTGACCTACTTCAATGGTTACGGATCTTCTTACGCATTCATCATAACCAAGAATGGTCTCGTCCTGATGCACCCCTCACTTCCAAGGCCCAGTTTTGCCTTCGACCAGCCTCTGGTTGTGGACATAGACAATTTTGAGACGATCCCCGACTTCCAGGTGGTGCGTCGAAAAATGCTCAGCCACAAAAACGGCTCCTTCACCGTCATCCTGAGAAAGAACAGTCGCAACTACGACAAGGAGCAGGTGCATTATTGTTGGCGGCAGCTAGACGAGGCGCCGTACATCTTAGTGATTGCCTCACATGACAAGGGCAAACCTCTGAGGACTCTGCAGAGGGTAGCCATTCCTTCCAGTCGGCCAAGCCTTGTTTACCACAGGCTGGACTTGCTGCCTACCCCACCAAAGGTCAATATTTGCAGACACCAAAGACAGCTAGCAACCCTAGGTAAGTAATTATTCATTTGAATGAGATTTTAAAAACTTGCGATTTTTTCTTCAGATTCTGGCTCAATTTTTCTCTCGGCTGCATGTTTCCAATCACCGTTCGAGTACTTGATTCACGAAGACATCCCAATGCAGCTGGCAAAAAGTTACATGGACTTCCTCTTCAACAAACAAGGCGCCAATCCTGGTCTTAAATCGTCTGTGAAAAATGACGTTGGCGCACTGATGCAGATAATCGATCACTGGAAGAATGAGATGCAGGAAAGCACTGTTGGCAAATACATTGTTCGAAGGTAATGAAAAAAATACCTAATAATAATAATTTATTAATAATTAAATGTTTCAGCTTTGCTGCAACCCCCAGCGGTGTTTTTCAAATGTATCCAGGGTCGGGTCTTGACCACGATTATGACCCAACTCGTCGGCCGTGGTACATCAGGGCGCTCAAGTTTCCTGGTAAAGTGGTTCTTTCCACCCCTTACTTGGACGTTGGCGGCGCTGGATACATAGTCACATTGAGTCACACTGTTTACGAAGGCCAGTCAGCTGCTCTGCACAGTCCCTCAGACACAGTGGCTGCAGTTCTTGGCCTCGACGTCACAGTTGGCTTTGTCTACAAACTCTTGATTCAAGCTGCTCCCTTCTGCCAGGTATGGAAAAGGAAAACATTTATTTTGACTTAATATTCTGGGGCGAATAAAGTCTTTTTGATCTCAAAAGTTTTAGCAAATTCTTGCAAGTAGTGGTGCTGTTTTGTTCAACAAATCCTTTTTTAAGCAAATAATTGTTTTTAAAAATTGTGGAAAATAATCAAATTTTGTGTTTTCAGGAGCCTGGAGTAAAATGTCTTTTAATTGACGACGAGGGCTATGTCTTGGCTCACCCTAGCTTGATCGACGGAAGGGGCATTCGTCAGCACCTGACGCACAAGGAGCCCCTAGTGGCCAATGACATGCTGAACCACCAAGGTTTGGCCAGCAAAGTTCTGTGCTCGAGCTTTGCTGACCAGACCCTGCAGCGCTATTTCCGCTTCAACACTAGTCTGTCGACGGTGCTGACCAACTTGGTGCACGGAGAACAATGTGCCAAGTACCAAATTGCGGCAGTTCCTGGCACAAATGTCTTTGTGGTTGTGGTGAACGCAACCTGTGACGTCGTCACCACCTTTTGCCCGTGCAGTGTGGTCAGTATAATTATTTTTTAAATAGATCAATTTCCTCAATTTTGATTTATAGACGGACCGACTCTGCTTGAACTGCAATCGAATGGAGCAGACTGATTGTGAGTGCCCGTGCGAGTGTCCTTTGGAAATCGACTACTGCACTGGCGAACTGGCAAATAAAGACGAACATATTCCGAGCTGTCCTCCAGTTTTGGAAGCTCTCAAACCTGCTCAGCATAGCGCAATTGTTCCGGAAGAGTCGACACTTGAGCCTTGTTTCCCGAGAGATTGCGAGTACATAAATGCATACAGGTAATTATTTTTTGTCCAAATATGGACAATCAAAAAATATTAAATTTGAAGCAATTTATTAAATTAAAAAAAGAACACATGGATATTTCAAAAAACTTATATTTTATTTTGTAATTAAAATTTAAACAAAATTTCAGTGATTGTCTTGGTGTGGTGGGGTGTGAGTGGTGCGTATTGGACAGTGACGAGGAGACGCCCCTCCGAAGTCCATTCTGCACCTTCCAGGAAAAGTGCTTCAATGGCATTCTCGGCTCAAGAACCCCCTACAGCAACACCATCCTAGGTAAAATATTCTGAGCTATAATTCCGTTTCAACTATTTAAATTTGAAATCGGAATCAGGTGGTCAGTTGTCGGAGGCAAGCAGCAAGTACAAAACAACCCCTATTGGCCCTGTTGCCGGTGGCTTCATCGGCATCATTCTCACCGTCGGAATGGCCATCTACTGCTACAAGATGGCTAGTCAGAGGCAGCACATACACGCTTACATGAGCTCCGTGCCCGAAACGGCAGTTCGAATGTCCACCCTAGACAATGAAGTTGACGATGAAGATTCACCAAGTCAGACTGATACAAGTGAGACAAAATTTGAAAATTCATACAAAATTTTTTAAATTACTAGAAACAAATTTAAATCAAAACTTATCGCGAAAGAAATAATAATCAAAAGCATATTTTTAATGTATTTTTTATTCTTTTTTATACATGATTTTTTTTTAATTTAAAAACTCATTGCAGATGCTCAACAGCAACAGCAGCAAATACTGCTAGAGGAGCTGCCATCGGCCATTTCCCCTTACAGGGTGAGCACCAATTACCGAAGACCTCCTGGTGGTGACAGTGACCACGGGTACTCGACCATGACCCCTCACGACGACTCGGAGCACACGCCGTGCGCCGAGCCCTTGCTCTTGGCCAAACCTGTGCGCACATCGTCCAACTCGTCCTCACCAGTAACCACCGAGCTGCCCATGAACCAGTTCTTGGCCCCTGTCACGGTGCACATGGTCGACACCCTATGAGCAGTACTTTTTTTTAATTAGCCATAAATCAGACTGGTTGTTTAAAAAAAAAAACACCAAACTTAAGTTCTTGTGCCACTTTCTCCGAGCTTTGAGATACATTTTCTGGATTTTCTACGAAACTTTTGAGACTCGACTTGCAGCTGTTTTCCTATTTTTGTACAACAACACTTTGACGGACGGAGCCAATGTAAATTTTTACCTCATAGCATGCCAAGCAACTTTTTGATAATCGAACTTCCGTAATCTGTGTTAATTAAGGTATTTTTAAACAGTACGTACGTGTCAGTGAGTGTTTAATATTTATTTTGTGACAATGTTCCTGCTTTTGTAACGTTTTAAGTACTTTTGTAATAACTGAATATAATCTTTGTACATTTAAAGAACTGCATAGCCCAATGGTTTTTTTCTCTCCTTAAATTAAAAAAAAAACCAAGTCCAATTCTTTCTTTTGACGAGAAATATCTGCATAATTCTGGATCCAAGAGATTAAATGCTGCAGAAGTTGTCTACAAAAATGTTTAAATAGCAATTCTTTTCTATCAGGGATCGGTGAGAAAATTCATAAAAAATCTCCACAATAAAAAATCATAAGTGCTTTTAAAATGCGTCATGAAGGAGAAATTATTTTTATCACAAAATAATTGGAAAAGCTGCACTTAATTTTTTATCAAGATTTTTTTTGTAGCATTTGAATTGATATTATGAATTAATACTTACCTAATTTAGCGAAAATGATTTTTGAAATGATGAGTTACACTCCGGGTGGAAGCAATGTGAGTGTGGGCCATCAGTCAGAATCAAGAAAGCCCACATGCACATCACAGAACCCGAAAAGTTATTGAAGATTTTGGTGGTGACCGTCCTCTGGGAATATCTCCTGATTTTCTATTAAAAATTGAATTCAAAAACTCCCCGTGGTATTTGTTAATAAACTTAATCGACTTTTGAAGTCATTAAAATTTTTCTTTGTACCCTGAAAATTTTCTGCCCATTTGTTTAAAAAATATTGGAACTGTGTGCGAATTGTCTTCAATGCCCTCTCGGTGCAGACTGAGCACCAAAAGGGACACCAACATGTACGCACTTGCAAATACCTGTTACTCAAGGGGAAGGGTATTTTCGCTGATTTTGCATAATCTGCATGTACTGCAGTTCCATGTGCCTCGTCGCGCTCGAGTGCGAAACGTAAAACATTCACTACAGAAAATGAATGATAGAAATGAGACTCATTTGACAAATACATTTTATCAATTCAAAAATTTAAAACAAATATTGAACTCTTTAATACAATTAAAAAAATAATCAAAAAACAATATCCCTTTTTTAATTAATATCTTTGTAAAAATTTAAATATTTTTTTCTCAGAAAAATTTGGTTCAAAATGTCCTTTTAATTATAATTATTTATATTTTGTAATTAATGATGTGGAAAAAACTGGCTAAAAATAATTCTTCGAACTTGTTTCGACGTTGGCGTGTGCGTGCAACGGTCAGCTTAATTTCCTGTCGCAAAGTTGAGAATTCATCATTTTTCGCTCTGCTGTATCGGATTGCACTTCCTTTTTGCTGATTGCGAATTCATGTTAATTGCACGAGGGCAGCATTTCTTGAAAATAATTTAATTTGCCACGAAGATTAATACTAATTTATTTAAATTTAATTGTTCTCAAATATTAATAAAAAATTTTAATATTAAAAAAAAATTGTTGTGCGAAAATTCATTAGGAATGTCAGTGATGTCTGAAAATTGGGAAGAATAAAAAATGCTTGCTTTAAAACGATGCGAAAAAGTGGAAACGACTAACTGTCGTCTCATGTATGCATTTCGCAGACCACAATATTGAAAGACGAGGAGCTTCCATGTCTGAGAGTCAAGCAATCATATCCCAACGTGTTTATATAGAGTCATAAATAATATTGAAATGAAAAAAGCACACACGCACCAAAGGTATTATTATAATTATAATCAATTTCATTATCAAGATCAAGAACATTTTTTTGTCACTTTATAGGAGAAAGGCAAAAACTTTTACATAGGAAATTATACAATTTCCGCCTTTTTTATTAGGACATAAAGAAAAACGCAGGTAATTTACGACTAGGCAGTAAAATTATAAGAGCCATTGATTTTTATTCGGATGTATATCTTTTACTTTTTATCACAGGCAGTGAATTCTTGTTCAAGCTGTACAAAGGTAATGCACACTGGTTGCAAAGTTGCTAAAGAAGCAGGAAAGACGCTAAATATGATTACACTTGCGTTTCTTGTTTTCTTATTTAACGTGTGCGCGCGCGAGAAAATAAGAAGCCTCTGAGCATTTTATTTTATTTTATGAGACCAACTCACATACGAAATATAAGAAACACGTTTGTTAACAAACGCACTTTTCAATATAAATGATTATAAAATAAATAAAAAATTCCGATCGTGATTAGCGAATTAAAAAGCAACTCTCGGAGGAAGATTTAATTATTGCGTTCGAGGAGGAGCAGAGATCGATTCTGGTTTTGATTGAGAAGAGAAAAATATGCGATCGTCGTTTCAATTGTTTAACAGAAAGCCGGGTCAAGCAACTTGTGATTCCAACTATTATTCCGAGTCAATAACATCACGCAACTTTCACGACGAACAGAAAGTCGCGTCCTCTTCTCTCGCGCAGGTTGATAAAAATTTGACGAGTGAAGAGTAACATCGAATCTGAAATCTCGTTAGAAAATTGAAACATTTATTTTGTTTAATTTTACCAAAATTTATAACCTTTTAAAAATATTTAAAGATATAAAATATTTAAAAAAAAAGGAAACTATTGTGATTTCAATAATAATCCAGGTATTAAATATTAAAATTTTTTAAATAAACACGCATGATATTGCAATTTATGCTTAATGTATGGATTTCTTTCTTCTTCATTGAAGTGAAAAATTAATTTGTAAATTACAATTTTTTTATTTATATCGAAAGTTCATAAATATACCAGTTAAAATTTTTAAATATATTAACATTCCATATTTTCAAAGTTAAAAGTCTCAATATCAATAATGGTGGTTAAAATTTCCGATATTTTTTTCTTCCCATATATTGCCAAAGACAACTCCTATTGCCTATTGTTGTAAAATACTTTGATTTTACTTTGCCGATAAGAAGTGTTTTTGTTTTCAGATTTTGTCATTGCTTTAATTATTATTTTTTTCTAATTTTTTACAATATATTATCACTGAAAGATAATTGACAAACAATTATTTTAGGAGGGAAACATTGACAGAGAGGCAAACAAAAAAAACTCTCCATCCGCCCCACTGACGTGAGTCTCAATAGACTTAGTTTTGGTTAACAATTTATATTTAGTTGCAAAATGAAGTAAATTTAAATGCTCTAATTTCAATTATTTTCAGAGATTTTCCATAATTTTAAGTAATATCAGCAGGTAAATTATTTCATTAATAAATTTAAAACAAGTTATAGAAGCATTTTAGCCGAAATGTTAAACAGAGTTACATAGTTAATTTTTTTTGCAATTTATTAGGGTTGAAATAATAAAAACAATTAAATTTATCGGAATTTAATTATTTTTGTTTCAACAAAGACTTTTTTAAACTTAAACTGAGCAAAATATCATTGAAGAAAACCTCATTAAATCAGATGACAGGACATTTATGGTCAAAAGTCAAAAAGAGGATTTTTTCATCATTTTTTTGCATAATAAATATTTTCAGTAATTTTTTTTTAATAAATGTTTCTATGAATTTCAGCATAATTAATTAATGATAAATAAATCACTGAAACTAATTAAAACAACAAAGAAAAAAATCTGTGTTCCTTGAAAGTAGTAAAATCAGAGTTCGCCGCTGCAATTCGCGCCACCCGCACGAACAATAGAAATTAGTTTGTGCGATCGCCGCGTATGGGCGCTGCAGTCGACGTTGCTGCGAGTCCATCGACGGACGGCGATCTCTCCTCCGCGGCCCCCAGCCCCAAATCAGCCAAACAAACGGATTTTCTGGCCTTTCGGGGCCAGCGGGGGCGACGCAGTGGGCGCCGAAGCACGTTTGGCGGCGCCGACACGAGGATCGGGGCCGGGGCGCGCGGCCCGCGGCGGCAGGTGCGCCGAGAAAGCTCGTTGAAGGAGCAGCTGCTGCTCAACAATAGACTGCAGATGGCCCGAGGGGCGGGTTAGTCACTCTTCTTGGCCCCAACAATCACTACCCTCAAGATACAGAAGATAGATCTGCTAGTCTGCTCGTCGACATGCAACCCTCGGCCATGTAAGTCTCGAAAAAACAAAAAAACGGCGCCGAACAAGAAAGGGAAAAAGTTAATTTCTCTTCGTCGAGGGGGTTGGGCAGGGGTGGCCTCGTGACTTTTAAGCTTTCAACCCCCTCGTGATTGCTAGCTCTTTAAATTACTTCAATTTGATATAAAAAAATCATTCATTCGAGCCACAGTTGAGTATTTTTATCTTAAATTTTGCCTAACAATTCAATTGTTTCATTTTTAAGGGATGTTTCTATTTTATAAATTTTAATTTTTTAGTTTAAATGATATTGAGAACGGTTTGCAACGGGAGATTGCTTTGTTGTTGGATTTGTTTGGCTGTTCAAGTAGGATTTTACGGCTGCGTAAGTTAGTAGGGCGAGAATTACTCCGAGGCCCTTTCCCGAAGCAATAATAATAATTTGTCTCGCTTCTTCTTTTAATTAAGCACACAATTCTCTCAGCGAATGCACCATTTAATTGGAACTGTCCGTTTTCCTTTCGAAAATTTTGAGAATATTTCAAATCAGAAAGTATTAAAGAGGATGGAACCGCCTCGGGGCACAAAATCCTCCGCAAAAAAAGTTAATTTAGGCCATAAGGATCATTTGATAAACGGAAAATTATTATTATTTTTCATTTGCCTACCTTCCTTAATAACCCTGCTACAAATTTGGCACCAGAAAATTGGGGGTCACCACATAAATTTTGAAAAGAACATGCGTGGTTTAAAATTTTTCTACTTTCCGAAAAAATCAAGTTAATTTTTGAGCTCTTGAAATAAATTGATTTCTGCAAATTTATTATATTTTGATTCTTCAATTACTCGAGTAATAATAAATTTTCATATTTTCCAAAATCCAATATGGCCGCCGGAGATAAATAAGGGTTTACTAAAACTGCTGCCAAATTAATTTGGTTATAGATTTTTTAATTTTCTCGGCGGTAGGTTGAAGCTAATAAACCAAGGTATCTTTTCTTAAAGGGCACCTAATTTCTAGGTCAAAGGTCACTGACCGTGGCAAAAGGTTAAAATTAAAAGTTGTTTGCGCCTTGAAAAGAGGCAACCTGACAAAAAATCCGAGATAGCCAAAAGATGCACCGTATCATTTTGCATCAGAACCAAATTTTAATAATTTTTAACAAGCCGCTTAGAAAATATTAAATTTATTTTAAAATAATCTATTCCGATGAAAGTTAAAAATTAGAATGTGAGCCATTTTTTAAACATATTTCATTCAAATTGTGTAAATTTTATTGAATTAAATTCAAAATTAAACTATTTGAAAAGTAAACATTGATATGCGGTTTCATCCACTTTAAAAAATCGATTCGACTTCCAAATGCGTAATTAATTATTCGCATTGAGCTGTTTTTTAATTGTCGATGAGAGCTATAATTGGGTTGACTGGTGGCTTTGTTGTTTTGCTGCGTGTCCGGGGCAGCGGTGGGAGGCCCTTGAAACGCGCCGCTTTAGAAAGTGCGCCAAGAGACACTCGTCGCGCGACGATTGTGGTGGCTGGCGCGACCGACCGAAATGGCCCCGATGACCCTTTAAGGCTTTTCCGCCGTCTCTGATTTTGGTTGTGTTTTGTTGCATCGATGCCGTGCAGGCCCTCGAGTATGGACGAGGAGCTGTGGCGGGCCCACAAGAGACGCAGCGCCGGCCCCAATCTGTGGCGCGGCCCCGACGGCGCCAACAACAACAATGCACCCCAGCAGATCACCCAGGAACACACGTGAGTCCAATTGTCTTTTAAAATCACAAATTAACAAACAAAAAAATCGTCTACATTAATTTGATAAGTTAAAAAGCACAAAATTGGACAAATTGTTTTTATATTTTATGAAGGAATTTAATTATTCATATATTTTTTACGTTAATTTGCCACGATTTATAATTGATTTTTTAAGCTTCAAACACTGTGAAAAAAATTAACCTCAAAGAACAAAAAAGTAAAATTTATTTTCGTTATCAGTTTGTGGAAATTTGGCCAACCGGAATTTACCGGCAAAGGATGCGGCTTAGCCAAAGATAAAATCCATTTTTTTTTAAGTCATGTTTTCCGTTTTGCTTACAAGTTTAAATTTGAATTGGCAATTTCTAGTTTTTGAAATTTAATTGTTCATATTTCCAAATCTTGCATTAATTTCAATTCTATTTTAAATTCAGTTTTATTATGATTGTAATTTAGATCTTCTCTTTAATTAACTCATTGTCACTCATTCTCTTCTAACTTCTGTTTTTGTTGTTGTCATGGATGGAGCTTTTCAAATGTTAGCCTTTTATCTTCTCTCACGCTCATGGTCATAGTTGTGTAAATTTGTTTAATTGATGAAGATGGGCATCGGTCGTCAAGCTAGAAAAATATCAATTAATTTCACTGAAGCAAAATTTGTTAATTTTTAACTAGTTTTGGCTGTTTTCATACAAAACAATTTTTTTAAATGAAAATTCCATAGACAAATTTATTTTCCTGAACTAATTTTCAAATTTTTTCTATTCACTATTTTTAAATTGAGCCAAAAATAAATACAAATTTAGAAGCATTTTGTGCAAACGATTTTTTAAAGTTATCAGTCCGATTAAAAAAGAGAGGCTGAAAATATTCACTTTTAAAAAGAAGGTTTCAGGCCAAGTTTAATTTAAAAAAGACAAATAAAAAAATTCTAAACTTCGATTAATCGAACCAAGAAATCCTTTATCTAATATATCAAAACTATAGCAAAAGTTTTGTTTAAACCAAATTAATTAAAGTGATTACGCATTTCATTCCTCGTCTCTTTTGCAATCTGCCGTGAAATTATAAAAAAAAAGAAGAAGAATTCCCATCTCATTCTGTTTGGGCGCTTCTGGGAGTGCGTGTGTCATTATGCATTTTTAACGACCAACCTTGGCCAGTGTTTGCCAACATCTTTCGCACAACTTTTCCGTCTAAAACTCTTAAACTCCGCAGGCAAAGAACAAAACCAACTGACAGTGCGTACAATTCTAAGGTTGGAATGGAATTCTTTCTTTCTCTGAAATGAAAATAAATTCCGATGGATTCACCCTTGAGGAAAAATTGAATTTTATCGCCAAGGCTGAGCTGATAAATGAATTTCGCCCCCCGCGCGAGTGTTGTTTCTTTTTTTATTTGTTGTTATTTTCCGTGGTGCGTGTCACGTGTTCCGAGAGGCCGTGCAAGTGTTCCGACGACGAGGAGCGGCCAATCTCTCTCCTTAATTAAACTGCTTCCGCGATTAATTTCACTTTTCGTTCGCCCTCCGGTGCGAAATCGATTTGGTAAACTCGTTTGCCACTGACGGAAGCTTCTGCGATTTTGAATAATTCAACGCGTAATCCAGATTTGCCAGTTCATCGGTCCAAGCTGGTTAAAATTTAGCGTTTATTGAAACGATTGGTTTTGATTAAAGATTACAATTATTTATTTATTTGTTTAGATCGTAAACCAATTTCTATAATTTTTTCCTTCATTTTAACTGTGATATATTTTAATTATATTTTCTAACAAAATCTCCTCAAAATTTACATTTTTAAATTAATTAACAAATTTTGATGTTTCATAACTATTTTTGTATCAAAACTGTCAAAACTTTCAAAAATATTTATTTTCATCATAATTTAGGATTGAATTTTATAATTTATTGTTTTGTTATTTCTCATCCTTCCTGAATCTAAGCTAAAGATGATTCGATTTGGAATTTTTCCTGGTTTGCCTCAGCTGTTTTGTTTTGCGAGCGGACAAGTTTGCCTTGATCAACCTTGTCTCTCCGTCACGCATGCCATCCCGACGCCGCCTCTCGTATTATTTTTATATAATATGTCTCTGCCCACTATTTTGCAAGCCGGCAGCAAAATAATGGCGAATCCTCACTTAAAACGATTAATGATGCTTCAGCAAAAACATTGTTGCTGAGATTTTGAGCTTCGAGAAGTCGTAAATGGCGTGATTTTTTTCGCTTCTTATCTGTTTATTGCTTCAATTCGCGCGTGCAATCCAAACTTAAGCAGACTTCTTGTGCAAACAAACAAACTCGCCGCAGCCTTTCATCCGGCCTTCGTTTACGCAAGAACAAGGAAAGAGAGAAAATGATCTTTGCGATCTTTGTATCACGGGGAAAATGTGAGGAAAATTCATGGCGCTTCTTTCCGGGTTTGAAAGCGTTTTGCTCTAAAACTGCCGAATTTAAAAATTAATTTATATCTAGATTAAATAGGATTGAGAAAGAATATCAAATATTTCTTTGTAAATTATAGATTTAATTAATTGATGTGCAGCAAATTATTGATTTTATTTTTCCACCATGATTGACGAGATATTAATTTGGTTTTGAGAAAGTTTGGTGTGGCAAATTTTGAGAAATGAATTATTGAAGAAAATTAAAAAAAAAAAAATCACTTCCTTAATAAATTTGAATAAATTAAGTTTTTCTTATTTATCTTTTGAATTTACATTTTGGAAAATTATCATAAAAATTAATTACGCCGTTTTTTTCACTTGATTAAATTGAAATTTTGCAAAAAAAAATCAATATTTCTGAAAAAATTCATTTTTAAAATAAAATTGATTTTTTTTTTTTTTAATAATTTGAATGCGTTTATTACGAGCTTGAGAAAAACCAATGTTGAAATTAAAACTTTCAATTCAAATAATTATTACTGACGTCAGAAGTATTTCTATTAATTGGAGCAGAAAACAAAAAATTACGTAATGAGGAAAAACCAAATTGCATTTTATTAATTTAGTTCTTCTTTACTTATGATATTTTTCTCTCTCCCTTGAATGAACTATTTTTTTTGTGCGTTTCAGGTCGACGAGGGTGTCGTACGACATGCAGTGCTGGAGTCGGGGCGGCGTGCCCTGCACCTGCGGTTCGTGTCGCTCGCCGAACGCCGCCATGATCAAGAAGGGCACGGCCACCACCTCACGCTCTGACGTGATGAAGCGCTTCCGAGCGCAGCAGCAAGCGTGAGTTGATTATTTTCCCTGAACTGCGAACAAGGGGCTTCGAACAGACACACTCGGGTGGCTCCACTAATTAGTAAAATTTTCCTCAAAAAGCCTCGGAAATGCGGATTTGGACAAGTTTCCTCTTCCATTGTGTCCGGAATATCATTTCTGAAAATTAATTAATTTCGATTTTCGCGAGAATAATTCAAATTAATATGTTTATTAATATGCAAATTATACAATAAGAATTTGGAAATTCTAATTAATTAGAGAATTGGCAAAGAAATTCATATTATTTTTATAATTTTTTTAAAGTACTACAATTTCTTTCAAATTCACAATAATCTTAGGGCTATTTCCAAATCAATCTGGTTCTTTGGGTGGTCAAAAAGAGAAGCTCAAAATAGTGATTTTTGCAAAATTAGTGCTTTTTTAATTTAATCGCAATTGTCTTTGCTTCTACTTGAGCAAATTCAAGAGAACTTGCTGTTTTTTAAGCAATTGAAATTAAATTCAATTTGGCCATAAAATAATTAAAATCGTGAAATAAAAAAACTTCATATCAGCTATTAATTAAAATTAATTTCTGAACAATTAATCCTTTTTGAGGTCATAAAATTAAAAATTTTGAACCTTCAACTTTCACTGCACGGTCATAAATTTGTCAACGCTGATTTTCAAGCCATCTTTCACGTCACTTTTAGTCATAATTATTGTTTTAAATGCAAGCTGGATTTCTCTTGAATCGTCCTTAGATGGATTTAAGCGTTTGGAAACGAAAAGCCACGGATGCACGCGCGAGTTAAACGACTTCTTGATCCCTCTCGCGCGTTTTGGGCATCGCGGTGCGCACGCAATTTGCATAAGAAAAGCCCCAAGTGTCACAGTTGCATCCGCCGCCGGCGTGATTTACGCCGCCTGACTCACTTGTTTTCGTCGCCACACTAATTGTTATTCAAATATTATACTCTTGTTTGATCGCACATTGACGCAATTAAAGTATCAAAACAGCAGCCGCGATTTTTTTGTTTATCGGTGCCACTCGGTGCCGCGGCCTGGCTTGGAAACTCGATTCTACCCCAGCTGTGAATTGTTATTTTTTATTTTCCATTCCAGACTCGCAGGCTGGCGGGCTCGATTGTTACACTGGGCGTTTTTCTCCGCCCGACTAAATCAAAATAAAAACGCACACCCGACGCAGACGGAGAACAAAATCAAACTCACAATGAGATGAGGTTTTCAGTTTTGCCTCTCTTCGATTTCCTGTGTTCCTCCTTTGATGGAGTATTGTTTTTCGTTTATTGTCTCGGATTCCCACTTTCATCGTCGTGGGCGTCAATGTATCAAATTCATCTTCCGATGACGTCCGTTCCAAGGGGAAAAAACCAAACCTTGTAAATCATCCGTCGAAAAAAAATAGATTTTTTTCATTTATTTGACCTAGTTGATGTTTTTTCGTAATTGGAAATGTTCTCAAAATAACTTTCAGTTTATTGATTTCATTTTTGTTTTCATTAAACAATTTAAATTAAAATGACCTCATTAAGCTTCACAGTTAGAAAATCGTCTCATTGTTTCGAGCTGTCCTAAAATTAAAAAAAAATGTTTATTTTTAAAATCACGTTAGATTTCCAAACATGCCTGATTATGAAAATTAAAAAAACTAAGCCTACTGACAAGTCTCACTGTCGATTTTATGAAACTAATTTATGAAACAATTTTTCCAAAAATAATATTTAATTGATTTTCATTTTATTTCGAGCTTTCAGTTAAATTGGATTCTATTTTATAATTGATTTCTTAAACGTTTAATTGATATAGAGGAATGCTCGGTTTTGTAATTAAATTGCCAAATCGGTGTCACTTTTTATTGTGGACTCACCGAGAGGCTCGTTTGCTCGCTCACTTTTGTCAGTGAAATTTAATCGTCATGCAGCGACGCCGTGGGTGTATTTTTTTATTTATTCACTGCGTCCATTTCAAACACCGGCAAGCATTCATGTGAACAAACGCCGCGTTCCATTAAGTTGAAAAAAAAATTACACTCCCCGCAGATAAAACACCGTTGGCATTTAAATCCATTCCCAGCTCACAAAATACAAATTTCCATGCGACTCTCCCACGCCCAGTCCGAGTGAGTGAGAACAACGCCGGTGTTTAACCCCGCAAACGAGTCTAATCTGCGCGATTGTTGCCTTCATGAAATTTTAAAATAATAACAAAAATAATGCATTCTCATTCGTTACTTTCGGAGAGAAGAAACTTTTGAGGGTATTTTTTTTAATAATTTTTGTTGGTTCGTTAAAGCGTGCACTTTTTGAATATGCTAATTAGGCGCCACGGCTAATTAACCCTTTAATTCGATTAAAAATTTTGCTCTGGTTGCGAGAGGAAGTGGCTAATTGTGATGGGCGTCGTTACTTTCAAACTCGAGGCAAGCTATTTATTTTTTCGCCCATCGGCAGCAGACTTTGGGAGAAAGTTGGATTGTTTGGCGGACTTTTTACTTTTTGTGTGCCATCGCGACGCCGGACAAAAGACATAATGATATATTTATAGTTGCCTCGGACGAGCGACTCATGAAAAATGCCATTGTGTCTATAAATAAATACCGCTTGAAATAGTTTTCGGGGAAATTGCGCTGCTTTTTCCTGGACCTTTTGCGCGTCTTTCAAGAGAATTATAGCGTTCATTGAAATCCAACAAAATTTATTTCCTACGAGCTATTTTTAGCAAACAGATTAATTTTTAGTAAATTGGTAAATTTCTGTTTAATAATAATCTATAAAAAATCAGTCAAAAGTTTGTCACCCTTAATAATGAAAAAAAAAATGAGTTTTTCTAAATCCTGTTTTTTGCGAGAGAATAAATGAATTGAATTGAATTGAAAAATTAGTTAGATTTATAAGAGAGAAAAAGTGGAAATTTAAAAACAATTACCAAAAATCACATATTTGAGTAAATAATCACTTATTTTTATCATTTTTATTGAAAATAACTTATTTCGATATTTTTTAGACGCATTAAATTATAAAATTTCACGTTAAATAAATCATTTTAAGAAAGATACACTGTTTGAAATAACTACAGCCTAAAAGTAAAAACTATTGATTTAATCTCTAATTTTCGAGTAAAAAAAGGTTTTCTTCGATTTTATTTTCACAATTGAAAGGAAATATACATTTCCAAGAAATAGAATTTAATAAAATATTTCCTCAATTTCAAAATATTTTGATATTTATTGAAATAGATTTAATTGAATGTGGCAATTTTAATTAATTTATTTTTATGAATTTATTGGCTTTAGTTGTATCGCAGCATAATCAGGATTAATGCCACCCAAAAGTTGATGACATGATTGCGACGTGCCCTATCAATTACCACCCGTGAGCGATTCGAAGCCCCAAAAATTAGGCAGCTGGCGCGCGGCATGTGTTTGCCGTGGCAATCGCGTTGCGCGCATGTTTGCTGAGCTCTCTTGTGCGTGTCAACAGGTACGAGCTGTCGCCAGACCTGCTGGAGAAGCAGGTGGAGATGCTGGAGCGCAAGTACGGGGGTGCCAAGGCGCGGCGCGCCGCCCTCGTCATCCAGCGCGCCTTCAGACGCTACAAGCTGGTGCGGAAGTTCGCGGCCATCACCGCCATGGCCAAGGCCGAGAAGCGACTCAGCCGCAGACTCGAGGGCACCCCTGGCGAGTGGTCGCCCTCGCACCACTTCTACCAGCTCGGGGCGCCGCAGCGGCCCGTCTTCCAGGCCCCCCCAGACCAGCACCCGCCCTGCGACCAGTGCGCCAGCGAGGCCGAGGTCGTCATCAGGAACAACTTTGCAGCCCTCTACAGAGACCTCAGCGACCCCAAGCCCGCCGCCGCCGGTCACTCCAACAGGTTGACACTTTTATTTCCATTTTTTCTATCTATTTGTCCAGTTTAATTTAATTTTGATCCGGAACAACTTCAATTTAACCAGAGTTTTTCGTCTGGCAATTTAAATTAAATGAAAAGCTGAAATTTTTAATTACTTGAAACGGCCATAAATTTGGTTCTAATTGACTTAGACACGTTTTCTTGACGTTTTCATATTATTTTTGATTGTGTAATTTAACACGGTATTATTTTCTTATTCTTTGTTGTAAATTTACAAACTTTTATTTTCACTAAGAGCTGCAATTAACCAATTTAGTAATTTTTCCAGAGCAAACTAGCTCTACAAGCTAATAAATTAATTATCATTTCTCATGATTTGTAAATTTTAGCCGTTTTATTAGGAGCAAAATTGCAGAGAAATAAATTAATTATGTGCTTGCCAAATTACACTCCAACATTCACTATTCTATTTTAGTGGAATACTAAGGTTTTTAAAGCTCTCCTGACTGACACCTTTCTCTTTGAAAAAAGCTGTCTCCTCTAAATGCAGCCAAAAGACGAGAAAGTTGTTTGGCATTTCAACAGACAAGTTAGCATGCATTGATCAATGTTTTTTTTCTTACCCTTGAGAATTTCATTTGTCGAATTCATCTTCTTTTTCTTTTGTTTGATTTCCACATGCAAATTTGTAAGATTTGTAAAACTTTTTCCCTTTGGCAATTTTCACCTCAAGAACGAAAATCCTCATTCTATATTAAGCTTTGTGGTCTTTTATAAATACGCTTTCCACGAATTGCAAATGTCACGAAGCGGATCAATTTTCCTCACTGCTTTCTGTTGATTTCCAAGAGGAAAGTTTTTGCCACCCACCTGTGCGTTAAGGGTGATCCTCGTCGCGATGGAAGCCAAAGCAATCTGAATTGGCAGTTGCGCAATACCCGCCTATTCACTTAATTGTATTTAAAGACGAGCGGGGGCTTCCATTTGTAGCAAAATTTACATTTTTTCATGAGCCGCACAGCCAACGAGACCAGCTCGGTCGTTGTTTTTTCCTCTTCAAAAGAGCAAATACTCGCAGCACTGTGTTTTGCTGCAACTCAAAACATGGCACGTACAATGTGTCGTCAAAAACATGCAGGTGAAGTTTTATATTGTTGACCGATTACATAAGAACTCGACGTGTTTGTGCTAATTTTTTTTCCAATTCACACCCTTGCTCGAAAGTGACGCAAATGAAGACCAAATAATTTTTAATCTTGGAATAATTTGAACTTGCAGACCGCAATCAATGCGCGATCGCAGGGGCAACAGTGTGCCCTCGCCCCGCCAGGACGAGATGACCCCGAAGCAGCAGCAGTCTCTGCCGCCCCACATCCACCCTGCGCAGTTGCCGCGGAGCCATTCCGAGGCGGAGGACGGACCTTCGTACAGCCAGTTCGAGGAATACTGCGCCTACTACTGCAGCCATCAGCAATTCTCAGAGCCCGTCGTGCTCACCACTGCTACCCATTATTATGCCAAAGAGGAGACTGAGGTTCGCAGAATTTAATTTTATACTCTAAATTGAAACATAAATTTAATTAAAAATATTTTTTTTTATCTAAATTTTATAAATAGATTTGAAATTAAAATCTTCTGGCAATTTGTTTTTAAAATAAAAATTTTTGTAAACTTTATAAATTGATTGGATTTTAATATCAATTTCAGTTTTTTTTTTTCAAAATATTTGAAATCATTTTAATAAGACCATTTAATTTGAACACAGGTTCGCCGCATGGCGACGCCGACGACGATAATCACGGCGCCCCGTCCAGTGAGCAACAAATCAACCACGAGCACGCCGCGCCTCCACACGTCTACCACAAGCGCAACGAGCGGGGGCTCGCCGGTCCCTGCGTCTCAAGACTGGGGTCCACCCCACTGCAAGAAGGTGCCGCCTGAGGTGCCAAAGCGGACAACGTCGATCCTGAGTCAGCGCGCCAATTCCAGCAGTCCCAGTCCCTCCATCAATTCGTCGAGGAACAACAACTCGTCGCTGCTCAACGGCTCCTCGGTCATGAGTTCCTCCATGGAGAGCAGCAACTTGTCCATCAGTGATAGCAGCATATCTTTGTCCACGGAACGTTCCGAGAGTGAAGTCTGGACTAGAAAAACACAGGTAGGGATTTAAATAATCATATAGAAATTGAAACTATTTAGAATTATTAATTTTATACAAAATTTTAGTTTTTTTTACAAAATATAAGTACAAAATACCAATAAAATAAATAATTATGAAAATTTAAATCTTCCAGTAAAATCGCCAGTCACCTTTGTTTAATTCTTAGTCTTGATTTGATCGATTGATTGTTGTACTCAAAAATCTTCAACTGATATTACCTGTTTTCATAACAAGTGGACCTAAATGCCTGTGAATACTTTGATATCGCTTTTATCTTATCATTAGGAATTCTTTTGAGCCGATCGCAAATTCGAATGTTCATGAACAAGCAAACAAGCAGCCTCTCTGTCTAAAATTAGAGTCTGCTGTGACCCATTTGTTGCAATTATCTACTTCAGGACGCCGCCGCCGAATAAAATAAACAGTCACTGCAAAGTTTTGCTCGACCGGCAAGTCCAAAATTCCATTCTGCGCCGATTTCCATTCTTGATATTCGTCATTAAGACATACAAAGTACACAAATCAAGAAACTGGGCAGCGTTGTCTGCAGGGTGAGACAATAATGCATGAGTAACCAAAATTCCCGATACAATCATTAGAGTATTTTTCTTATCCTAATTTGCAATTGAATGCTCAACTGAACTTAATCATTTGGACTAACAATAAGGTCAAGTCTATTAATATTCAATGCCACTTTCTGATCAACCAACAAAGTCTGTACAAATTTCATAATCACCTTTAATAATAGTAATTAATTTTAATGATTATCATTTCGTGGAAATCCCCGAATTACTAAAGTAAACAGATTCATAGAAGTGCCCGGCTAAATTGCGCCCGAAGAAAACAAACCGATTTGTATCAAAGTTCACTCGACGGCGCGCATATCTGCCGTGCTAAAACAATCCTTGACCCCCGCCCGCTGATTATCTCTCTCGAGTGCTGCTGCAGCTTTCTTTCATCTTCAGTAAAGATGTGTCTGTTGCAGTCGCCGGAGCTGAGCGCCGTCTCGGCAGCGGCTCGTGAAGAGACCCCCACCCTGCAGGCGCAGCACGTCCAGCTGAGGGCCCTGAACGAGTCTCAGGTGTCGTTGTTCAAAGTGCCCGAGACGGTTCGCAAGCGGCAGTACCGCGTCGGCCTCAACCTCTTCAACAAGAAGCCCGAGAGGGGAATCAACCACCTGATCCGCAGGGGCTTCCTCGAGAACTCGCCGCAGGGCGTCGCCAGGTTCCTCATCACCAGGAAGGGTCTCTCCAAGCAGATGATTGGCGAGTACCTCGGCACCCTGCAGAACCCTTTCAACATGGCTGTTTTAGAGTGAGTTTCAACTTTATTATTAAATTGATATCAAGCAAAATTATTTTTTATCTAAATTCTTGAGTTTTACAGACTTGGTGCAATAATTAAATTATTTGAGCGATTCTGTCCTTTTGATGTTGCCGATTTGTTGTTTGTTCATTTTTTTGTTAGACCGTTGGTAATATTCTGAACAAACAGTTTTATTCTCACTCGACAGCATCATTTTTTTGCTGCCGATGCGTCATCTAACTGTCGCCGAAGTGCGTTTCACTTCCACTACTGACACTTGGCCTCAACCCAAGTTCACTTAACGAGGCTCAATTGACCTCTCAAATCTAATTTCACAGAAGCTGTTTTCCTCGATTTCAGATCGATTGCGTTTCAAGACGACCAAAGTCCACCTTTATTTGACGTCGTTGATCAAAAACGTTATTAATTTTCGCGACACAATTCGATTGGAATTTTTCCACAATGATTATGATATCTGATTCAAATTCTCTTATAGCAAATATTGCGATCAAACTTTATCGCTCGCTCTGTCAAGATTAACTTCTCAGTTGGGATCCAAAAATTAACCTCTTTTGCTAAATAAACACCCATTGAACCTAAATCTGATAAATATGATAGGAATCAGTAAATTTAATTATTTATTTACTTCTTTTCAGATGTTTTGCTCAGGAAATGGATCTGTCTGCGATGACGGTAGACGTGGCCCTGCGGAAGTTCCAAACGCACTTCCGAATGCCGGGCGAAGCTCAGAAGATTGAGCGTCTGATGGAGGTCTTCGGGCAAAGGTACTGCCATTGCAACGACGAGGCCGTGTCGCGCCTCCGCAGTCCAGACACAGTGTTTGTCCTCGCCTTTGCCGTCATCATGCTCAACACCGATCTGCACACGCCCAACCTCAAGCCCGAGCGACGCATGAAGCTCGAGGACTTTGTCAAGAACCTTCGCGGAATCGACGACGGCGCGGACATTGAGCGTGACCTGCTGGTTGGCATTTACGAGCGGGTCAAGAACTCCGAGTTCAAGCCCGGACACGACCACGTCACGCAGGTCATGAAGGTGCAGTCCACAATAGGTGGGAAGAAACCGGTGAGTTGAGCTCAATCAAAAAAATTAATAAATTTTGTCAAACGGAAATTTTCAAAAATTAATTTTTAGAATTTGGCATTGCCTCATCGAAGATTAGTTTGCTACTGCCGACTATATGAAGTGCCCGATATCTATAAGAAAGAGCGACCAGGCTTGCATCAGCGAGAGGTCTTCCTGTTCAACGATCTGCTGGTCATCACAAAAATCTTTAGCAAGAAGAAAAGTTCAGTCACATACTCGTTTAGAGAGAGCTTCACTTTGTGCGGCATGATGGTCTCAACATTTGAAACACCCCGTAAGTGTCAACAAAATTTTGAACCACAATTTTTTAAATGGAAAATTTCCAGACTACCAATTTGGTATCCGACTGAGTCAGCGAATGGACAACAGGGTGCTGGTCATGTTCAACGCGCGCAACGAGCACGACAGGTGCAAGTTCGCCGAGGACTTGCGCGAGTCCATCTGCGAGATGGACGAAATGGAGAATTTGCGCATCGAAGCCGAGCTGGAGCGGCAGAAGAGCGGGCGGCGCCGCGCCGTGGCCGAGAACCGTGACAGCGGGGTGGCCGACGTGGAGGTGGCTTTGTCGCCCACCGTGGCCACGCCTCACCCAAACGCCATGCCGCAGGCGTGTCCCGTCCCTGCCCCGGGGGACAGTAGCCCCGCGGACACGACTTGCGGCCTTGGGGGCCAGCAGGATGGACTCAAGCGCTCGGCGCTCAGCAACTCCCTGCTCGACATCCACGATCAATGTGAGTCCCTCACACCCAAATTAACATTCAAAATAGTTAGATTATTTCAATTCCAATGAAACATAATTTAAATTGGATCTTTTTTCGGATAAATTCAAAACTATGCCAATTTTCTAAAGTAATTTTTTCCTTTACTGAACTAAAATTGACCAAAATCTCTCTAAACTAATTTTGATCATATTGTTCTTACCAAATAATTGGCCAAATTAATATTTTTCGTTTGGATTTGACCTAATTTTATTTTGCAGTTAACGGGGAGAAGCCTCAGCGGCGCGGCAGTGTCGGCTCCTTGGACAGTGGCATGTCCGTCTCGTTCCAGTCAACCTCGGCCAGCACCCTGAGCAGAGACTCGTCTCCGCAGAACATGCAGCCGGCCACTCAGCCACAGCAGTACCAACAGCGGCCGCCGCAAAAGTCGGCGCCTCACCTCAGCAGTCAACAGCAGCAGTCATTTCTGGGCGGCATTTTTCACAAAAGGCGGCCGACGCGTCCCGAGGACAACTTTTGCGCCGCCGGCTGCAGAAGCACCGAGGTTTAAAGGGCCGGAGAAGACTGTATAATTTTGAAAGAGAGAAACTGCCAGAATTTCAAGGGAGGGTCAATATCACTAAAACTAGTCGTTGCAAGTTGAAATATCGGAAAATTGGGTGAAATTTTTTTTTACAGAAGTCATCGAAAAAGTCCTGCTCAATCTCAATAATTGGTCACAAACTCCGGTTCTGCACAAAAGTCGATGGCGCTTTCTCTTTTTCGCCCCCACAAGACAAAAGACGGTCTCTCTGCTCGCAAAATGTATGAGAATTAAACCAAAGAGCTGTCTCGGTTCCGGCTCAGCCCTTACTTTGCAAAATGATCTGGTCACAAGTAATAATCATGTATTGTGTAACTACTAGTAATTGTTGAGTGCCTGATAAGTGATACATGTCAATGATGATATTATTTTACGAACAAGTAGTCTCTTCACTCTGTTCCCTCACCGCACTAATCCTATTTTAATTCTTAATTTTGTGTTCTCTGTAGTTTTTCTCTATTCAGCTCTTGATTAATTTGATCTTCCTGTGTGTCGTGGTAGCTAAATTTTTTCTGTTAAGTTAGTCAGTCCGTCAGGGCTGTGATCAATCCGGATTCCTTACCTTCATACTGAAAATTTTGAGAGAAAAAAAGAAAATGGGACCAATAATTGCAGGAAGTCATTCCAGCTGCAAACGATCTCAGCATTTCCTCAACCCCCAAAAAGGAATTCGGCCTGATTTACATCCCTGGCCCGCGAGTGTCGATCTGACTTTTGTACCTTTACTTTTGTGTGTGGATGTTTCTCTCGTCGACGGATTATTTATTGACCACTGCATGAAGCTATGCAAACAGTCGTTTTTCTCACATCACCTCTTTTGTAATTATTATTATTTAAAAAAAAAATTAAGCTGAGAAAAGATAAAAGAAATGTCAAGTACTCTAGCATGCATGCCTCTTGTCTATAAATATAATAATAGTTCGTTAGAAGTGTATCAATCAAACTATTTAATTAACTTGCGCCTCTGCAGGGCAACAGTACTAATCAATTAATTAATTAACAATGCATTCATTCGACTACCATGTGATGTTAATGTCATTATACTATTATCATTTATATCTTTTAATTTGCATAATTTAAGCCGCATTATCCCTGGATGAGTTTTTTTTTTTGTGTGTCTCCCCCTGTGTATTAGTATTATTATTATTTCGATCGAGGAAGTACATTAATTGTTTTCACTTGTGATATAACAAAATATAATATCAACTTGAGTAATAAAATAATGCAATGAGATAATCCTTATTTCCTTTTGTTTCTTTTATTATTTTTCAGTTTTTTCTTTTTACAAAACTTAGTCCGACAAACCGTTCCTGCTCGATTGTATATGCATGTCCATCACACATGAATTCCTGCTTGAATTTGAATCCGTCTCTGGTTGAAAAATAAAATATACACTTCATAAATTATGAATGGAAAAATGTACACCCAAAGGCTGAAGACAAAACAATACAACTGTAAGAAAAATTAGGTGTCTCTCAAGCTTTTGTAAATAAAATTCCGCTCTCTCATTTTGAAAAAGGGCCAATTTCGACGGGTAAATTTTGCGCAATTAAGGGTGGAGCCGCTGCATGCAACACATGCAAAAAAATATAGAAAAACTTTGAAGGGTGATTATATTAAAATATCTCCATTTAAAATTGTAAAGCAAACACGTTATTTGCAGTTTTGGAAACTAATTTCTCTTTAAAAGAAGAAACTATAAAATAAAAATCTACTTAAATTAAAATATACAGCTTCTAAAATATTTCAATAGAACTCTCTGATATCCACCCTGTACGTATTATAAATACACACAATCCTATATCTTTCAGAAATGTACCCTCTGTAGCATAAAAAAATGGGAATATTTTTGGGCGAAATTTTATTAAAACGCAAAATTTGCTCTTTTCTTATAAATTGGCCTAAAACAATGCATAATTTTTTTAAGCAAAATTTGAAATTAATTTTCTTTTGTAATTCTCGAAGTTAAAGCAAAGCTTTTCAATCTCCAATCAGCGAATGTTTTACATTTTATGACAATATGTATAAATCTCACAAGCTCATCTTTTTCATAAGTTTTGCATTTTAATCAATAGGATTTAATTTAGTGAATTGGAATGATTGAATAATTTAGTCTTTTTTACACAGAAATAGATAAAGTAAGTTTAAAAAATTAAAACATTGGCATATTGTACGAGCTTGTCATCCCGCTGAATGTGGAAAAAGCTAGTTTTGAAAGAAGTCTGACGAATTTGGAACCAAAAGTGAAAATCGGGCACTTTTATTGCCGCGCGCATTTTGTGTTTGGTGTTTGTGATGCAAAATTTGCAGGTAAAATCAATCGATATCTTTTTGGCGTAAAAATATTTTTTGCTGGAAGTAAAATGTGTCTAACATTTAGGGACAAAAAAACTGTATAAAATCCACTTTGAGGAAAAAACTAAAAAAGCGATGAAGTGCTTACATGACAACCGAAGAAGACCATTGTGTAACCTTAATTAAGGATAATTCTGCATAAATTGATGAAAAGTAATAATAATGGCAATATAATCCGCAAAAAAAATCTTGTTTGAATTTATACTTAACAATTAAATAGAATAAATGAAAAAAAAATTTAATTTTTGGCGCAAATTTTGAATAAACGTGCAAAGTTTGGTTTTTGTTTTTTTTTTTTTTTTATCAATTTATCATTAAATTTTAAGTTTATTAAAACTTAGTTTTCAGTATTTTTTTTTTAGAAATTTCCTAAAATTTCAACATTTCACCACTTCATTGAAAGAAACTGCTCGATTCCTTTTATTTTCGCGGGTAATTTACAACTTTTGCTTGTTGAAGTGGCGTGCACTCTGGCGGCCGCCGTTCGTACTACGACCAACCGCCAAACCCAATGGGAGGGAGGGGTGTTTGTAGAGAGGGAGGGGAAACACGTCTGGTCTTGTCAAGACTTGGACAACCACTGCTCGCGCTCGCTCTCAAACGTCACAGCTTGTTTCGGCTTGTCGAAGACGCGCTTTTGCTGACTTAACAACACCTCCTCCGCTCGCCGACCGCAGTAAGTATTTTCGGCCCGACTTGCCGCTCCCCCGCAAACACCCCTTCGGCGTCGGTCACGCCGCCGCCAACCCTTGAAACGCCGAATTCCGCCGCGGTGACAATGAAAGCGCTCGTCAGACACACCCTGACGCCGATTCGGCCGAATCGTGACTCGAACGTCGCCACCTGCCACTGAAATTCGGCATTCGGGATCGCGTTTCGCCACTTTGAAGGGAAATTTGGTCACGGCTGACACGGTTTTGGTCAATAATTATTCCAGAGGATTTCCTTCCGGCGTCACCACCCCGTGCAACCCCTTAAACGAGCCCCACGTCACCACCGAGCGTGATTAATTAATTTGCATTGTACTGTAGTGGACGAAAATAATTCACCGTTAGAGAATCAACTCGAAATTTGCCAAAATAATTAACAAAGAAAAAAATTAAATAATGAAAATGTAAAAAATGTATTATAATTAATCTTTGTTTTTAAAATATATTATAATTATTTCAAATTAAGTTTAAACTACAAATTTTATGAATTTTACAATTATTTTAAATCAATTTTTAATAATTTAGTAATAAATAAATCAATTATAATTATTTCCAAAATATTGTAAATTTAATATTTTTATTTTAAACATTCTGAGCTTTGATTATTTAAATAAATTAGGCTTCTTAAAATTTTCCATTGAAATTTATTACTAAAATTTCAGAATAATTATATTATAAAACTTTTTTTATATTTATAGTTAAAATATTAAAGAAATTTATTAGATTAAATTAAAAAATCAAATTATATATTTTGAAATTTGGGATGGACAATTTAAACTTGAGCCGATTTGAACGCCGAAAATCGGCATTTGGCCGACACGAATGACATCAGGTGGAATAATGCCGGTGTCGTTGACCCAGAAACGTTGCGAGAGTTGTTGTGGCGCGGCCACCTGCTGCACCGCTCCGCAGCTGCCGCCAAAAACGGCCGATTTTTTCGGCCGTCGACCCTCTCGCCGGGTCCTTTTCGTCGCCACAGGACGAGCAAAATTTCAATTCGCGTTTTCCGAGGGTGCGCGAAAGGTTGATTTGAGGAGAGGCGGCCATCTGAAGGGCGTTGGCCCTGTGAGTCATCCGAAGGAAACGCGCGGCGCCGCTTGCGCAGCTCTCGGACGAGTGAAAAAAAAATACAGTTTTGCTCTTGACAAACGAATGATTGATCCGATCGGAGAAAAACTTCATGATAATTTCAAAGGTTGAAAAATTAATTGGAAAATAACTTTTTTAATTTAATATTTTTTTAATCACACAAACTGGAGTTTTTTTTTATCAAACGGCAGGAAGGTTGTGGTTTTGGGCACGTTGAGGAAGTTTTTCGTCTCAGCCGACGAAACCAGCAACTATGAAATTAGTTGCCTTCAAGCTTTTCTGATTAATTAGCCATCTGAGTTTTTTGCTTTTAATTAATTAATGGAAGCATCAGACAAATGAACATTTCCGTTGAGGATTTGTTTTCATTAAAAATTTAAAGATTTCTGCAATTTTTTATAAAAATTTGTAATTTGGCTGACAAATTTGAGATTAAACAAGCAGCCCTGCACCTTTAGCTACTTTTTAGCGAAATCCAAACTCTCTTCCTTCCTTGACATGTATAAAACCTTTTTATTTTTCTTTCTCCGGCAAACAGCTGCGGTGTCGGGCCGAGTCGGAGAGAAAGTTTTATGCGGGGCCAAATTGAATTATGTCCGTGCGAGATCGTCTTCGGGCGTTGCGAAACGCTCAATGTTCTTCCTTTCTCATGCTTGATTATTTCCTAGACTCTTATGCAACGTCGCACAATGTTAAATAGAAATGAATACCTCGCCACATGACTTGTACGGATTCGCTAGAAAACAGCGAGGAATCATTTATATTTACTTTTGTGTGTTGAAAACTTTGCAATTTCTGTCCAGTTCGTATTGACAGAAATTTCAAGCGATAAAATTTTCTCACAAATGAATATTTTATTTTATTTTTTATCAAAAAGATTTGCAAATAAATAGTAAATGCAATTACAGTTTCACAAAAATTGTCAAAATTTATAAAAGATTTAAATTATGTAAATTTTTTAATAAAATAAATAATTTTTGAAATTTTCATTTCAGTTAAAATTCCATAACGCTTAAACTTTTACCCTAATAAAGGTGATGAATAAAATTTTAATATTTCATTGAAACTAAAACTTTTTTAACATTATATATTATATTTTTTTTTACTTTGACTTAAATTTAATGTTTTATACCCGAAAAACTTTCATTTTATGTTCGAAACCATTAATGCTTTTTTAATTTCCACCCACTTCAAAAAACAAGTTCAACCCTTTTTCCATTCTGTCAGTTTGCCGCTTTTGCTTTTAATGGAGAGGGAAAATCCCCAAGTGCTTCCCTTCAATTTTCGCTCGCGGCATTGTGTGCGCAAACTTCCCCGTTCATTTCGCAATATGACTAATGCAGGCAAATCCTGAAGGGAAAAACCCCTTCCAACCCCCGTCACAACGGCGCACGTGGAGGAAAGAAAAAAGTGCAGCTGCGTGTCTGATCAAACTCTATGTACTTGGATTACATACCCTCATTACTCACTCCCTCCAAGAGTGAACTATTGACTGCTGAAAAGCAAAACCTGGTTCCGAAGCAAAAGAGAGAGAAGGTTGAATATTTTTTTCTAGACTAACAATTCAACCAAATAATTTGGATTTTAAGTTATAAGATAAAATTTATCTTATACAGAATTAATTAAAAAAGGTCAAGAAATATACGCTGAGAACAAAATTTACCGAACCATATTTTAAACCAATGCTAAATTAATTTTAATTTGTTTCTGCTGCACTCGCTCATGCACTACAAGTACATGTACTGGATATTTATAAATGCGGCGTGCAAGCGTGAGTCACTCGTGCTCAATAAGGCCTCGCGCAGCTCTCGTTTGATGGATCTGAAACGCGCAATTCAAGTCAAGAGACCATCATTCAGATAAAAGTCGCTTCACAGGCGTTCATTTTACGAGGAAAGTTGAAGAAAAAAAATACGTGGCTCGCCTTGATTATCATTTTCCCTGGGTGTGAGTGAGACTTTTGGGTTGGTCGGTGATAAAAATTTGCTGATTAAAACCAACGAGCCCTTGGAACAGGAAGTGTCCAAGTTTGTAAAAGGCAGGAAACTCTGATTGTTTTTCTTATATTTTCTACAGAAGTGTTTAAAAATTTTTTAAAAAATAATTTATGTTATTTGTAAACTTTGTTGATGTTTGATGTCGAAATTTTATTAATATTTGAAATTATTTCAGAATAATTTCCTAAATTAATTTTAAGAATTCAACTTTTCTTGGAATTTCCATTGAAAAACCAATGGTAATGAAGAGAAAATTTAGCATCAAAATTAATCTGGCCGCTCCTTAAATAATGAAAAGAGAAATTTTGAATCCATCTTTAAAAACATTTATAATAAAACTTTCACACAGCTCAAATTTTAAGTTTTACCTTAGAAAATCGACCGTTTCAGTTAATATTCAATTTCATTCAAATTTTAAATTCAAGCGTCTTTATTTGACTGGACAAACAAGGAAAGATAAAAACATAAGTGCGCGTTTATTGAAGCTTTTTATAAGTAATGATATCACTTTTTTTTACCGTTCTGCGCCAAATGAGCTTCTTCTTCTTTACCGCAGCCACTCTCATTTCCCATCAAGCACAAAAGATAAAATCATTCCGTTTAATCAAATCCCATATTCATCTCTTGCAAAGTTTACAAAGTCTCTTTGGTATTTTTATTTTTTTTACTATGAAAAAGGTTACAATTTTTTTATCATCACTTTCTTTTGAGTATTGGCAAAAAAAGCTTCTTCTTCTCTCTGCGTGCGAATTTGTGTGTGACCCCAGCACATAGTTGCGAAGTGACCTCATCGGCGTCCCCTTCTCCTCTGCAGCTGCGGCGCAAAAATTCTGCATGCAAATCACGCAGGCTAGAGACGAACACTCAATTTGCGCGTCGTTTTTGTCCTTCGGCTTATCTCGCTGCATAGTCAATGCAGGTGTTTCAATTGCATTTCGATTGCGGCAACATCTCTTTACAAATATCCGCACTGCGTCATTTTTAGCAAAAATCTTATCTTGCTAAAAATCTCTCGAAACATTAATTTAAAATTATTTTGAGCGACAATTTTTTTATTTAAAAAACTAAAAACTCTTCGATGAAAATTTCCAGCTAGGATTCAACTGAGCTCCGCCTGCGCTTGCGCGGTACATGTGGGCGTGGCCAAAGGCGGTAAAGTTTAAAAATAACCATTTTTCTTATAAAAATAGAGTTTATTTTTGATATAATGGTTTTTCTAATACAAATTTGGTATTTTTAAATAAATAATATTTCCAAAATAACCAAAAAAAACTGTTATTTTTACCTTATCAAATATTAAATTTAAAAATTTGACCTAAAATTTAAATCCACGTTAGAATTTTTAATGTTTTCTTGGAGAAGAATGCGGAAAAGCAAACTAGACGTGTCAATGATAAATGAAGCTCAATTAGCACCACTTTGCGATACTAAACCAAAAAGTGGCATCTCCGCGTTAATTAAAAGTCTAAACGGCAATTTCCAGCTCTTCTTTATATTTCCTTTTACTTGTTACAATTTTCACGCTTTGAACAGGAACGAAATTGAAGCCAGATGAAAGCCAATTAAAACTCTCAAAGGAGACTCTTTTATTTATTAGAGAGATAATGACCGCGCTTTTATGTCCTTATCCTGTGCAATGTGAACGGCTTAACTAACACGCTCTGACCCTCTTAATTAAATTTAAAAAGAAATGAAACGCGTCTGGCTTTTCGTTCCTGCTGGCGTCAAAGAGATGACGTGGGACCGAAGAACAAAAAAGACACCCCTTCAGCGCAACATATGTTTGGACAAGAAAAACGTTCATAAATAATTTTCACGGAAATAATTATTTATAATTTTTTTACCAAATCCACTGAAGAATTTTTGCTCACTCGAGTTCACCTCTGGGAATTAATTAAAATATTCTTGGATTTCAGATCTACAGAGATGATACAAGAACAAACAGTTACATTTTCACGCATTTCTGATTCCGTCTCAGCCGAAATTCCCTCTCCATGTGTGCAAAAATAATTACTCGCAACTGACACCGAATGGAATTTAAAAGACATTTCGCAGCCGAGCTTTAATTTAATGAATTTGCCGGCTTGCTGCGTTTGTGGCTCAAACTCCAGAAGAATGCTCTAGTTCCGCGCACAAAGGAGGAAAGTGGGTGGCGGGCGCGCGATACCCACTGCAATTAGCATAATTTACACACGGGAATCTTAATTTTTATTTTTTGAGCCGAGCCTGTTTGTATTTTTTTTTTCTTGAGGAAACGCGGCGAGCGACGATTGCGCGCCTCGACCTCTGCCACGTTTTTCGATAACAAAGGGAATTATTATCAGAGGAGGAGGAGGAGGATAACCTCTTTTCCTCATTGTTCTGCTTTATTGCGCCGCCTGAATGTCAATTTTATCTCAAATTCAAAGAGATAATTCAAAAGTTGGCAAAAGTGAACTTAAAATTCTTAAAATAAAAAATGTTTTGAATAAAATCTAATTCTGAAATTAAGTAGATTTTCAAAATTAATCAAATATTTAGAATAGTTAGAATTAAAATTTAATTAATTGAATTGTTTTTTAAAATAAAAAATGAATCATAATATTAAAAAATTTAGAAAGTTAAGAAATTTTTACTGTTTTTTCGGTTAATTTTTTTTTATTTTTTTATGAAATAAAGGGAGTGTCAAATGATTACAAAATAAGTTTAAAATATTTTCAAATTGTCGGTTTCACTTGAATATTCTTACTTTTTCTGATACAAAAATCTCGTAATTACCTACTTTTTAATTCAAATCCCGAATTTTTTCAACTTTCGATTAATTTATTTCGTATTTGATTTGCGGGTGGCTTTTTTTAGGTGCGATGCGCCTTGTTTCGGGGTTCGTGCACTCATGCCCGCATCATCCTTCACACACTCTTCACACACCGTGCAATTAACGCGGCGGCGTTCGTCTGCTAATTTATTGCCGAGAAAATATTCAACGGAAACGAGACGTGGCCGCAATAAATCCGTGATAGGCGCACTATCATGATAAATAGAAGTTCTGATCGTCTTGCAACTCTTTAGTCCATTTAAAATGCAAATTCGTCTCCAAGCTGAGGAGGAATTAATTGGGCGATTCGCTCCGGTAACTTTGGAATTCTGAAATAAATCAAAGGTCTAAAAAAAATTGGAGAAAATTTTTAATAAAACAAGTCTCTGAAGGCAATTATTGAAAAATAAAACGTATGTTCTTTTGCTCTTGTTTTTTCATATTTAAATTGAGGAAGATTGAAATATTTATTATTTACTTTTCATGGAGTTAAATATATTATTAAAAAAATCATCAAAATTGCCTTTGTATTATTTTAAATTTTAGCAATTCATCCATATTGCAAGGTTTATAAAAAAATTTAGTTAAAGTCGACAAAAAAAATTTATTTTTTTCTATTTACATATTTTTTTTAATTTCGATGAAAAATAAATTAATTCGAATGTTTCAATTTCTAGATTCTCTGATTATATTTGAAAAATGAAATTTGAAAGGAAATCTTGTACTTTTTTTAAATTTCCTTTTCCATCTGCCTGATTTCGTTCGATTTGCAAATTGCAGTCGCGCACGTTCAAAGGAGGAACTTTGAGGGAAAAGCGAGTTGGCAGAAACTTCCTGTCGACCCCTTTGCAGACGAACGAATCCAGTTTGCATGATGCGTATTGTGAGCGGGGCAAAGGCAAATGATGGGAGTAATTGCGCGCCAGGGATTCGCGCTCCAACGATTTCTGCTTCTTCTGCGTCTGGTGCACGACTGGAATTTCAAAACGTGTCTCGGCGCACGTGGCCGTTTCCTTCCGCCCGATCGAACGAACGAAGTATGAACGAAAAAACAAATCACGCCAATCGCGTGGCAAATAAAGTATCAACGACCTTTCACAGAGAGTTGCTTTCGAGTGTCGACTCGTCCGATTCATTATGCCTATTATGGGCACGGATTGTGTGCCGAGTGAGAGTCGAAGGTGAAAAAAGAGAGGCCGAGCGAACACAGCTGCGAACAGAAATTTAGATCTTTTTTAAATTGGCGCCACCCGGCACCGAACAACCGTTTTCCTGCACCAGGATGTACAAAAAACGGTCAAATAACTTTTTTATTAGGGTCAAATCGGAGAAACTTCAAAATTGGTCTAATTTCATATCAATATTGATTGATTAGAGAATATAAAAATTATTATATATTTTGCTCCTTGTTCGTTAATTTGGCCAAATAAAAAAATTTATCCACAAGAAATATTTCCAACAAGTAAATTTTTAGGTCAATCAAATTATTTATTGAATTTTTTTCTAAATTAAATTTGCAAGGAAAATTTAATTTGGAAAATTCAATAAAAAAATCATTTTTATTTTCCTGATGAATATCTTTTTCTCTTTTGAGGTTTACTTGGAATTTACATCTTCAAAGGAATGCAATATAATTATAAAAAACGTTAAAATTAATTAAACAGATTTTTAGCTATATAAACATTGAAAATCTTATATATATATTTTTATATATAAAAATATATATTTTTTTTTAAATTTTTATTTCCCAGGGTTTTTTTTAATATATTAATTTTCTACTCATCGTTCTGGGGTTTTTTGTGACATTTTTAGCCCCTTCTAAATATTGGACTTGCCAAAGATCGGTGGTTTGTTTTTCGTTTTGTCGTCGGACAAATCCACGCGGCTGCTGCATTGGAAAGAGAAAAAGTGACGAAAGCAAAACAAATTTATTTTGGGCCCGCCGCGCGCCATGCATAATAACCCTTTTGGCGATAAGCCCTGGGTGCTCGCGTAATTTATTATATCGCGCGTCTATTTGCAGGATTAAAGTGTGGGCTGCTCCAGATTTACTCGGCTTTTCTTTCTCTCAAGCGGCCGACCTCATCTCACCACTTCCATTCTTCTATTAATTTGGCGCAACGACTTGGATCTATACAATGAGAACAGAATTAAATAAAAAAAATATATTTAATTTTTTTTTTATATTTTTTAATTTTAATAATTTTTAAAGGATTAAATTATATTTTATTGATTTTTTTTCCAAAATGCAAAGATTTCCAAGTCATCGTTCGCTTCCCACGTTCGTTCTGAGAAAACTCTTCACAGATCGCATGTCAAGTGCAATATTATTATTATTCAAGTGAACTTTTCTTTCACTACCGACTTCGGCGATTGCACTGACGGAGAAAATAACGGGCTCGAGACAAGCTTCCTTTTTCACTCGGTGCGATCTTCCTCCCATGCTTTCGTGTAGGCGAAGGCATCACTCGATAACGAAAAGAGAAAAATGAAATGTATAAAAGATTCCGTCGTTCGGTCGTCACCGATTTTGCCCTGCCTAATCAGGTGTCCTGACGGAAATTCGCGTAGGTGGCACTGACCCGTTTGTTAATTTGGCAACGCAAAAAGACGTGCACATATTTTTAAAACCGTTAATAGAATTTTAATGAAGATTCAAACGATAGATTACTTTTAATATGGAATTAATCAATTTTATTTACTTATGAATTTCCGCTGTAAAAAAACTATTTATTCATTAATTAAAATTAAAATTTTCTTTTTTAATTACAGATTTTTTTAAACCAATTTATCCATCAAAATTTTACGATTTCAATTTTTACTTTTTTATAATTGAATTTAAACCCTATTTTACGACTTTCTCCGCCTTTGAAGTACTTCTGTGCTCGGAGTCTGTTTGAAATTTCGCCGTGCTATTCCAGTTGTGCCAACAATCGCGTCTAAAAATAGAGGGGTTGTTTTTCGCTGGAGGGAAAACCGACACCAGACCGACGCGTTCATCATCCATCCGGTTGCAAAACGATCTCACGCTCGCATTCAACCAACAATGCAAATCATTTTTGGCGTCCGTCGTCAAATATGATTTATTAAAAAGGCACCTGCCGCGGCGGTCCATCGTCGCGGCGCTAATGAATCTCTTGATTGACCCGCTTAAAGTTTATTTTTTAAGATTTGACGTCGAAGTTGGAAAAAATTGTGAAAGAATATTTTGAATTCTGAAAAAGCGGGACGAGTTTCCTAAGACGCAAACATCATTCAAAATGACTAAAGAAAAAATAATAATAAAGTTTTATTCACAAAATTAGACGAAGTTGATTATCAATTTTTTATATCTCATTGAAATTTTCAAATTTTTTTTCACATTAAACAATTTAAAAATTCAACTTAAGAATTTAAACGATTTAAAAATTAAATTTGATAATTAAAAACTTGAACAAATTAAAATCAATCTTAAAGAAAAAAATAAATTTTATTTGTTTATTTCATTAATCGGTTCAATTCTATCAATTTTTAAATGCCATAAATTGATTTGTTATTTTAAATTGTTGCAGAAATGTCTGACGCCCCTCTGAGCCCCTCGCTGAAGGACCTGCCCAAGGTTGCCCCCGACTTCAAGGCGGAGCTGCAGGAGTTCAACCCCGACTCGATGAAGAAGGCCGAGACCCAGGAGAAGAATGTTCTGCCCTCAGCTGAAGGTTGCAATTTTAAATCATCCACGCTCGTTACTATAAAAAAGCAGCTCCGTAATTGGCCAGGCGGTTTTTAGAAGTACTGGAATTTGACCTTGTGTGTTTCGTCACCATTTAATTAGTCTCTTTTTTCTGTAGCTTAGAATTTTATTTAAAGCACACATTTTATTTTATATTATTTTCGTTTTAATTTTAATTTTGTAAATTTGATAAGATGTGGCCCAGGAGAGAACCCAGCAGGCTCTGATCAAGGGTGTCGAAGATTTTGACACAAAAAAGCTGAAACACACCAACACGGTTGAAAAGATTTGCTTGCCAGACAAGGAAGGTGCGTAGTTTATTTAGCGCTAGTTTTGTTTTTGTTGTTTTGAATAAAAAAATCGCATGAATTTATTTCATTTTTATTTTGTTTTAACACTTGCATGTTTGTTCTGTTTTTTCTTAAAAAATTTAGTTGTTGAGCAAGAAAGGGTGCACCACAACCTGTTGGAAGGCGTCAAAGGCTTCGACAAGGACTCGATGAAGCACACAGAGACCAATGAGAAAAATCCCCTCCCTGACCCAGAAGGTCCGATTTGAATTAATAATCATTTTTTATTTTTTCACTAATATTTTAAATTATTGATTCTAGATTTTTAATTATTCTTTTGAATTTCAGCCATTGAACTGGAGAAGGGCCAGCAAAAGCTGATTGCAGGCATTGAGAACTTTGACTCGAAGAGCCTGAAACCCACAGAAACCTTAGAGAAGAATCCCCTTCCGACCAAGGAAGGTGAGTGGAATTTGTTAAATTTTCATAAACATGTTAATTTAATCAATTTTAAATTTCAGTGATTGAGGCAGAGAAGTCTGCTTGAAGTGATTTTCCAAACACCGTCGCGCTTCCCCTCTCTTCTTCCTGAGCAAGTCGTCGAATATGTTTTTGCCGGACGGTGGAAATCGCTAACCAGTACTCTCTCTTAATTAAATTCTTTCTACTTGTAATTTTACGATTATATATGATTGTGGCTCTTTGTATTTTACATTGTAAGAGACTAAAAAATTATTCTTGTTTGAGAGTCGAGATTTTGTAATTTTCTGCATGTTCTAAAACAAAATCCGAGAGGTCCTTTGACAGGATTCTCGGCTGCGGGCAAATCCAATAAGAATGTAAATCACAGTATTTTGTATTGCATAACTTACACATACATCGGTCTGAGAGCTCAAAAAGACATTCCTTGGGTTATTTTCCTAGTTGCTTTTCAGACCGACACCATTTTTTGTACGAGTCAAAGTTTCAAAAGCCAAATTGATGACGACGAGGTATATATTTTCGATCAAAATTCGACGCTTTTTAATGCAAGCGATCGGAGCGCTTATTTTGTATGATTCTGTCAGTGAAGAAAATCATGATATAAATGCAGATTTAAAATAAATTTATAAATGTTTTATTATTTACTTCCATCAGTGTTGTTCTTTTTCTTCTTTGTGGCCAGATTGGGAAGAGGAAGTGGCCGTTATCATTTGAAATTTATCAACCACAAAAACCCTTAACCGTCCAGCGCAACTGCTAAAGAGAGAAAATAGTAAATAGCAGTGATTTTTATTGAAAAATAAGAACCAGACCTTCTGACGTAAAAATATTGTAGTCTGTTTAAACGGAAAATCTAAATTCTTTCTGGCCTTGTGTAGAAATAATTTTTAATTGTTTTCGTTTCCAGGAAACGGTCTCGAAAGTCTGGTTTTAAAGCATAAAATAAAAAACAATAATTAAATTTTAAATGTTTTATTTTTACAAGAGTAGAACAGATCTTAAACTTTAAAACAGAGATTAAAATACAAGGGAAAGGGCAGTTGTTATATCCATTCATATTTTTTTTTATCCATATAAATTTCCAAATATTCCCGTCCAAAACAAAAACCCAGCATTTTTGGCAGAGGATGCAGAGCGGGGGACAGTTTCAAGCATTTCTTGGTTTATAATTTTTATTCTTTTTGAGGGGATGAACCATTCCATTTATAAAAAAAATAGCCATCCATTAGACTAAAACCCCGATGTCTGTTTGTGCTGATATTAATTGCCACGATTACTTCGCACACTCTCTCGTTTAATATTTAATTGCCTCTCTAAAGTTGCATAATGTTAACGCCTTAAACAAATAATTATAGAAAATCGTATGATTTTTGATTCTCCTTAAATAATACCCAGTATATGTCCCACTTATCAGCGACGTGGATTTCCCAGAAAAATGCACTCGTCGCACTTATTCAACGAGACTGTACTTTTTTTCCAACACAAAACTTGAACATGCTCAAAAATGCATCCAATTTCATCGGAAAAGTGTGTGTTTTTTTATATCGTTAATAATAATTACAATAGTTAATAATAATCATAATTAATTACACTGACTTGCTTCGAGACGCTCCAGCAGTCTCACTTTACGTCGCCTGCAGTGTATAACGTTGAGAAAAATGCCAAACGTGAACGTAAAACTGATTATTCGAACATCACTTCTTTTTCTTTTCAATTCCTGTAGCGATAAGCGATTGGTAATAATAGAAGTTGGTTATACATGTTTTTTTTAAAGCTCGTGGGAGGAGGGAGAAAAATATATAATAATGCTTAGAAAACTTATAAAAGTCGGATCAAGAAAGCTGAATGAAACGGAAAAGTAAAACCTCACCAGGTTTGCACAACGGAATTTCTCTCCGAATACAAAATTAGAAATAATCGGGCCCCGATTCGAGTTTGGAAAAGAAACCGAGAATTATTACTGAGCTCTTCCAAGCTTTTTTTGAAAGACATCGACATTGCTCACCATTTACGATAATTTACTTATTATTGGTCCGGTAGGATTTTAGAGATAGGGCTCTGTTTGTTTGTACATCAAATTCACATCGATCAGCAAAAAATATAGCGACTCCCAATTATTATTATTATAATTATTTCCAGTTGCACAGAGATTGACCACATTTCCAAACTCGCTCGAGACCCGAAGCTTTTTAGGAAGTTGTCCGATTCTCATTCATCAGAAGGGTGACACACACTTATTTGTTACACATTCATTAAAAGTTGTTGGATGACAATATAATTATATCCTCATTTGTTTACAATAATAGTCGATTCTTCCTAATTTGATTTTAGTTTGTTTGGTTCGAGTTGCCTGAGCATCCGGCCCATGTCGCACCAGCCCAGTCGGCTCGGAAATAATTTCCTTTTTTTCTCTTTTTCATCAGGCCAAAATCACAGACGGCGTCTTTGGCACGCAAGGGCCGGTGACGGGACCAGAGAGGCGCAGACAAACTCTAGAAATGCAACGCCATGCCAACCCGACTGACAGTTCCTTCTTTAGCGATAGTTATAGTGGAGTAAGAGATGATGGCAGTAGTACATAGCATTAGAAATTTTACAAAATAACTCGGAGCCGCGTGACAAATCTTTTCACCGACAATTTGGAAATTTTGAAAAATAATCGGTCAGGCGGCTCTTGGGAGATAGATGGACTCTTTCTTACTTTCTTTCTTGGTGCACAAAACTCTAAATATATAAATTCAAACAAAAGCGGAAAGCAGTTCTCTCGATATTTAACCAAAGTTTATCACCAGATTGCGCAGCCGGCAGCACAAAAACCAACCAACGAACAACACCGATCTGAGAGGAGGGGAGACTCAATTTGTGCCAGCAGTGAGTTTGACAGTTTTGCCTGTTTGTGTGTCATTGTGTGAGTGAGTGTGTGTGTCTGCGTGATCAGGTTAGTGTGATTCTTTCAAAGAGTCTTTCTTTCTTTCTAAACCAAAGTACTTCATCTTGAAGGGAAGGAAACTTGCTCAGCTTTTCGGTTCATAGCAGTTGGTTTTCTTCCGAAAATTTTCAGTGGTGTGAAGGTGGCGCGATTAGAGCAGGACGCAGTGAGTCTTCTTTCTCAGTTTTTGCTTCTTCTCCGGGGACTTCTTGTTGATTTGCCGAACAAGGTCGTAGAATATCTGCAAGAGTGAAAAAGAAATGTCACACAAATGAACGTAAAGAAATTTAAAATGATGTGAATTATTTTGGGAAAATCACGAATCAATTTAAATCGATCTGTGATCAGGATTTGAATCTTATTTTTCCACTTACATCATTTACATTGATTTTGGCTTTGGCTGAGGTTTCCATGAAGGCGCAGTTGAAGTTGCGCGCCAGGGAGATGCCCTGGTCCTTGCCGACGACGCGCTCGTCCTCAAGATCGCACTTGTTGCCCACAAGCACCATCGGCACCTCCTCCGTGTCCTTGACCCTGAGGATCTGCTCGCGCAAATCCTGGAGGTCGTTGAACGTCGACTGCGCCGTTATCGAGTAGACGAGCACGAAGCCTTGGCCGTTCTTCATGTACAGGTCGCGCATCGCCGTGAATTGTTCCTGAAGAAATGAAAAAATGGTCATCAATGTTTAAAATTTAAAATGATTGATTTTCAATCTCGACGATTTATATCAAAATATAAGCAGTTTTTTTTTTCAAATTTAAAAAAAATAGTTGTATTTACAATGAAGATTTAAATTTCATTGCACAATTTTTCAAATGAGCAAAAATTTGCATATCAATGGCAGAATAAAAAATACGAGCGCGGTCTGGCCGAGATAAAAAAAGAGTCATCCGCACTAGCTACAATTCAAGCCAGCTGCATCTTATCTGCTAATGTGATTGTGTGGTACTTCTCATGGTGCTCTTTCTCTCTCGCTCTCGGCCGAGCCAATCAATCTGCCTAATGGCTGCGAAATCAGGCGCCACTTGAAAATACACACACAAATAATGCCAGCCGCTCTTATAATTGGCGTATTTGTGCAAGAGACAAGATGCTTTAGATCAATAAAATTCTCTCTTTGCAGCTTGGACGTTGAGCAGATGCCTCGAAATGATAAAAGCAATGGCGATTTCCCCCTTTTGTTCACAATCTCTGTGATATTGATTGATTGATTTTTTTAAATATTTATTTCTTTTATACAAAGATAAAACATAAAAATTAATTATTTTTAAATTATCAATGTAATAAAAAATAATCCTGAATCCTCTTTACAAAATGATAGAAAATTTAATTAAATTGTATATTTATATTTTTTTTATCCTCATTATAGCAACTTACAGTGCCGGCGGTGTCGAGAATCTCGAGCATGCACTGCTGTCCATCGACTTCGACTTGCTTGCGGTAGCTGTCCTCTATGGTGGGGTCGTACTTCTCCACGAATATGCCCTGCACGAACTGCACCGTGAGGGCCGATTTGCCGACACCACCGCTGCCCAGGACCACGATCTTGTACTCGCGCATTCTGGATCAGCAAAGCAGACTCTCTACTCGGCGGAAAAAGCTTCCTGAAAATTTAAGACAAGGAAATGATGAGAAAATTGTGACGAATACAATTAAAATGATTCAATTCTGGTCAGCTTCCTTGTTGTTCGTCATCAAGTTTTACGTCAATTAAGTAATCATAATTATTGTGCTGGTTTTTTTTTAGATATCGGGCGGAATCAACAAGTCTCGATTAATTCAAAATGTTAAGGTCAATCCGACAGGTGTCGAGTGTATAATAATTTTATTTGGAGAACGACACGCGAATCATGCGATCGGAATGTGTCGGAAGTCTTCCGGCCCTTCCTTTCCTCCTTCCTGGCTGACTCATCAGTGACCAACCCTGGATGACTTTTATTCAAAAAATTAATTCTGATTCCAGTTCTGATTGGAATTTCCCTGATTCAAACGTGTCGAAATCAATTCGGCTTTTATTAATTAATTAGGATGGAGCGGCCGACCCGGCCCGGCCCACTCCGCCCCCTGGACACACACACACGCCTCCTCCTCCGCCTCCTACTGGATTGGAATGTCACCGACCGGGCCCGCAAAAGGGCCGTCGGCGGCCGAACGGGGCGTGATCGGGGGCGACGTGGGGCTCACCTGCTAGGGCCGACGACTTTCGGCGGGCGGCGTCGCTGCGATGCGAGGCGAAAGGGGGGTTTTCGGTCGGAGACTAGGCGCTGCTCCTCCCCAGCAGGGCCATCCCGCTCGCTCGGTGCCAACGGTTCTCGGTTTGCGCGGCGCCCAATCTCACACACGTACGCACACGTCGGCCCGCCGCAATTCCAGTCCGCTACGGCCGAATTCCCGACGTCGACATCCACTCGCGCGCGGCCGCAAACTCTCGTCGTCGCTTGATACCGTTATCTAGGGCGATGGCTGCTCAATTTCCGCCTGCGCATGCGCCCCGCCCACCCAGCCAAACAATTGACGCGCAACCGTGAGAGTGTGACGCGGCAAACCGCACCGCCACTACCCTGCTCTTCTGAAAATAAAAAGTTGTTTTTATTAATTATTTGAATTATTTTCCTCAAGCACAAGAATGCAAACCGAAAATGACGCAAAATAAAATAAAGGGGAAATAATTCACTAAATTGGATGATGTGATCATTTTCAAATGAACGTTGATATTATAAAAAAAAGTTCCCACGGGATCTTTATCTTTGACAAAGCTATCGTTACCGTTAATTCTCCCAAGGATGACTTCTGCAGCATATGTGATTTAATAAATTTACAGTGTTAAAATTATTATAAGTGTCATTGAATATCTAAAGCCCTCAGCACTTCCGTTCCTAAAGCAGTTCATGATGCATAAAATATAAAACTTTTCAAATCTATTAATATTTAACAAGCTTATCCTCTGCTGCAATTAAGGTATTTAAATTTAGCAAATAACTGTAATCTTACATAGATGTATGGCATCCTAGAAACACCACTTATATCTAACATTGAGATAATTGTTGCTTTTCTCATAATTTATTTTTGGATATTCTTTATCCGTTGAAAATAAGTTAGATTATAATTTGATTTTTTTTTGTAAAAACATTTTAAGCAAAACCTTTAAATAATAGTTTTTTTTTTTAATAATTACAAAACACTCAACACAACTTAATAAATAATGAAACAGTGGAGGTCAAATTTAAATTGCCCTTGTCAGATCAGTCCTCGAAAGTCATCCTGCCCGGTCCATGGTTCTTCATGTACCGCCTGTAGGCTTTGTATTTTGCACTTTCTGCCATCTGGGCTTTCATCTCCTCCTCTTTCTCCTTTTGCCACACCTAGAATATTTATTTTTAGCAATAAAAATTAAAATATTTTGTCTTCAATTACTAAGAATTTGCTTCTTATCCAAAGTTCCTTTTTCAAGTGCTGCGCCTTTTCACTATCCTCGAGGGACTAAAAAATAATTTAAATTAACCAGATCGAGAAGATAATTATAATATTTTACTTCGTATTGAAATTCGCCCATTTTCATATTTTTCCTAATAAGGTAGACCTTCTCGACCACTCCGTAGGGCTCCTTCTTGATATTAAATTTGTATATCCACGCAAAGTACCACTTGCAGTATTTGAACACTGTGTAGGGAAACACGACCAGCTGAACCCACAGAATGTCCTGCACCCCTGGCTTAGCGTAACCGCCCTTGATGTCCATGTTGTTCTCGAGGACGCTTCGTATGACCGCCTCTTCCTCCTCCTTGATCTGGGCTTTGCTCATTTTTCTCGTCGCCTTCTTGTCCGTGTTGAACAACCCTTCTTTGGTGGCGATGTCGATGGCCTTGTGGCGGTACTTGGGCACGGTCATGAAGTATTTTATTGCAGACTCGTACCTGTAAAAAAAAACACCAAACTGTCTCCCTAGATAAAATTAAAATTCATTTTCGGCACCTCTGGTGTGCGCTGAAGTATTGAATGGCCGACACCACGGTGATGGTGACGGCGATGACTAGACGAACGTCCACCTTGGGAGCCACGCGTCTGCGATAGTACCGGTAGTAATGGCTGTAGTACTCCTCAGGGTGGTCCAACATGTAGTCGTAATCCGTGCGAGACTCATTGTCTTTCAAAATCTCATACCTTGAGGGGAAAAGAAAATTTGTATGTCGGTCTGAGTGACTATTTAATTTTTCCGTACGCCGTGGCAACTTCTTTGAATTTTATTTCAGCTTCGGCTTTTGCCTCCGGATCTTTGTGCATGTCCGGATGGTACTTTCGAGCAAGCTGACGGTAAATCTTTGAAATTTCGCTCTTGCTTGAATCCCTTGTGACGCCAAGAACTGCAAATTTTAAGAAAAATTACTAAAATGTTTTAATTTATATTTAAATTGATTAATTTATCTGGTTCGTACCATCGTAGCAGTTTTCCTTGCCGCAGTAGAGTCCTTCGATCATCGCCGAAACGCTGCTGGTCGCCGCCAGCAAAACTAAGGCCACGCTCAACACGTGGCGCACCATCCTTGAAAATTTCAGAGCTGAGGTTTATGGGGCAAAAGCGTCAAGCTAAATCAACCAAAACGCATGAAATTTTTTTGTTATTGAATTTTCTTAATTTCTCTTACCTTTCCGTCAGTAAAGTTGAGAAGAATTCATCGGTTCAAAGACTCCACGGTCGCGACATCTCCAGTCTGAGCATTTTTCGGTTCAGTGCTTTCCTCGATTCACGCGAATTTGCAAAAAGCAGGCACACAATCGACGACAGCCAACACGGCTGTCGGCAAAAACAGCCTGTTTTTCAAGGACGATAGAGGCGTGGAGAAAATTGTTTCCGCCGCGGCCGCTAGATGGCAGATCCAGTGCGAATTTTGCCACTGAAGCTCGGGGGGGTTTGATTGGTTTAAGAATTCGGCTCTCGCTGCTGATTGGGCGAGAATGCAGAGGAGACCGTGATTGGCGGTAAACTCCGTCAGAACCTGTTGGAACTCGCAAGAAGTTGCAGAAAAGAGAATTGCGAGAGAAAAAGAAACACACAGACGCATTCTTCTGAGTCTGATCAGATTGCCAGAACAGGAGGACATTCTCTCACGGAATAAGCCATTGACGGCATTCATTGACGATCGTGCCGTGTCGTGTGCCATGTCTTTTGCTTGCACACAGTCGCAATTTTGGTAAATTTTTTTCCATTTTTTCTATCATTTGCTCGATGTGATAAATCTGAACCTCTGCCTCGACCACTACACAGAACTGCATACACGCCAGTATTGATATTTTGTGTTACTGATTGATATTTTTAAATTTCAGTTTATAATTTTTGTGGGAACTCCAGAAACTGCAAATTCATGATGTTCGGAAACAACTATGAAAACAATAAATCTTCCACCGTGCTTGATGGACAAAAGGTTACGAACGGTCTTTCGTGCAACAAAGTGAGATAAAAATTTAGGAAATAAAAAACATTGTAACTAAAATTTGCTACAAATTCTATTATTTTTATTGAATTAAGTTATAAACACGCATAATACATATGATTTTCTTTAGTCTATGGAAGTGTCCGAAGCTGGTGATACAACTCTTGGAGACAATTCCATCATCAGCATGATGAACAACCTGTCCACTGATGAGGCCATTGATCGTCTGGACGAGATTGCATCAGATTTAAGCTCTAACTCTGCCCAATATGATGCTGATGAGCTTGAGAGATATTTCCTGGATGACGAGGTGACTCGAATGTTTTCTTCAAAATAGAAATTTATTAATTTTGTATGACCTTAGAAAATAACTCCTCGGAAGCCACTGAAGAGAGGAATTGAGAAAACTCCAGGCATCCGTGAACTCAGCATTCTGAAAAACTGGTCGGCGCCAAATCTGATGAAGGGAGGAGGCGAATTCGAGGAGGACAAAATCACCCTGATTCTCGGCGTCGGCTTCTCGGTCATCGACTATGCCAAAACTGCTGTTGAAATGGGATACGTGTCCAACGAGGCAAGCAGCAGTGATGACGAGGAGGAAACTTTCTATGGAAAAACTGCAAGCCCTTGCTCCAACAAGAGTCTCGTCAGCTGGGACAGCTGCAAGACCATGTCTCCTGGGCCTGATCCCTGCGAGCTGTCTGAATTCAAGTTGCTCAGCATGGAGAGAGAATTTGAGACTGCGAAAGAAGAACAAAAACAAGTGGAGACTGAACAAAATGTAAAAACACAATATTTTTAATTTTGTCTAATATTAAAAAATAAAATAAACTTTCAGGAGGCTAAAATTCTATTGTCTGGAAAATGTGGTTGTGGCGATCCTGATTCAGCTTATAAGAAGATTGATGTCAGTCCTAGTGTGGAAAAGCTGACGAAGAATGAGATTGATGAAACTGAGAGAGAGGAAAAGATTTGTGTCCCTACTGAAGAAATTGGTCAATTCTTGGATCTTCCGGAAATAATTGAGGAAAATCTTGCTGATTGTGGCAAAAAAATCCATGATTTTGTTGATGCGTTGATTGCCGAGGCAAAAGAGTCTTTGTGGAGGAAGGACGAGGAGGAAACTTTCCATGGAGAAACTGCAGGCCAGAATCTCGGCTGGGACACCTGCAAGACTAAATTTGCTGGACCTGATCCCAGCAAGCTGTCTGAATTCAATAAGTTGTTCAGCATTGACGAGGGAAAAGAATTTGAGACTGACAAAGAAGAACAAAAACAAGAGGAGACAGAACAATTTGTAAAAATGGTTAATTCTTTTTCTATCCCCATAACAAAGAAAATATACTTTCTAGGAGGCTCAAATTCTGTTGACTGGAAAAGGTGATTGTGATGAATATGATTCTGCTGATGAGAAGATTATAGTCAGTCCTAGTATGAAAAAGTTGATTGGGAATGAAGTTGAGGAATTTGAAAAGATTCGTCAGGATCTTCCGAAAGTAATAGATAACAACCTTGTTGACCCAATCGTCCACGATGTAGTTGATGGGATGATCTCCAACATAGTGGAGACTTTGTGCTGCAAAGACAAGGAGAAGGAAAATGATGCAGTGGCAAGATTATTATTTAAAATTAATTTCCGTCAATAATATTTAAATGATATTTCAGATACCTCCTGCAGACGAAACAGACTTTTGGGACAAATACATGATTATAAAATCCTCCCTGTACCATGAGATTTGCATGCTTGTCAAAGACGTAAAGGAACTCAAAATGAAATCTGGCAAAAATGAATATCTCACAGGTAATGATTAATTCACCTGATAATTTTAGAATTATTTTTAAATAAATATCAGCTCCCTTTGATGACGCAACTCTGTCTCGTCTGGAGAGGGTTGTCAGTTTGATCGACGAGCCTCCGAATGAAGAAAGCCAGGCTCACTGCCTCGACGCTCAGTTGGGCAGAGCTACTAAAAGGTGCCCCTACACAAGGGACGACATCATGCATTTGAGGATGGTCTACAACGAGGCCGTCAAACCTTCCCTCAGCTACGACAGAGACACTCTTCTGGACTTAAAAAATTCAGCTTTGTCACAGAGGAAGCCAAGCCTGGACGAAGATCGGGCTAAGAATGTGATGCTGAAGTAATTTTTAATATGATTTCATCTTTATTTTCAACATCACAGACACCATGCGAGCATTTTATCTTCTCGTAAAATTACATTAATTTACAACAACGTTTGCATTACACTTAATAGTTCTCTTTCATTTCATGTGAATTTATTCTGGCTTTCGGAAAATATCATACATATGATTTCTGCTTGTTCCCCAAAAGTTGTGTTTGGGAATGTAAGTTTTCACATTGAACATATTTTTATTTATTTCAAAGTAGTGCCAGAAGTTTGCCTTACAAACTATACAACTATAATTAAGATTTTTTGATTTCCCACCATTATCAAAACAAGGGAGCAACTCTTTGGTTATGATTTAGGCGTCTCCTTTGGCCAGAATGTTTGGCACCTGCAGAAAATATTTTCATTTTTAAAAGAAAAATGTATATCAATTGAGCAATAAAAAGTATCAAACACATCTCATTGTTATAAAAATTAGTGATCCTTTTAAAAAACTTTTATATCAAATTATTTAACTAAAAATTTAATATTTCATGCAATCCTTGAATATTAGAAAAATATTTAGATTCTGCAGTTTTGATATAATTAATTTAGAAGTTTACAAGTTATTGATTCGCTCGTCTTAAGAAACACCAAAGTTCACCATGTAACATCTCTTGAGTAACAATTTTATGTAAATAAAGTTTACAAATATATTAAATAGAGCTTCTTGCAAATAGAATTTTCAATAAAAGTTGTGCAAAGACGACTTAAATTTTCTTAAAAGCAAATACGCATGAACATACCAGCACACTTATTAAATTTTGTGTGAATATATAAAAAGGAGACAATATCAAATAATATCTTTTGTTTTTGTCGCACAAAAATAGGTCGTGTATATATATTATGTCTGGAGCGGCGCTAATGACAAACAAGGAGAGGGTGGCAGCATGAAATGTAAGACAAGAGAGGAAAGATGCCACCACTCTCTTTCTCCCATGAGTATCAGAAAAGCCAGCTTTTCAGGCGGAAAAGTCCCTCTTCAAACGAGAAGAAAGCAGCGGGCAGGAATACATTAAAAAAGTTTGTCCTCGCGCCAGCACCTTTCATTAGCATCTCTCGCCGCTTTACATCTGCAAACAAAACTTTTCACCTGGCGCAAAGTTGAGAGGAATAAGAGGAAAATAATGCCTGCAAATGATAAATCAGACAATCTGCAATGCTAAATAAATTTTATAAATATAAGAATAATTCTTTTTCTGTAAAAATTTAAATTTTTAATTGAAGAGAAAATTAAGAATTTTACTGAAGTGTAATTTATTGCGAGACTTTTTATTTGTACCTGTTCAAATCCAGGTCTGCTGCCTGCCCCCTCCTCCCCGTCCGGTCCCGTCCGCCCCCTGTCAAGACGGCTCTCCGAGGTCACCGTCGCGTCGGCTGCCCCTCCACTTGGCCCCGCGGCCACCGCCTCTGAAGGTGTAGTACTGGGGGCCGCGAGCCGAGGACGAGGCGCCGCCGCCGCCAACCGCCTCCGCTCCCGTCACTTGCAATGGAATGTGCACCGAATCTGTAAATAGCAAAAACGGCCGTGATTTATTTGCCGGAGAAATTCTCATTTCCGGCTCGATATAAATAAATGATCTGTCAGCCGACGAGAGTCATTCGAAAGCATTTATTGCAGATCAAACACATCCGTCTGCACCAGGTTGATTGATTTTCCTCAAAAGCCAGATAGGTAAAAACTATGGACTTTTTGCTCCTTATTAAGATCGTGGAATATCTGGGCTGGTGCTGTCAGCAAATAAGTCAAATGTGAACGAAAGAGAAAAAGCAAAGTTTATTTTATATATTATTGGCAGTTATTTTTTCTTTAAATTTTTATTTGAATTGGCCTAAATTTATGTATTTATTATGCTTTTTTAAAGGAAGAAACAATATTTAGATTTTCAAGCTAAAAAAAATAACAGAAATCATTCGATCAAGAAAACAGAAATTCGTATAAATGAACCAGACTGAAAAAATAAGTGTATGAAATCCTAAATAAAATTGCAACCCTTCAAAAGTAATAAAAAAACACACACAATTTAAGAAAGATAATTAAATAAATTCATTTACAAACAGCGTTTAAACGGCAACAATTAAGTTGTATACATATTTATTTTTTACTGGTTCACAAACGTACTTTTCTTGCCATTACGAATAATTCGGCACTGCATCTCCGGAGATCCTGAGCAGCTGTACCTGCTGGTGACCACCTCTCGGCGGGTCAGGGGCTCCTGGGGCACCGTGATGCAAGGGCAGCACGAAAAGAACTGCTTAAATCCGCGCCGAAACCTACAAAACAAAATTAAATTACAAAATTGTAAAATTTATGAACAAAGATCATCGATTAATTTGAATCTTAATTAAATAAATAAAAAATTCTGACAGTTGATTTTACTGCCTTTTTGGAGAAAAATAAAATGAATTGATTTTTTAATAATAAAATAAATTAATATTAAATTATTTTCAATCCCAGAAAGCATTGATTCGCAATTCTCTTAAAAATTTTATCATACAAAAAATTAAAGCCGGAAGTTTGAGCAAAAAAATGTATCAATCCACACTAAAAACAAAATTCATCAACAGCGAGCTATCGACTGGTCAGTCGGACATGTGGCGCTTCCGGCAGAATTGAATATGGACGAGCGAGAGGATAACAAACGCTTTTAATTAATCAGCAGCCGGCGGCACATTCAGCTCGACTGAACCATTGTTCAGCTTCCGCCATGTTCCACTGCTTTAAAAAAAAACTCTCTGCGTGGAGCACAAATTTCTGGCGCTTCCAACAGCTACAGATAAATTCGCAGAGACAGATTTTTTTAACGTAGTAATTAGATTCGGAGAGAATTACACGCGTAATTAAAAGAGGATCAAAAGAGGAGCAGTGATTATGTTTTGCGGCTCATTAGTTTTTTCATTTTCTGCTGCACGAAAATTGCGAGAAAATCCAAATGAGTTTAGTGAAAGGAAGAGAAACTTTTCGTCCTTTGTTAAACTTAGCGCGAAAACGAATTTTTAATATAAGGGAGGAAGATAATCTGGAAAATTAAAATTATAATTTAAATGACGTGCTCCCTGTGAATTTTTTGATGAAAAAAAAATTGAATCATGAAATGCATTTAAAATTAAAATAAGATAAACTTTTCAAAGAGCAGATTTATTAATTTAAAAAAGAAAAAAATTATTATTCAAGCAATGTTTTTCCATCTTTATTTTTAAATACCTGGAATTCATCCAGCAGTAGATGATGGGGTTGTACATGGAGTTGGACATGGCGAGCCAGTAAATGGCGAGGTAGAGTTCCTGAATGTAGGACGCGGTGGTGATTTCAGGCAAATGCGACGTCACGATGAAGTACGCGTGGAACGGCAGCCAGCAAACCACGAAGATCACAACCACCACCATCATCATCTTCACCACCTGCAACGACGTTTGAAATTTATAAGATGATGGCGTGACCGACAGCAGGCGCTTTGACAAAAAAGAGCAACTCGTAATGAGGTCTGTAAACTGTCAGCGCCATAAAATCTCATCACCGACTAGAACCGACATTATAAATGACACGCAAAAAACAGACATGAATATCACTAAAAATGTGATTTCACGTTGAATGTTGTTTTGATGCTCCTGATACAAGATGTCATAAAATTACATCAGAGAAATTAATTTAAAAATTTTGAAAGTGAAAAGAAAATCAGAAGGCAAGGCAGAAAGTATTTCAGATTTAGCAAAAATCCTTTAAATAATTCTATATTTTACTTGATTCCTATTTATTTTATTGAGAAGAACCACAATTAAAAAAAAAATACTTTTGGGTTATTTCTCATTTTTTCCAAAGTGAAAATTTCCCAGAATTTCCACGAAAATAATTTTAATCCGCTTTCGTCGTTAATGAGATGCTCGAACACGCACGTCGCCTCAAATCTTTGGCAACTGCGACTCTCTTTTTCCGCAAAATGTCTCACACTCCGCCGAGCAAACAGGCCAAGACTTGAAAGCAAGGTTAATTAAACCCTGTTTATGTATTTATGCTTGGCTTGCGATTCGAGGCGTTATTTTCCACTTCTTGCCCGTCGACAGTGCCGACGGCGCAAAACACGAGTCGCGGGCGAAACACTCGCTAAAATATAAAGTGAGAGAGAGTGTGTGGCTGACAACCCGCGGTACAAACGGGTCTTGCGGGTTGCGGCGAACGAAGCTCGCAGGCGTCGTGACAGCTTCATTGGCAGGGAAATAATGGAAACAATGTTATAATTGTTAGCAGCTCAAAGGAATTCAACTCTATGTAAAATTTACGCTACTTAATGATTTTCTCTTTATTAATATTTGTTTAATAATTTTTAGGTAATATTTGATAATAAGATTCGAGTGGATCTTTGTTGAAAATTGTCACGATTTTTCTTTTCCGGAGCGAAAATTATTTTAATTAGAAGCCAATCATTTACAATTCCTCAATTTTTATTTGATTTTGGCTTAGTTTTTAGCTGCCAAGTTTCTTTATTGGTATATTATCAAGCAATTGCTATCTTAAACATTCAAAAAATTATAATTTTTATAATATTTATGCAAAAAAGTCTGTCTAAAATTATATTTTTCAAATATTTAAGTTTTTATGTGATTTTTGTGATTCATTTTCAAACGTAACTTTTTAATCGCTTAAATTTATTAGACAGGATTGATGTATAAAGTTATTTTTCCTGAAGCTTGTTGATATCAACTTTTGACGCAGCAGCCAAAGTTTGATGTAATTCCTTGGCAATTTTTTCATTGCCAAAAGATAAATACTTGCTTGTCTGAAGTCTGACGTGACGTTAAGGAGAAAACTTGCGGAATCGTTTTATAACATCTTGCTTTAGGTGCTAAAGCGCGCTCGTCGCTGTGCTGGCATTTATTTTTTTTCTACGCTGAAGAGAAAAGCCGCTTTGGTTGAGCCGCTTTCGGAAGAAGCAGGACAGCGTGAAAATGTTCCGGATTAAAGAATGCAAAATTTTCTGCTCTTCTGCGTAAATCCAACAATGGAACTAATTGTTTTTAAGCTGTACACAAGCTTTTTAATTAACTTCAAGTGAAGCTAAACTCAACGTGTTTTTTTAAAATTGAATTATGCACACTTTTCCTATTATTTACAAAAATCATTGCTACTATTTTGACATTCTAAATATTTCTAATAAATTTTTCGTCAATTATTGAATAATTTCTGTAGTAATCTGGTTTAGATCAAAATTAATTAGTATTTCGGCACCAAAGTGCTTTCATAAGACTTCAGAAATTAATTACACCGCTTTCCAATCATCGGAATTTTGGCCAATTTCGCCGATTGCACATTATTTTGTTTCGGGAAAGAGGCTCTTATATGAAATGATTAACGGAAAACAATCAGAGTCTATAGAAATGAAACCCTTTGACGACAAAACATCAAAGCGGCAGGGACCGCCATTATTGGGAATTTTTTTACAAAGCCCGATTCGGTAAAATTTTCACTCACCCTGCGTTTGGACTTGATGTTCTCCATCTGGCGCTGCGTGCACTCGCCGATGCTCTGGCTGCCCCACAACTCGACACCCACGCGGGCGTACGTGATTGTCATCACCACGATCGGCACCACGTACGTCACGAACATGAAGAACACGTTGTACCTGCGACACAAATCATTCATTCACTCGATCGACAAAATAAATATATATTGACATTTAAACACGAAATCGCTTTTATCCTCTTGTCAACCCACCTCAATCGCCAAAGCCCTTTTTGCGAGTTGAATAATTATTTATGGAATTGAAAATTTACATTTTTAATGATTTCACATTTTTGAAGTTTTCAAGAAAATAATTGTCAAGAGCAAAGAATTTCATGTATTTTAAATTTAGATCAAAAAATCTTGATAGATTTTTACTCAATATACTATGAAACACATTTTTTGCTTTTAAAATTTGTTTTAAATTCCAAATTTATTATGATCAACAAATAATTTTGCTATACAATAATTTATCTGGTATTTTAATTTCAAATTTTTTCCTGCTTTTAAGCACTCTTTATTGACATTGTCGGTCAAATCAACTAAAAAAATGGGGGTTAAAATTTCCAATTGTTTTACAAGAATTGCAAAAAATCTCCTATTGTTTAAATACTAGATTAAAACTTGCAAATAATGCGTCTTTAAACAGCAATAAAACACAGTATTTTGATAAATTATAATAATTACAAGTTCGATTTGCATTTCAAATTTTCTATTTTATACCTTTCATCAAATTTAAATACTCTGACGCATATTATATTATATTCTTGATGTAGCTCAAAAATGAATATTTTTCAGGACTATATTTTGTTTGTTCTGTCATTGTATTTTTAGATGCAATTCTCTCTCTTGTAACCGATCAAATTTATAATATTCAATTTATGCCTGATGAATTTTTGCCTCTGGTGAAATAAAATTGATAAACATTATTTGTTTGATAGGAAATATGAAATAATTATATTTAAAATTTTATTGGCCAAACAAACAATACTTCATATTTAATTAAAATTACACCGACTTTAGATAAACACAAGCAGGGAAATACCAAATTTATTATTTGTAATAAAATTGTCCGTATTAATTATTCTTTCACTTCTTTGTGTCCGCCTGAGTGCTTCGGTCAGCGACCGACTGTCGAATCCATCAGACATGTTGACTTGGTTTCCTATATGATATGTGGGGGTGGATTCGATTGGTCAACCGCTCTTGCACAAAAGGCAACAAGAGAGAAAGACCGACCAGAGAGCAACTCGACCGACACAGAGCAGAGGCAAAACCAGCCCTTGATCAACAGCCAACGCAAACCGCACTCTTTCAGCCGCGCCAAAGCGATTTGTCTCTGCGGGCCGCTTTCAAGGCAAACAATAATATGCAGTAAAAGCGGGCAAAGCAAATAGAGACGACGAGACACGCACATTTCATCCATCCGAGAGCTCTTCATTTTGACAAAAGCCGATTCGAACAAATTTTATCTGGTTTAACTCGGATGCGATTGTTCAAAGGAAAGCTTCAAGGGCTCGATATTGTTTGCATTTTTTTTAACTATTATTGTTTTAATTTAACTGTATTTTCTTTACAAAACCTGCAAATTATATGTAAAGTGATTTGCCGGAATTTAATAATTTAAATAGCCGCCGAAAAGAATTTCTAAATTCGCAAAAAAGGATCTCAACGAATACGGCAAAATTGTGATTGTTGCTCAAACGACAATCAAAGTAATGTTTTTCATTGTTGTGATGCGCGAACCTTGTTGGGCCTGTCACCGTAGATAAGCCGATTTTTTGGTCACATTCTTTGGTGCACCGGCCAGCCCAGTGGGTAATGAGCTTGCACGGTGGGACTCTCAGGCTGTAAGGTACCTACAGACCTGCGGGGCCACCAAGACGGGTTCAAATCCCCACTGGGATGGTCTTTTTCACATCTTTTCTTAGCTTCAATTGCATTCCAAATCACGTTTACTTGTTAAAAAACTTGCGTATTTAATTAGAAAAAATAAATCGAATAAAATTACAAGAAATAAAATTATATTTTTCGGGTACGACGATGATATTACTTTTTGTGTGGCTTAATTAATTTTACCAGTATTCGATGACGCTGTTGTTGGTCTCCCCGTCGGGCCACTCGGCGTAGCACACAATCCTGGTACTGCCGTCGGTCAGACTGATCTCGTAGGTGGTGAACACGATGAGAAAGGGCAGCGACAAGACCGTGCCGATGAGCCAAATCAACACCGTAATGCACAGCGTCGTCCTCTTGCCCATTCGCGGTCGCAACGGATTCACAATGGCCATGTACCTGAGGAGCAAAAGATGCAGAAAAATTAATCTAAAGAAGATAATAAATAATCATTTTAATTAATGAAATAGAATAAAAATCGGCTTAATTTCTGAATAATATTTAATTCAAATTCTGCAAATTAAGACTTTCATAGTAAAAATTTATTAAAACCATGATTATTTTTAAAAGCATATCAAAATTTTCTCATTTTTCTTTGCTAAACCCAGAACTAATTTACCGAAATATTTATTCTTTTTATTCTGTCAAAAGTTTTTATTCTTCTTCGCATTTTTGTTCTGAAAATAACCTATTGTCAAGTTTTAATGTAAGTGATTAAAATTGATGAAATAATTTAATGAAACTAACAATAAATTTGTATTTTTTTTTTATCCCTAAGAACTTTTTTTAAATATTTTCTCGTATGTGAATGGAACAAAGAATAGAATTTTTTTTTTCAAGACGGAAGAATTTCTTTGAGGTCACGTGCAGGTTGCGGTGAGGCAGACAAAGGGCTAGAGAGGCCGAGCGCCGTCTGCAAAAAGCGAACATGAGGAATTTGTGGCCGAGTCGGCAGTGCAGAGTGGCAAGCGGTGTCTTTTGGCCGAGCAACGGCACTCCGGGGAGCCACTCGGTGGGAAGCACTGAATCTTGTGAACACGCACCCTTCACCCTTCTCGGCCACACAAAAAGCGAAGAGAAAAAATGAGCGGGCCAAAGAGCAGGGCTGGAAAACGGAAGATCTATCATTGTTTTGCTCTTTTAGCGGCTCTAAATTGGCCTCTTGAAAAAATGTCTTGGGATTTATTTGGCCTTTTCTCATAAGAGTAAAATAATTTCAAAGAAAAACGAGCGAGATTTCTTGTTGAAATGAAAATTTTGCAAATATTTAATTTTTTAAATTTGCCTTTATCCAAAATTTATAATTTTTTTGGTCATTAAATGGGATTTTTGGTGAAATCAAGTTTTATTTTGGCGGTGCAGATTTGAAACACAAAATTATCAAAAAAAACTCTCGGGAATCAATGTGAATTTTGAAATATTTATTTCTCACGATGAATCAAAACATGATTCTCAATAGAAATTAATGTTTCAAATGATATTTAAAGCAATAATAATAAAAATCTGGCCAATTTTTAGTTGACGAGAATTGCTAGATATCATAGCTTCATTTCTTAACATTTTAAATTTTTTATGATTGCAGAGTTATACGAGTTGTAAAAAAAACTCACATCTCTATTTCCCCAGACGTCCAGTTTGATGGCACGTTTTATGAGGTTGGACTTTTTATAGCTTCGAAATTCGTTTCTTGGCGAGGTTGTAAAATCCATGCGTAAAACCAAAACTGCCTCAAAAATTTAAAAAGATATATCTGAAAAAAAAAATTGAAATCTTTATTGCCGCATAAACGAATATAGGGTTCTGATTTGAAAGGTTGAATTTATAAAAATTTTGAGGATTTTATTCACTGGTTTCAAAAAGAAATCTTCTTGCCGAAAAAAATCTCTAAATTATTATTTTTCAGAAAATTTGATTTCCGACAATGAAGCAAATTGAGAAAAACAGAATTTTAAATAAACTTTTTACAAAAGGCGTCTTAATCTTTTTCTATAGTTTCAGAGAAGAGCTGGAAAGCAAAATGAGATTATTTCCCTTTGCTTTCAAGCTCTGAATTTTACATCTCGCGTCGGAAAACAAAACGAGTTAATCCATATTTTTCGCCGGCCAACAAACAAACAAACAAGCCGTGGCTCGGTTTTTGTTTTCTCTGCAGTTCATTGTTGAGGAAACGGCGTCGCGCATCAAGTCCTTTTCAACGCAGATAATTAAATTTATGCGTCCCCTAAATCGCAGCCGCTTCGGCAGCAGGCGGCGCGGAAAGAATTCTTCCTCTGCAATTCATAAAACGCGCCCAGGCAAAAAGCTGGTGGAATATCAAGGGTCGCCATCCCAGTGCCAAAAATAATGCAAGAAATCGGACAAAAATTGTTGTATTGATTTAAAGTAAATAATTAAAATAATAAAATCACAATATTCTTGAAAAATGGGTTTATTAAAATTTAAATTGGAATAATTTATCTGTAAAATTATATTTCCCGGTGATTTTCGACTTATTTTAACAAATTTAAATAACATTTGGTTCAAGAGGTAAATAAATTACTCACCGCACATAAATCAACTAATTGTTAATGCACATCTTACCAATTCTATGGCAAAATATTTAATATTTATGATATTTTTTAATAAATTTAATTAAATTTAAATTTTCTTTAAATTATATTTTTTAATTTTTTTTAATTCTGCAAAATTTTTTCAACACAAAAGTGCCGCTCCTATTACGAAAGCATCTCTCATTCCCTCGCTTGCAGTTGAATGAATGTTTTTACACACCTTGCCTCCCTTATTCATCACACTGTCGGTCGGATATTCTCGCCGCTGCCTTTCTTATTATTTTTTCCAAACGCGCCGGGTAAAATGTTTCCGCGACATTAGCCCCCCGAGCTGCTGTCGAATTTGCATACGAAGCTGGCACACAAATTCCGCAGCCGGAAATCAGGCCGTTAATTAATTCGCGCCTCATTTGCTTTTGAATGCCAATTAGCTGCATAGCCAGAGGCGCGTTTTGATTATGCATGCGCGAGTGACGGAGGAAAACAGGTCTGGAATTTGGCACAAGTTATAGTTCCCACTTCGGCTCGGAATCTGTGATTTATTACACTTTTTTTGGTCGGGCTACGAAATGTCAAATTCAGCCAAAACGAAAACCAATTATTTTTATATTCAAAATATTTTAATTATTTGTGGAACAAAAATTGCTTTTATTTCAATGTAAAATTGGTTATGCATAATTTTGAAAAATAAAAAAAATCCCATTCATTTGTAATAGAAAAAAAACGTAATATTTTATTTATTTATATTCTTTGTATGGAAATAAACCTAAAAATGACTATGACTAACTAGATTTGAACTCAATTTGAACAGGAAGACTCTCTCAAAATGAATACGATCTAAATTTAAATTATTCTAATGAAAAAATCTTTTTTTCATACTAAAAAAAAGTGGAAATTATTATCGACGTCCTGACGACGTCAATTTGCTGTGGTGTGACCACAGCAAACGTGCATTATTAGTCGTACTTTGAGGTTGGCACTTCAATTATAAATAGTTGTCTTCCGCCCAAAGCACGGCCAGTTGGTCAGCAGCTCTGCGTTTGAAAATTGTATTAAGGCAACTTTCATCATGTGCAATATTTGGAAAAAATTGATCGCAGTGGCAATTCTGCTTGCCTTTTTGTCTTTCATCGACGCTCGACCTGAAAGTGAGTTTTAAATTGTTCAAAATTACTTTACATTAATTACATTACATGCATATGATTCTTAAAAAATTTGGGCTTTAATTTGGATCGGAACTTTATTTTCGAATTCTTAATACACGTGTTTACAAAATTTATTTTGATTCTTGAAATCTGTTTCATAAATCACCAGCAATAATTGTTTTTGGTTAAAAATCTGTTGGAAATAAAGTTTATGTTCCCACGTCATAAAAATATCGTAAAATATTCCCAAAAATTATAAATAAAAAGAATAAAAACTACAATATAATTGAAGAGAGGAAATCTGAAAATAAGCTTTTAGGGGATAAAAAAACAAGAAAATTTATTTGGTAAAAATCTTTGTTTAATCATAAAATTTGAAAATCAAAATATAAATGCTGGGAAAGAACTTTTGTTCTTTTTCAACACTGAAACTTTATTCTTCATATGAGTAATTGAAATGGCGATCAAAATGTTCGCATTCTTAAAGTTTGAATCTATAAGATTCAAAATGTGCCATTTCAATAATTGCTGTATTAAGAATTTAATTTAATTTGGCATTGATAAAACTAACTGTGCACATTTTTTACAGAAATAAATTTATCCCTGACACTACCACGTCGCGATGAAAACAATTTGAAATGCTTGAAAGCTGCAGACGGTGTTAAAGCGAGGCAAGAGTGCTGGCAAACATACACTTATTGTCCAGAAGGATATTCATTTCAACGTAGGGTTCGATGCTGTACGGAGATTGCGAGTTGAAGTTTGTCAATGGAAACCACCCAAAAGTGAAGGAAACAAACGAAACCAACACATTTTTAACAAAATAATACAAGCAATTGATAAAAATTTAATAATTATAAATTTGAAAAAAGCTGGAAATAAAAACTACAAAATGATTGGAAAAGAAGAGAAATATTTTTTTATTTATGCAAACTGATCTGAAAGCTCCGATCTTGATAAAAAATTTATTTCCACCATCTCTATGTATCAAATGAAGCATCAAACATTTCTCTCCGGAAATTTATTTGGCTTTTGGAATTGGAAAATCAGTTGTTTTTATTAACATTATTTATTCTTCTGTCAATATAAAATCTTAAATTGGAAAAAAAGAAGTTGCAGCATTAAAGAATGGAGAATAAATAAATGTGAATACTAATGGAAAAAAATTCACAACAAAAACCTAAATTTTGTTCTTTGGAAGCTCCATTTTCAATTAATCCACGTGCTCGTCCAATTAAAATTTTGCACCTCTGTATTTTCAACGTTCTTTTTTTATTATTTTGCAGACGTCCACCTCTTAGGTGCAGAGTGTTGCTCTCTCTGAGCTTTAATTTCAAGGGTCGACCGCTCCAGTGAGTGTGTGTTGAACAAGTGCGGGGTGGAGACACGGCGGCGGGGCTGATTCATGGCCAGTAATTATCTCCACGGTCGGGCCAAAAGGCAAGCGCACCTCGACACCGGCGTAAATTATTTGCTCTCTCAAGAGCGTGTACACGAGAGAGACCAACTTTGGCGGCCAATGGTGTGGGTGTTTAATGCGGTTTCCGTGTATAATTTACACCCACGATTCGCCACGACCACCAGAAACGAAACTAATTTTCAAAAGATAAACATTTCTAAATATAGAAGATTTAAATTATTCAAGTCGATTATCAAATTTGTAATGGAATAATAATTATTTTAATAGGTTCAATATAATTAAAAA